AATTTGGTGAATCAAACTGGTACACAACCATAACAAGACAGGAATAAATACAGAACTCTAGATCTAAGAAATTCTAAATAAAATATGTAAAAGAAAAGTGTAAAAGTACCACGTAAATAAAAAGTACTGTAAAAAGAGACATAAATTTGCCTAAACCAAGGAATTATATTTCGATAATACAATTTGATTTCAATTCTGTTTTTGTTTTTTTCAGGATTTGACAAATTTAACCAGAAAATGGTTTTAAAAATGGTTTGATCCAAAATATTCTGTAATAAAATCAAATCTCTCAAACCAGACAGGTGAAATTCAGACTTTAAAATCAGGGCCTGAAGCATAAACGATGTCTGAACATAATCCATTGAATCAGGTTGTTTTCTGTCCATCACAGGACTGAAAACATGCAAAAAAACAACAACAAAAAAAAAAATTCAGACAACAGACTGGAAACAAGTGAACCGTCTCTGAATTTTTAACTGTAAAGAATGAAAAATATATAAGATTTGGTTTCTAAACTAATTTCTTTCTAAGCTTTTCTGCTTAAATTCCACAATTAGTTATCCACTTACTTGTGAAGCCTATAAACCACTACAGCCTCTCTTTGTTTTACTGTAAAAACAGACGATGCACATTTTGAATGTACCTCAGCCACTGACATGATCTCTCTGCACCGCATGTTCTGCTGATGCATTTGTACATTATGCCACATAATGCAGCTCCGAGCAGAAAACTGCCAGTTGCTGTTTACATACGTGACTCGTGTCGGTTTCAGCAGCGGCAGCACTTTGTGCCGAGCCTCCTGCAGGAGCAGCAGAGCTGTGCTGCAGAGATAACAGATAGCACAGATTGGATTGTGATCGGAGGAGCCTGTCAGTCCTAAAAGCAGAGATAAACCTGCAGCCCGAGTGAAGCGTGGCGTATTGTGAGGCAGGAGGTGAAGACACTGAATATGAGAAAGATAAGGAGAAATGAGAGGAACAGGACTATGAAAGAGAAGGGAGGCATTAGCAGAGGGTTTCAGGTAAACCTGCAGGCGTCAACACTATAATGAGATGACACGCAGGTGTGTTTCCATTTTAAATGCAAAATACACTCGCATCTGAGCATCAGCAGAACCAGGACGCAATCACAACAATGAAAGTGGCCTTAAAATAAAGGATTAGTTTGCCTTATTTCAGCCTGATGTATTTGTTTACTGTGCCTACTGTGGCTCTATGGGTGATGCTGACTTTGCTCTCTCCAGCTCTGTTGTAGTGATTCAGTCACACAAAATCAGGACAAGAAGTGTGTTTTTATTAACATTTTGTAGTGCAGTGCTTAAAAAATGTGCATGAAGACACGTTATGGAAATCTGACTATGCCAACATGCTGACGTGTAACATCTATAATGTTCATCATGTTCACCATTTCAGCATGCTAGAATGCTAACATTTGCTAATTAGTACAAAACAGAACAGAGGACAGAGGGCTGATGGGATCGGCATTAGATCTGCAGGAATTTAGTCATAAACAAATCAAACTTTTGGCCTGATAATGGTGCAGGATGAAAAGTCTGGAGTTTAAAGTTATGAAGCTCCATCCTGAGGGGACCATGAATGTGAATTGTTTCAAGGTGAGGTCACAGTGACAGCAAACATCCGTCTTACCAGTTTTCTTGTATCCCAATCTGCTGAGGAAGACGTCCAGCAGGAGGCAATAATAATAATCAGATGTCTGAATGACCTCAGCTGGCTTTTTTCCTTCTGGATATCGGGGCTCCTGACCCTATCTCAGCCACCCATGAGGCCGCTAATCCCTCCAACAGTGTAATATATCAATAGCTACAACTATCACTTCAGCTAAAATCCCTAAAAACCTAAATTACAATCTAAGTTTTGGGCAATCTGGTCTCCTGCAAATGTTGTTACTAAACCAAAATTTTCTCAACAACAACAAAAAAAATCAGATAATAACTAGTAACATATCAGACACAATTTACTTGTAGGGCATAAAAAACGAAACAAAAAACCAACAGATCAAAACGAAATAATATCCATATCAAAAATCTGAATTTTACAAATTGATTTTTTTTTTTTTTAATTTTTACATGTTTTACCATAATTCTACAGTTATTTGGCAATGTTTTCACCAGTTGTTACAGTTTTTGAACACTGAGATATTTTACCATTTTTCTTTTTTGGCACTTCACTGCCAGATTTCCTCTTTTTGTTCATTTGTTTTTTACAGATTTTTGCCTGACAGTGTCGAGGCCTCATCAGGTTTACATTTTAGCTTGTTCCATGCTTTGGTGTGGAACCAAAGAGTAGCAAATTAATGAGATTCCCATCAGCTAGTGATGCAAAGTAAACTGAACATGCTGAACATGCTACACATCAGCATCCTAATTTTACCATTTAGCTGCAGCTCCAGATGCTGTCATGGCTGTCTGCTTCCTAAATGTCATAGCTGCCCCTGAGGTGTCCAGTAAATAACATGAATGTTCAGCACAATTCCTCAGAAACAAACTGATTTCCTTTTCTTCAAACATTTAAAACCAGCTGTTTCCTCTCACTACATGCTGATCTTTTAACAATCAAACTTGTATCACATTCCTCAACAAGATGCTGTTTTAACGAGATGCCCTCTGCGGTGGCGGCGGCAGCATCTCTGTGCTGACGCTGCCTCTGGCTGCCAGGCTTTTTCAGCAGGTGAGAGCAGTGAGTTTATTCTGAGCTCAACAAGGTGTCTGAAGGAGGTGAGAAACGCTGTTCACGTGCAGCTCAACATGGCAGCCCGATAATGATGTGACAAAGCAAGAGCTGTAAAATGTTCCTATTATAAACTCATGTTGGAAGGAAGACTATTCCTGTACAAGTGAGGTTGAGACTGAAAAGCAGAGCTCAGTGTGGAAGTCTGTGTTGCCTGAAAAGACTCGGATATTAACTGCTGTACGCGAGCAGTGCAGCAGTAGCTTCCCACATGCTCAGCTGTTTGGTTTTACTCTGATAAAAACAAAAACAGGATAAATTTGGCTTTTGGCCACAGCAGTCCCAGCAACAGTCAGCTGCTGCTTCCATGCACCTCACAGCGCTCATTTCAGTTCTGCAAAATAGCCTCATAACGTTGGCAGCTTCTCGATTTTAGCCTGCACAGATCATCATGCAATATAGAAAGTATTCGGAAAGTTACACATTATTTGTTAGCACTTTGCTTGAGTAGATTCAACTTGTTATAGGTTTATGAATACCATTTAAGTTTGAGCTTTCACTGCAGAAAGAACTGTGTGGGAGATACGACCTTTTCAACACCAAGTATCCAATCTGCAAGAGTTCAAAAGTGAGTTGATTCGTGGCTACTGGGCTGTGTCAACGTTAGTTCAGAGAGCTCACATGTGGAGCACAGTTGAAGCTTAGAGGGAGGTGGAGCAAAGATGTGACCGTGCAAGTGAGGAAAATAATAATGAGGCTCAAAAGAAAACGACAGAAATCAATCAGATATCAAACACAGTTGATTTATCAAATCCAGAGTTCCAAAGGAAAACTAGAAATTGACAAATGATCTGATAAGACTGAAAGATGCAAACCAGAAAGGCCAGGCTGCAGCTTGCAAAAACAGACAAAAAAGTATTTGGTAGAGTTGTGTAACAGAGTCTGTAAAACAAAAATCAACCTTCAACTGCTAATACAACAGCCTTGTTAACATTTAGTGATGATTTCACTGCTGAGTGAAGCAGCAGGATGAATGCAGAGGTTCACAGCAGGGCTCACATTCAGCTCCACAATGCTACCAAAACAAACTGAGAGCTTTGAAGGTGAAATGTCCTCGAATGACCAAGTCAAGCTCCTGATCTCAGTCAGACTGAGCAGCTGATCTCTGCTGGGGCTGGTGTCGGTTTGGACTTGTGAACCTTTGGACAACCAGGTTGCTTTTCCCACACGCCTCCATAGAGCCATGCCATTAAACTATCAAGCAAATCTGAGGTGAAATGCCACAAAAGATAGAAAAAAGGTGCTTCCATCTCCAATAAAGCAAATTTTCCTTTTTCTTCCAAAAACTCAGACTAAACCTCAACCAAGTGTAAGAGCTTTTTTTTAGCTACATTGGGAACATTCTCTTAAATCTTTGCCATTTCCATGAACATCATATGATGACAACAAAATGCACATAAGGCACATACGGACCAAGGTTAATTGCGGACTACATCGTCTCTTTAGAAGTGTTGGAGCTTGGATCTTCTTTGTCCTGTTTAGATTCGTCAGACTGGACACTGCACCAGCTCTGGTTCTGTAAAAACCAGTATCAGTATTGGTCGGGGCAACTCTGGTACAGGTTTTCCATGAAGAACAGCTAATCCAAGCGCTGAAGGCATCTGCAGTGAAGGCTGGGAGAACAACAAAAAGAGTCTGACGGGTAAAGATTTCCCATAAAACACCAAACATGTTGATTTTGTTTGATTTCATGTGCATCTGTCACTTGCACGATTACCTCTTTAGTTATTTGAGCTTTTTTGTCTGTAAAATAACATTGAAATGACCCAAAAGAAGTAGCCAAGTGTGTAAATACTTTTGAACTCCTGTCATTTTATCTTCCACACAGTTCTTTCTTTACTAAAGCTGAGACTAATGTAGGATCTATTGATTTATCTAAGAACAAAAAAACACGATCTAACACCAACACCGAATAATGAGGAAGAATTTAAAGCAGGCCTGCACCTTAAAATCCTAAAAATGCACAAGATTTTGTGTGACCTCAATAGTTTTGAAATAATTTCCTCAACTCAAGTCCCTCTATTTGCTTTATATCTAAACTGCTGGCAGATATTTTCATTTGTTTAGCAGCACAATGATTAAAAGTTTGATAAGATAGTTGGGAATTTGCCAAACAAACAACCTTCCTCGCAGCAACAAAACATTTTGTTCCTGTGTAGGAGCTGCAGGGATTGTGGATCCTAAAAGTCTTTGGAGGAAGGTTCAGCAGAGACGCTCTGAAAACATTTTGCCATTTCAAGAGAAAGACAAGGGTTCGGTTTTTATTAAATAACATCCTTTTATTCCCAAAATAACAGAAAGTGCAGACATGAATCTGACCATTAGCTTCTCATTTTAAACAACTCAGTCCAGTTACAACTCAGTGAAGTGAAATAAAAGCAAAATACTCCACACAGCAACGACTGATGAAACATACTGAAGGCTCCGTTCACCCAAATCACAAAAGCACGTTTCAAATTATTCTATGGTTCTTTTAATTACATACTCTGAGGTTCATTTGCAGAGGCCAAAAGCAGAGAAGCAGAAGATTTTAAAATCTGGTTGTAGATAATCAGAGTGAAAACGGGTCACATTCAGATCTGTGTTCAAGGGTTTTAAAACAGCATGTTGTCCAAGTACAGTACGTCGACTGCTTAGCAACATCATCAACTCATGGAGGCAGTTCAGGCATTTAAAAACCTTCAGTGACTTACTGCCACAATTTACGCCCAAAATCGTACATCAAATCTGAACACGCAGACATGGAATTCATATTTTACACTCAGTGTGACTTACAGGATAATTCAGGTTCATTCTAGCCTGGGTAATTTCCCATTCACCCTCTGAACCCCAAAACCTGCTGGCGGGCTGGAGAGACATGTTAGCTTTCTGGGCAGGAAACTGTAAAAACACTAAGACCTGCTGGATTTTTTCCTTTCCAACTGTCTTTGGGCGACTCATCCGGGGAAAAAATAACTACAGTAAATCTCAGCATAAAATCGTAACATTTCTTTAAAATCACTTTATTCTACACATCTGTTTTAAAAACAATTACCTTTTTCCTTTTACCTATTTTTCAATCCAAATTCAGTAAAACGCTAAAGATTCTGAGCTCCTCGGTGCAGCCATGAAGCCATAAGTTACTAAGCTGCAATCAACAGTCACAGGACAAAAACTCAGTCACTGTTGTCTTTTCCCTACTACTGGTAACATCTGTAGGAACTCTTCAGGTAGGAGCTTCAGTAAAAAGCAATTCAGCAGGTGTCCTCACAACCTGAATGACGATGTAGGTTTGTTTTTTCTTGTTTTGGTAATTAATGGCATTATATAAGACATTTCTGAGTTTGCTCTACGTCTAGCCGTGGTTGTCCTGTTCCCATAGAGGTGCAGGACTTTATATTGCAGTGAGCCCACAGTGAATAAAAATAAGACAAGAGCAACAAAACATAAAAAATGCCCAGAAACTGCTGAAGGTTCAGGGGGTTAACTTGTTTGCTTATTATATAATTGCAGTGTCCACTGCTTAGGAATCATTAAAAAAAAACAAAGAACACCTATAACTCCAGCAATTTCCTGAAAATCGTCACATTTTGAAGTTTTCTGCAGCATCAAAGTGACCCAGTTAGAGTTTATACTACATATATTAGCACATTACAATCAGGAGCTGCTAACAGTGAACTTGGCATATAGTTTACTAAACAAATAAACAGGGCCTTTGACTACCTTTACCAGTCCTACAAATTATGCAAATTACTTACAGTTTTAGTCTGCGTGTTTTGCTAAAAAAAAAAAAGAAAAAAAAAAAAGCAGGAAGAGTTTCAGCTCTACAAAGTCAAATTAGACACATTTAGGTGCTGCTTTGTGATTTGGTTGAACTGACCCTTTAACTTCCCATTTTTTTGAAGTCCCTTTGTAAAGTGACATTACAGCTAAACACTGAAGTTTGCATCTTTTCGCCGCCGCTCTTTTTGAGACATTTTGTTCCTAAGTTTCCACATCCTGAAAGCAGAGAAGCGTCCGGACCCGACACCAGTGATGAAAAGTAATACGCTTGAATATGGTGAATGTACAGTCTGTGGTCTCAGGTAGCGAGGATGGGATGATCTTTGACATTTAGACAAAAAGTCCTCATGTTCATAAGCAAACCTTAGCTTAGTGCAGCTTTATATTAAACTTAAATAATTTTAGTAGAAAAAGGAAGAACAGAAAGACATAAATAACAACTGATGTAATAAAATCATACTGTAAAGTGCATCGTAGCAACTGTGCATGCAACTTGAGGAACATAAATTATGTGGTGACTGAAGCCCTAACGGGAATAGAAAAGTAGTACAAAAACTGTAGCAAAAAGTGGCCTCATATAAAGATATTATATCCTATACAACAGATCGATAGAGATCAGTTAAACTCTAATATAGTAACTATGCTTAAATAATAAACGGTCTTTGTGATGTGGCTAGTCCAAGTGTGAATCTTCAAGAAGTGGAATAAAAACACACAATCACCATCGCGGCTCAGTCCAATTGGTGAAACTGCCTGTGTTAAAGACCTACAGAAGAACAGAACAAAACAAAAGACATTTCTTATATCTCTCTATATACATATTTATCAAAAAAAAACTTGAAGTAGCCCGTGGTTGGATCTGTCGTGGCGACTGAAATCTTACCAGAAGGTTTGCCTTCTGCTCGAGCACACACATTAATTAGTGTTACAAAACAGCTGAGGTGAAGTCAGGCAGCTCCAGTCGCACCCTGAGGAGATCTGAGGATCTTTCTGGGACAAACGACAAACACACAACAGAAGCACGTCAATGCCGAGCTCCGGACAGAAACCCTTTGTATTCTAAGGCGGCCAATGTTTCTGCTGGTTACCAGCGTCACTGCTAACATGTGCCCACTAGGAGGCAGATTACCGGTACTATTCTGCATGCTGAGAAAACAGCAGCAGCAACATCACAAATTTGTGTATTTATTTGTATCCATATTTGCTTTTTCTACCAGAAGCCTTCTCTTTTTAAAAACGTTTCACTAGCATCACTGTTTACCTTGTTGTAAAATACAACCCTTATTTCTAATTGATTATTCCCGCTCTTTATCTGAACTTCATAGCTCGTTGAGTTCCATGTACTCTAGTGACCTGATTTGACTTGTTTTATTTAAATTAGTTATTTTAGCTGAATTTTCCAACATACAGCATTTAGTTTCTTTATCATTTGTAATGTTTTTATTGTGCAATATTTGTTTTCCAGGTGCAATATTGTGATTGTCAGGTGTAATATCACTTTACTAAAGTATGATGGACAGGATGACTTCTTACTTTCAGTCTTATTTCAGCCTATTTATTTTTATTTTGTAACAATCTGTATTTATAACAGCACTTTTCAAAATGTTGGTTACAAAGTGCTTTACAGGGCAGCAAAATAAAACACAGGCTCATAAAACCAGAATTTAAAGACAGATAAAAGCACAACAAGGTGTATAAAACTAAACCGAAAATGTTTTGTACTTATGGTTTTTCCGTCAGACCCTGCATTCATTCTCATTGTATGCAGTTGGGTTTTCAGTTCAATAGTTGGATCAGGAACTTCCTTCGGGACAACTAAAGTTCCATCTTATTGGTGCTGAATTAATCTACCTTAACATTATTGAATGAAGCCTAATAAATGTTGACAACCTGCAGCAGAAATGTAGATTATTGACTGAAATAACAGCTGGAACGTGCTGACGTCTGCAGCTCCAGACAGTAAACTGATGCATACAAAGTTAAAGCAGGATAACACAGTGAAGCTCACTGGCGGTTTCTGAGAAATGTTACAGAGTGATGCATTTTCACTCACAAACAATCTTTGGTGGAGTTCAGTGAGCAGCTCGGAGAAAACGCATGAACAACCAAAACAGCATTACTTTGCTGCTGCTGAAATAATTCACCACTTTATCTCTTTATCTCTTTAGTCATTTTAAAACTAAGAAGGCACATGCTAATGTAAGCTGCAGGTTTAGCTGCTGTAATAATAAAAAATAATGAGGTACAAGGTTCAGAAAGAGATTCTGTAGTGATGGAGCTGAATGAATCTGGGTCCACATCCAAAATGAATTTGGCTATCAGAGTGTGACCATAAAAATATTAAGCACTTCCTCCTAAAAATGTAAACAGAATTCACAACTAATATCAAACCCACTCTTCTTTTGGTTTTGCTGTTCGTAACCTTAGAGTTCCAAAAGTTGTGCTCACAATTTAAAGCAAAGCTAACTGTGACAGTATAGTAAATATGGGAACATCCCGTCATCGTGGAGTCAGTTATCCAGCAGCATCTTAGACCAGATCAGGAGAAGATCTATTAGTAAAACCTTGAACTTGTTGGTGCTGAACTCAGCAATGATGTGTTTTATTGCTTGCAAGGTCAGCTATTTAATAATCAGAGGAAGAATTTATTCTTTCAAAATGATCAACAGCACAAACCTCCAGTGCCCCCCCGTGTCTTCTGTGTCATCTCTTGTGTTGTCTGGTTGCACTTGTGAACGGTTTGTTCTGTTGGACACAAACGTATATCAGCTGGAATCAAATAAAGTTACTTTTTAAAGGAGAACAAGCAGAAAACACAGATCTGGTCATCTGAGACCACACTTATCAAACAAACTTCTCACAGTTCATTCATTGCCCCATTATATTGCCCCCATTCACTTAGAATGGCGGCACGCATGGACGCTGCGGCCTCTTCAGGAGGCAGCGACAGTGAACGTTTAGTGTCTTATCCCAGACGTGCATTCTGCAAAACTTGCTGATTGAATAATCCTGAAGAAACGCTCTCTCATCTTGCCTGTACTACTGTGTATGTGCAGCAAAATGACAACAAACCTGATTTGATTTGATTTGATTTATACTGAAATGCCTGCAGAGACTCATGTACTTTATGGAGGGGGACAATCTAAGCAACTTGTTTTCTGAAACCACAAATTACATATGCCCCTTAAACATCTCACATGCTGACTGTTGGTAGAAGCTACAATTCATCGATGTTCCCTGAATGCCTTACATGCAGCTGATGTTAGACGGCTGTGAATAAAGTTACTGCAGCGCAGGAGCTCAGACAGCTGTGTGACCCAAAGCTGCCTCTGAAAAAAGTGAAATAAGGCATTCTAATATTAAATGTAAGTGAAACTGAGTGGTTTTATCTACCTGAATGGTCAGCCCAGAGACACAGGCCCGGTAAATGTCAGGTGCACTGATGTGACCAATGATGTTTAGTGACACCTGACAGATTTTTGGTTGCACTCTGGAGCCCTGCCATCTTTTATGTACAACTTTTTCTGAAGCACTAAAAAACTTTAATCATGTAATCACCTGAGTTGCTCTTTAAAGTCAGTTTTACACCTGGCAGCTTCGTCACTTTCCCCCTAAAGCTTTCTGTAGTGTTGCTCTTGCAGGTTTCACAAATAAGAGATCCAGAATGCAGACGGCACACAGGTTCTAATTTACCTGAAATTTATATAATCTAAAAGTTCCTGCTGCTTCTTTTACCTACAACACTGCGTAAAAAATGTTTTCTAATCAGCCAGTTACAAGAAGAACAAGGATCACTGTACATTATGTTTCCTCTTTTACAGGCTGTCAGACTCATAGTGTTTACGTCTGGAAACAGCCTCAGAAGGAAAAAGCTACGCTACTGACCCCTGCAGGCTGGTCAGCTCCTCACACTTTTTAAACCAACAACAGACAAGTTCTAATTTTTCTGTTTACCTTGTGCTCTGGACATCTCATCGAGAAGTTGTCTTCATTTAGGACACAGCCTGAAAAACACACACCAACACACAAAGTGAGCTTTTAAGATTTCAACATTTTTTCACCTTTCACTCAGACACTGGTCCCTTTTCAGGCTGTTACAGTCCTTCCAACACAGATGAGAAAACACAATTGAGTCAAGCTATCATCCTCAACACATCCATCACTTTAAATACAATTTTCAGAGCCAGAATTAAATTGGGTCAGCAAAGACTTGAGGTCAAAGCGGTGAAAAGCAGAACACAACTGTGCACTAACAGCTTGATCTGATATGTTACCTGACTGAATGGCACACTTGTAGTGATAATTCCTGGGGCAGCCCTTCTGGAAACAGCCCATTATTGCGCCTGTTTGATGGCAGGTTGAACAAATCTGAAAACGAAAACTGAGATCAGTCACATCTCTTCAGAATTCGCAATTTTAAAATCGAATACAGCTGCTCTGCCATCACATCAACTTCTCTATTTTCTATAACGTTTGTCATAACCTCTTCCTCCATTTAAGCCTGCAGTGATGTTTAGTTTCTCGTCAAAAAGCATGAATACTCACATGCCAGATAGTGAATTTGACAGAATTTCTAAACAAAAATGCAAGATGTTCGTATAACTGTTAAATGGCCGTCACCGTGTAGCTGTGAAAAAAAAGTCAGAGTAACTCACTGTTTCCTGTGCGAGCCGGGCTGCCTCCTCCAGCCCGTACAGCTTTCCTCTGATCAGGAAGACACCGGTGGACCAGATGCCACAGTCCTCATGGATCCAGCACTCATCCAGATCAAGAGGCACCTTTGGGGGAGAGTGGCTTTTAACAGCAGCGCAGTTGTTGTCTGAGGAATTTCCTGAATGGCTGTTAGAAAGTCCATTCAAATCCTCCTTCAGCTCAGTCCTGCAGTTCTGACTGTCCACAGGTGGGCCGGTGGGATAGTACGGGCCGTGAAGGTCCCCGAGGCCCATGGCGTTGGCTGTTTGGCTGCACAGGCAGCACAGCAGCACGGCCTGACATCTGCTGTCCGAGCTGAGCCGGCCCTGCTGGAAACAGGACGTGTTGGGAACAAACCCAGACAGAGACCTGGCAGCTGCCTGCTGTCCTCCTCTGCTGCTCCGGACTGTCGCCTCCTCCTCCTGGTAGTTGACCACAGTGCATATCCTCTTCTCCACACGAACAAACGGGCAGAAACTGTTCAATTTCTTGTCCTTTTTGTCCTCTTTAGCGTTTAGATATTTGAGCTTGATCTCAGGCTCTCTGGGAGAAAACAGAGCTGAAGGTCCAGTCTGAGGATGCCTCTTTCGCTTTCGTCGCGTGGCAGTCTTTTTGTTGGCCGTTGCGTTCTTGCAGGCTGAGGCCTTCTGATGCTGCGGTGGGGAGGTTCTGCTGTTCTGTTCCTGCTTCGCTCTTAACTTTTTAGCTTTAGGGACAGTCAGGGACCTCTTTCGTTTGTGATTAATGCTCTTTGTGTATGAATCTTTGCTGCTCGGCGGCTGCTGCTCCTCCTCCTCCTCCCTCTGTGGGGACTTGCTGTCGGGCTGGACGTCCACATCAGATTCCTCCGAATTGCTGCTCGCTCTTTGCGACAGATTTGGCTGTGAAACTGACTCATCTGAGCTGGACAACCTCAACGCATACTCCATAAAGTCATCTGAGTCACAGCTTTCGTTATATATACCCACAGCATCATTTTTGACTTGTCTCCTCAAACTGTGCCGAGACACGCCGCAGGGGAACTGAGGCATTTCGGACACAGATTTTCTGATTCTGGTGCTGCGTCGCACTTCACCATTTGGAGTTTTTTCACTCTCGCTCTGAGGAGGAGTTTTCTTACAACCGTGGTTTTTCTTCTTCTCATTACTCACTGAAACTTCGATAACGTCACTGTCGTCACTTGAAATATCCACCGCAGATTCAGCAGGGTTAGCGTAAACAGCGCTGAGGTCCGACAGGAGGACTACAGGCCTGGCGTGGTGTATAGGAATGTCCACTGAGCTGTCCGAGGAGTCTTCTGAGTACGAGCTGTCAGGACTTGGTGAGCTCAGAGGCTGAGGTAGGTGATAACAACCTCTGCCTTCATCCAGTGAGGACACGGCGGGGGACAGGGGCTCCACGATGTGCCTCACGTTGTCCTGGATGAAAGAACCGCACAAAAGCGGCTCCTTCGCTGAGGAAACAAGGAAAATAACATCAGAGCCGCTGTCGCTCTCTTCTCCACCGCTGCTTTCAGGAACCGCACTGCCACTTTGGTCGGGCCCGTAGAAACCTGGATGCCAAAGGTTGTTGTGAACTCCGTCGCGGTACAGATCGAGTCCAGGAGCTAGTGTTGAATTCATGTAGTTCCCCAGAGACTCAGGGCCCTGCTCCATGTCCCTGCAGTGGACCGGAGCACCTGGCTGCGAGGAGAGAGAGTTGTAGGAGGACGATGCTCTGGATCTGTACGAGGAGGCGATGTCAGTGCTGCAGCTTGGTGGGCGTCTGTGGTACCACTCGGGCTTCTTGGCCAGGTCCATGGCCTCAGCATGACTGCGGGTCCGGGGGTGGTAGCTCTTTGACAGGTCCATAGCCATGAGGGGTGGATCCTGAGAGGACACTTCCATCACTGCAAAACACACACGAGAGAGTCAGTGGCTAATACACAAGATAACATTCATGTAATCACAAGAGACGTGCAGCAGAGTCAACAGGCTTCATGGGACCCAGAATTCATCATCTCAGCAGCACCATTTATGTAGTTTATGTCTCACGGCAGTTTGGATTCTCCTCTCTACTGCTGGGCTGACATTAAAGACTAGATGCTTTCTAATTTCCTGCAACTGAACACAGATCAAACTGAACTCCTGATTTTTGATCCAGATCATATTTCTAACCTTGGACAAATAACAAACAACAGGAAGCCAGAAACTCTGCGAGTCGTTTTTGATCAACACCTCAACTTCAATCAAACACATTGAGAGTCTTGTTCAACCGAAACGTTATGTTATTTTGAGATTTTAGATATGCAAGTAATTGTTTTTGGCAGTTCATTTTGCACACTGCATATTTGTTTATACATGATAGATTTTTCTACATCTTTGCATATTACATAATACAGTTGTTTTTATAACCTCTCTCTAAGTCTTCAGTCCTTCTGTGAATAATTTTGTGCCAGAAATGTTTCATGTTCAGTGCGGTTGCAGCCGCTACAATGAAGTCATTTCCAGCAAAAGATCAGTGAAGTATCCATCTATTTACAAATCTGAAATACTGCCAAAGTGAAATCAGTGCTCTGCAGAAACATAGTTAAACAGCTCATACACACTCCTCATTTTCTCCTGCCTCAACTACTGCATCTCAATACTCACTTTGCCTGTTGACAGTTGATTCAAAACTCAGCAGCACGATTACTCATGAGCACTTGAGGCAGGAAACACAACTCTGTTCCTGGCTGAATTACGACAGCTCGCAATTCGTGACAGAATTCAATTTAAGATTCTGTTGATTGCTTCTTAATCTCTACACGGCTGGGTCTGTTCTACATCTCAGAGATTAACTCCTCATTCTGCACTTTAACCCTTGAAATCAGAGATCTGGCTGCTGATAAAAGTTCACCTCCAGGCTTAAAACAAAGGGACAACATGGTTTTTTTTTTTACTGTTTTCACTCAGTCTGAGTTAGATGCCCACCTGTGCAGATATTGTAGATTATTATATTCTATAACCTCTTTTTTAATGTAAAGCATTAACTCCAGTTTTAAAAGATGCCATAGAAATAAGGTTTGTGATTATTATTGTTATCTATTTAAGGAACCATATAGATAGAGAAACATTGGGGATGCAACAGTACAACCCATTGGGTACATGACGTTCTGTTCCTTCTGTAGTAACAAACAACATCAGTGCCAAAATGTTTTCCAAAAGAGAAGCAAGATTACAAATGTCCTTTAAATGTTAAAGTTAAGAGCTTAATTTATTATTTATTATATTAATTTAACTGGTAAATATAAATCTGAAGGCCAGGCTCCTGCACTATTGTTTATATTACAAATTAGGCAACAAGTTTAAATAGAAACGAAATTATTATATATCATAATGTTGAAGGGAAGACCCTATAAAAACATTCATTATAAAAAAAATCCTAGAACAATTTAAATCTTAACAAATTAATTTGAATATTAAGGTTAAGACACTAAATTGGTATTATATATATCTTGTACAATTTAAATTAATCTGACTAATGAAAAAACCCTAAGACGTAAATTTAAACTGCTTTATTTATGTCACATAAAACAAACTCAACAGTAACAAACCGTGGATTTCTTTTTCCAGCAAATCCTCACTTTGAGAGCTGTGACACTTTCTAACAAGAAACGTTAGGATCAAATTACTCTATCTGTGATCGATAATCAGTTACCAGCTTGACGTAACTTCTATTTTATTTTTGAAGTGAACAGAAACGGTGTCAACTATACCATGAACTTTGAAATGTGATGAAGCGAGGCGGCTGGTGTTGATAAAAATGGCCGTTGGGCAGCAGTGATGGATTAATTGACAGAACTATTCTCCGCTGATGAACTAATCGATAAGTTGTGTTTCTAACAGGTAGGCCCGTTCACAGACCACCAGCACCAAGCTGGCCCGACTCTCTGTAACACTGCTGCTAAAAGTTGGTGCTGTTACCCCTCAGGTGGCGGCGGTTCGGACGGACCTCCCCGGTCGTGGAGGTGCGGGCTGGCGGGTGACACCCTCCGCGGAGCAGCTGGGGTAGCGGGGTTAGCTAACACGCCTCTCCAGGCCCGTCACCAGGACTGGCTGTAAACAAAAGCAGCGGCGGCCCCGGTTCATGCTAGCCGGACAGCTAGCTGACGTTAGCCCGCTGCGCTACTCCCAGACGAAGACGAAACTCGACGCGGCGACGACCCAGGGGCATTTCTGCTGTATAAAACCAGCAGGTAGCGTCGACCTCCGGGCTACTGCTGGTAGTTTAAAGTTGTCATCATGGACACCTTCTTCCTGCAGTCAAGTCGGAGAGAAACAACATGGAGGACGGAGCAGAGCAGCGGCAGCCTTCACAGTAACGGTCAACTTGTTCAAACAAGACGATGAAGTGCACATGGAGAGACAAAAAGATTAAAAAAAAAAAAAAAAAAAGAAGGAATGAAAATGACACATTCATCTCACAGGTTTAATTATTTAGGTTAAGTACCCACAATATTATTTTTCTAAAAAAAAACAAAAACAACTGACTGAATGTTCAAGTTAAGATCCTACAATATCATATGTAACACAAATGTACCTCACAAGTTTCAATATTAGAATTAAGGATCTACCATTAACTGAGTGATCTAAATATTTACATTAAGACCCCAAAATATTATTTACTGTGTGAATTTGGCAGACTAATTAAAACATTTATTTTAGGGCCCTTCAGTATTATTTATGATGTAAATTTACCTGACCAATTTAAATACTAAAATTGATTAATTGAGATTAATTTGTCTGTGGTACAATATGTTTTATTTCTGCCGTGGCGATGCAATACTGGTTTTAGTGTACAATCTAAAACAGTTTTTAATTATATTTATTAGAGTACCCATGGTTGCCTTTTACAACTTCTAGGTTTTTCAGTTTTTTTAATGGGGTTTTTTTTTTTTTAGTCTGTGCTCATAATTTCGTTATAAGTGCATTTTAATTTCTTTTAATGTACTGATTAAATGACAATAAAGTTATCTATCCATCTATGAGTCTTCATCGGGGTCTTTGAAGAGCTTCTGACTTTCTGTCTTCTTCACTTTCAAACTACCAGCTGTTTTTTTTTAAATTGATTTTATTGATCAACATTGATGATTAATGTAGATTTAAGGGTGAAAGATTTCTGAAAAAGTCAAACTGTGATTTTTTTTTTTTTTTGACAGATATTGAAATTTGATTTGACCATGTTGTAACTCTGTTCTTACACTTAAAGGTATTAGAATCATTTATATTATTCTAGGGTCATGCCTAAAACCAGATACAATATAAAATCCTGTTTCTGTGGCGAACACGCTTGTGTGTTTTCAGTGTTGCAATGGGAAACAACAAAGGTGGCTGTGCTTTTACATTTTGGGTAATGATGGCAAACTTCTATCTGTAGATTTTTTTATTTACCTCAAGATGGCTTACACGATAGAAATCTAAAACTTTTAGAATTTTTAAGGATAAAATCTAAAATAATAAAACAAACCTTTCTCTTATGTTACGTCTATTGGGGCTTTTATTTTGAAATATTCCATCAGAAGTCACATGCATCTTTCAGGTGTCTTCACAGTCTGAACTGTATATAACCTGAATAATTCCTGCTGCACCTTCACAAAATACCAACACAACATCAATAAAACAGCAGCTCTCCGTTTTTGTCTTTTATGTTCACATTGTGGCTGAATTGTGTTTTTATTTCTGGACAATAAAAACAAAGAATATATGTGACGGTGACAGAGACCTGCAGCACAATGAAAAACAACAACACAGCTGGTTTAATCTGCCAATTTCATTTAATAAAAATAACCAATTTATATTAATAACACTGCAGTGTTAATACAGATATATAAATATAAATTACAGTGTGGCATTATCTGCCAGAAAATGAGTTTAATTTAAAAGATTTAATTGCTTAAAAAAAAACAACAGACATTGTGACACATGAACAAGAACAAACACGTAAAATATATTACAACACGCACTCAATTTTTATATTTGGTAAATACAAACATCTTTATCTCCAAAACAGAGATTACAATCTGAAATTAAAAGGAGGGTGAAGTGAGATAGAATTAAAATAACACTGATGTCCAGCTGCAGCCTCACGGTGACGTTGGCCCCAGAGCCTGATGAGCCAGTCGCAGGTTTTCTCTCAGCTCTTCGGCCTCTTGCTCAGCTTTGGCCCTCACGATGCTCAGCTCTGTGTACATGTCCTTGTATTTCTTGGTCGCGTTTCTCTTGTCCTGCGATGCAACACAAATCAAATTTACTCATCAGACTGCATATCGACTCCAGAGGGGACAGAAATCTGCTGCTGGTTCTCCTGTTTCAGCCTTCTGACACTAAAGCAGTCCTCAGTGTTCAGTCAAAGAGAAACTCACAAGCCATTTTCACACTAATAAATCAAATCATGCAGGTAACTCATCAACAGTGTGTCCTGTGTAAAGCACTTTACCACATATTACTATACCATCACATTATGTGATTTTATTTTTTACTTTATTCCACTCATGGTAATGCACCACTTCAGAAAATAAACACAAGAAAAGTCGGTCACAATCAAAACCCTTTTCAGTTTCATATTTCATGAAAGTAAAGGAGCATCGAGGAGAAAAATCCCATTTTGCTTAATTAAAAAAGCTGGTCTGTTATTTACATTTACTTAACAACCAATACTCACAGTGACATGAGTAAAAAGAATGAAACAATATGCAATAATTTACCCTTAAAAAAATGAAGCACCTGATCAGACAAGTTCTGGCAGCAAGTGTGCCACAAAAATATGATGGAATAACAGAAAATATCAGTAAAAGAAATAATATTTTTAGCCAATTTAAATACAATTAAACAGTATAACTGTAGAGTGTGAAAGAACAAATATTTGTATAAGAATACAGATTTTTGATGAGGATGGTATTTTTCAGTTTCGGTCAACGTGAATTAATACTTCTTGTGATTTCACTGGTTATTATCTAAACATTAACAAAACAATCTGTAAAATAATATACATATTTTTGCTGATTTAAATACAGTAAAATAGGGTGATTTATTGTCAAACATTATAAAGGAACAAATGACCATTTATGAAAACACACATTTTGGATGTGGATGTTACTTTTCAGTGTTGGCTGATAAGTTATTATTTGTTATTATCCGTGATTTAACAAAACAAAGAAAATTTGCAAAATAACAACAAATTGCTATAACAATTCCAGTTTAAAAAAACGGGTCAGTTTTTTTTTACAGTGTGCTGTATTTGATCCTCCCACCTTCTGTGCCGACTGCAGTTCGTCCTTCAGCGACGTGATCTCCTGCTTCAGACACTGGACCTCAGACTCCTTCACTCGTAGCGTGATCTGAAACACAAACTTCACACAATCAGCGTCATGTCTTCCAAACGGTGGACAGCAAAGAATCAAACACATCTGAAGGACACATAGGGTGCAGCGCTTTTGTCTTTGGCGACTTCTAGCTGCAAACAACTCGTCTGAAATGTGGCCTTGACCAGCCAGAATGATTGGAAATGATTCGTTTAATCTTTAACAGTATGTAAGATAAAAGGTTTTTTAAATGTAAATCTGCTAAGTAACTTTCAGTCAGTAAACTCACCTCCATTTCGTACATGTCCATCCCCTGACTGAGCGGCAGGTCGTCCTGTTTGGCCAGTGAGCACAGTCTGGTGATCTCTGCTGCGAGGTGACCGCTCAGCTCCTGGACGAGTCAAACACAACAAATCAGGCTTCTTTGTCTTAAAAACCAAATAAAATAAATAACACCTCCCAAGCCAGGTGAAGCATCTGCACATCTATACACTATATAGGACGTTCATTTCTTCTTGCTTAACACTGCTTGCTTGTTTTTTAACCTCAGACTAGTAGAGGCTAGTCTCAGTTGATTATCGGTGCTGGAAACAATTCCAATAAAGTTAAACCTTTCTAAACTTTCCTCTGTCTATTTACAGTGAACAGCAGCTCGGCTTTTTGAATATGTATGTGTGACGGCGCTTTAAAGCCCTTGACACCTGATTTGCATCAAAGTTTGTTCTCCTTCTCTGAGTCAAAAATCTGTCAAATCTGAACCCACAGATGCGATACACATATTTTTAGATTCAAATTAAGTTACACTTTCTGAAGATATCTTTTTTTTTTTGACAGCGATCAAGGACAAATGTTCAAAACCTACTTAGACATAAAATGAGATTGTGTTTGCTTGGGATGGATTCAAGTGTGCTTATCACCTGGTTTCTGGTCCTCAGGTCCTGGTTTTCCTGCTGACACTGACACAAGGCTTTCCTCTCAGCATCCAGAGCCTGGACAAGGTGTCCGTTCTCCAGACACTTCAGCGAGAACTGCTGGGACAAAACCTCGAGCTCCCGCTGAAAGGAAGCCAGCTCCTCACTTCAAAAACACACAGATATGAAACCTTATTAAATGAACACATATTCCTGAAGACAGAACTCAGCAGGAGGTGATGGATAGATGTATCTACATGAGTATCAAAGCTTTTAAAGATTTGCAACCAAAGAGGTCGTAGCACCAAAGAAAAATCATCAGCGTCAGAATAACAGGAGTTGAAAATTTGTAAATTAGAGTTTAACTGATCAATCGTAACACTTTTGTTTATCAGATATAAAGATTTCTGTCTGATAAGGTCAAACAGCCTCGTCTTTATTGCACTCTGATCACGCTCACCGCGGTGCTTTGTCTCCCTCTAAAAGGAAACCCACCATGGAGACCTTTTCTGAACTCTTTCCACCCTGCAGCTCCAAGTACAGAAAGCCTTATTAAAATGAAACCCACTGGGCTACAGAGTGCTGCCATTCAGTGAAGAGTCCTACTGTGATGAAGAAGGATTTGAATTGTTGTGCTTCACTTGTGTTCGTCACATTTGGTAGAGAAGAGAATGAGAAGTTTTAGCATGAACCATTTCACATCATCTGTGTGGTCTTAATGTTTTGGCCTTGTATTTGTCTGTTTCTTTAAGGTTTACTAATCTACATTATTCCTGTCATGTTTGTCGTATTGTTGTAATTGAACACTGCGAGGCTTCACAAGTCGTACCTGTGCTGCCTGTGAATGTCGTCTAGGTGTGTGTTTCCGTTGCTGTTCTCTGACTGACATCTCCTCTCGACTTCCCTCTGCAGCTCCAGACGATGAGCGTTCTTGATGGCTTCGATTGCTGAGAGAAGAGGAAGAGGAGACATTTTTATTTTCTGAACATCAGAAGCAGCTTCCAACAAATCCTCACACACTGGTGATGTAACCAATTCCTTATCCACATAGAAACAGCTGTCTTCCTTATTTATGGTCAGATGTTTCAACTGTGAAAGCACTGATGTGGATAAAAACTATGAAATTCATTGCATACATTTATTCAGAGATATTTCAGAACCGTCAGCTGTCAGGATTGGATGTTACTTGGTCCAGACATACATCTATGTTGTATTTATATTGTTATTCATGTAAAAAGTTTTGGGGTAAACCTTTGCCAGGGGACCAATTAATTTTGTTGAAGGGCTTGTTTTTCCACCACCACTACACTTTTATAATAATTAGGTGACTTTTCATGAGTGAAAACTGAAAACCCTGAGGAAACATGCTGCAGGCGGCAGAGACAAGAATCCCTACAGGGCTGAGTAAAGTCCTGCACAAACGTCTCCGTCCTCACCAGTGGCAGTAGCAGCACTCTCCTCCTCCAGCAGTCTGTCTCTTTCCACCAGGAGGCGTTCCAGTTCCTGCTGGTGTCGACGCTGCAGCTCCTCCACCACCTTCAGGTGCGACTCCTCCATGCAGGCGAAGCCACGCTCACATGTAGTCTGAAAGGCACAAGAAGAGACACTCACAACATTTACTACAATCCATATGAACTTTACATCATTTAAAAGCAGCACAGGGTGATATGAGAATTTGTCAGCAAAGCTCTAGACTGTGATCTAAATGTTCTCATTTGCTTTTTTTGATAGTGTGCGAGTTAAAAATTGAAGTGGTCAAATTCACAGAGTGCATAATGATGATGAAGCTGTACTGGTTGTTCGTCTAACCAGCAGCTACTGTGTTAACCACAGTGGTGAGAAGTAATACTTTTATAACTGCAGTGGCTCTGTCAGTCTGGTCCTGTCTGACGTGTGAAACAAGCTGTTGAGCTGCTGTGTGTTAAAAAGATAGAGTGGTCTGTAGCTAATCAATTTAAAAACAAAATGAGGAAAGAGGAGGCGGCTGGTGGAGAGAGAGACACGCCTGATGATCAGAGTGCAGAGGCTGCCATTTAGATATCGACAGAACCGGGGCAGGAAAAAGGCAATACGTTCAATTACAATAGCTAACACAGTAGTAGGGCTGCAAAATAAAAGACCAGTAATCACTATGATAATTTTAACTTCCCATCATTATATGAAAACGATCGATGGCGGTATTTACACTTAAAAATGCGGCCCTCTCTGGAAATTTTCTCTGCTCTGGCTACTGTAATAAGTAGTGGTGAAATTAAATATATTAGAAGCAGTCTTCTTCATCAGACACTAAATAATACAATATTCGGTTTGATACTGTTTGGTTATTTGGCCTCTAAAATGTCAGAAACCAGTTTAAAATAGATTTATAATAATTGTCCTGACCCTAAGCTGTTGTTTTAAGTTGCTTTTTTTCGTCCAAAACTTGTGGGATATTCCATTTAATGACAAAAAAAGCAGCCACAGCCTCACAGTTGTTGTCTAGTGAACGATTAGTGTATTATCAAAGTAGTTCAAGAGAAAACTGCAATATTTCATCCTGCAACAATACCGGTTTCACACTGAAGACAAAAAGAAAAATGTTCACCTTTTCCAGGCAAGATTCAAGTCTCATGAGCTGATTTTATACATTTGCAGAAATAAATGAAAACTAATATCTGCCTACTAGGTAAGATTTAAACACTCACTTGAAAAATAGTTGACAGCGAGGTCAAATAAGTTTCTGCTCCCTCACTGAAGGAAATATACAAATCTGGTTTTAAGGAAAAAAGGATTATTTTAAACAACTCCTTCATGCAAAAGCTGTTCCTGCCTGATTTTATTGCTCTATTTAAAACATGTATGATAGTGAATTTTGTTTGTGAAAGAAAATACTACTGTATTGTTACTTTTGGTAATTACAAAACAACAGCAGCACTTTCACATGTAAACACACTGCAGGAGGGGTTACGTTTATTTACATGTGTTCTTTCTGTCAATTATCAATCTATGCAGCATCACTCCAAATGTCCTGAAACATTTGGTTAAAAAAAAGGGATATCTCTATAACATTACATATGAATGACTAAATAAGCCACACTTGTAGTACAAAAATAAGCGTTCTTCTCTGAGCATTGGATAGAGCCGGGTCCAAAGTTTCACTTTCATTTTGTTGACAGTAGAGTCAAAGGATTTGGTGATCACTGTCACTCAATAAAACAGAGAATACTGTGAACATCCAAGCAGGGATGAGACCAGAGAGTTCAGTGTATGTCAGAGCTGCCGAAGTGGAGATTTTTGGCTTAGAGAAGGAGAAAAAAACTCATTTAGAAAAAAAAGACATGCTGTAATTAAAATCTACAGATGCAAACAAACAAAATGTACTAAAATAAACACCTTAATGTGCTTTTTACAAGTTTTCTTTCTACTGGAAGACATGTTATGAAAGCAAAATATTCCAAAATCTCTAAATGTTTCTGCCTGTTGTGTCTCGCCTTAAGAGTTTTAAAGTCAGTCACTGTGTGGGTGTAATTTGTTCCAGTAACAGAAGTCTCTCATGTGAAATAAACAAATCTGTGCTGACTGTTGTGGTTGTGGTTTTTGTCGTTGTGTGGCACTCAGCTGATCTCTCTCTCTCCCTCTCTCCTTAGCTGAGGTGCCGAGGGGCGGAGACCTCTGGAGCACACCTGCAGCTTGTTCCCGGCACACCTGCAGCTTGTTCTGCCGAAATCACCAGCTACTTAAGCCACTCTCTCTTTGTTCTCAGTGCCGGAATATTCTCTTGTCGATGTCACAGAACACTCAGGCTCCCAGAGATCTCCAGCTCCTCACCTCGCGTAGTTCTCCAGTGTTTTATCTCGAGTTAGTAAGTTTTGGTGCTTCGTCACTTTTTCTGTTGTACTTTGTTCCCTAGTCCTTTTCCCAGTTTTCTGGTGATTTTTGGTTTCGCCGTTCTGTTGTTACTTTTTCTTCTAGAGAGTGTTTTTCGTTGCTACTTTGTACATACGAGTTTTGTGAAAGTTATTTTTTGTAAATAAACACTTTTTGTATTCAACCCTGCAACTGGGTCCTCGTCTCCGTTGACTGGCACGTAACACTGACAATGATGTTCTCATAGAATAGCACTGCTCCCGCTGTGGTTAACAAACAGGGAGAAAGGTTTTCAGGGTGTTTAAACACATCAAACAGCGCTGCAGCACCACCTACCTTCAGCTTTTCCATCTCCTTCTCATGCTGCATCTGCACCAGACTCATTTTCCCTTCAAACTGTTCTTTCAGCTCCTCCGTTAGGACAGACAGCTGCTCCTCCAGCTCCTTCACTTTTCCTCTTAACGCTGAAATCAGTTCCATGTTCAGATCCGTTTCATCACTTTCTTCTAACATTGTGGTTTCCATGCCATTGAGCTCGGGCTCCTTCTCAGCCATCTCCTGTGCTGGTGTTTCATTTTCTTCCCTACTTTCCTCTGCAGCACTTCCATCTGCACCGTGCAGCTCAGTAGCTATATCCTGTGGATCAGTCTCATCCGTCTGGCAGCATGAGTTCATCTTGGCGACCAGCGAGGACGCTTGTTGTTCCTCGAGGTTTGACAGTCTTGTTTTTAGCTCCCTGTTTTCCTCCATGAGGGCGACACAGTTGCAGCAGAGTCCTCTCTTTGCCTGAAGTCTGCGTAAACGGCAGCAGTACAGGGCTTCAGTTGCTGCGGAGTGAATGAATGAAATGTACCTGGAATGATCTGAAAAGTGGAAATCGTACAGTTTGTCTGCAGCTAATTGAAATTTGTTTTGGGCAGAGGTGCTGACGGAGGAGGCGACATGGTTCAGCAAAGAGATTTTCATCTGTGTGACCGCTTTAAGATGTTCCATCTCACACAGCTGCTTATTAAAATTAAATACGCTGCTTTCTTGTATCTTTGCGGCGTCTGAAGCTGTAACACTTGCACTATTCCAATTAATGTCTTTTAAAACCTCACACATTCCCTCAAAACCTTCCTCATCTTTCTCAAGAAGCAGACGTCGGCCTTCGAGCAGCATCTGCTTCTCCAACATCATATGTTCTGTCACCTCCCTAACAAGCACTTCTACTGGATCATTCACTTCTGAGGAATTGTCCTTCAGTTTGTTGAGCAGCAAACTCCAGAACTCTTCCTCCCACTTCAGCTGACTCACCACTGCAGGACTCTCCTCCTCTTGCTCACTTTCTTTGACAAACTCCAACCTGTCGATCACCTCCAACAGTTTCCCCAAAGCTCTCAGCCTCATAATCATCCCCTCTATCACTTGCTGTATCTTTTCTTCACTAGAAACACATTTGCTTCTTTCTTCTTCTTTCACCCTCTCCTTCTCCTTCTCTAACTCTTCATTCAGCCTCCTAATGCCAGCCTCTGCCTCTGCAGCTCTTTGACGGTGAAGTTCCTCTGCTTCCTTCAGCTCTGTGTTCTGCTGCTGAAGCTCGCTGCAGGCCAGCTCTGATTTGTTGAGCTGCGTCTCCAGCTCCGTCAGCTTGGCTTCAGTTGCTTCAAAGCACCTAAGCAGGTACCCCTCTGTTTTCTCAGCACCTGTCTTGTTTTCATCCTTTGGCTCTTCTGCCTCTGACTGATCGCTCAGCTGCAGCAGCACCTCCGTCTCCTTCAGATTTTCCTCCAGGGAGGTGATGAGCGTCTGGGCCTCCAGCAGTTCCTGGTTCCTCAAGCTCAGCTCTTGCTCCAGGTCTTCTAACCTCGTCTTCCCCTGCTGCTCCACTTCAGGGAGGTGATGGGGTTCGGTGTATCGGCTGCTGAGCTCTGCTTTCAGCCTCTCGATTTCTCGGTCTGCCTCCGTCAGCTGGTTCAGCATCTCCTGGTTGCGCTGGTTGAGAGCCTCGTTCTGGCTGGTGAGCAGCTCCACCTCTAGGGAAAGTTTCTTCACCGTTAGATGGTCTGGAGCTTCACGGATTAGTGAGGTCTCATCTCCACCTGCAGGCTTGTCCAGAATCAGCAAACTAAAGTCACTGTTTTGTATTTGTGTTTCTGAGGCAGGTGACAGCTGACAGTCTTCGCTGTCCAGCCGATTCTGGTGATTGGTTGTTGTGCCATCAAAGTTCAGTCCCATAACTTGTGCACCAGTCTGAGACAGGTCGCTGTCTGATGCAGGTGACAGTAAAGGCGTGACTGCAGTCTCAGAAAGCAAGTCCTCCAGTTCTTGTAAGTTACCCTCTGTATCATGCAGCCAGATGCTGGGCAGCTGTGGTGCTACTGAAGGTGGTTCAAACCCGAGCTGCTCCTGCGCATCTTGTTTGATAATGCTCTGCTGCTGGAGGTTTGTATCTTTTAGGGTCAATGTTTGGCCTTTTACTGGCTTCTCATTCATGTCCAGTGGGTAGAAATCTGCTTCAGGAGAAACTGGAGGCTCCACCTGAGAAAAAAGACAACAAAGAAAAGATGAGCTGCCATGTGTCAAAGCACAGAATAAAACAATCAAAACCAATCACATCACATAAGAAGACATCAACCAACAAAGTAGCTTAGCAGACCTGCTGCTGATAAAATCCTGCCGCATTGAGCTGAGCCTCCAGTTTGAGTCTGCAACGCTCGGATTCTGCCAGCTGAGCCTTCAGATCCTCAACCTCCAACGGCACAAAGAAAATGAGTTAAAATACAGTTTAAAGGCCTTCATTTACTACACAAGCTTCCAGCATCATCATAAACATATCAGACGGAAAAATGTACAGCAGGAGTGAACCAATTATTTACATCTTCAGTCACATAGTATAATTTTTTTAGTGAAGTTGCAAAAGTTAAAGTCTGGGGGCAAGAAAATAGACTCTTTAAATGACAGATGATTACCTTGTTAATGTTTTATGGAGCAATTCACACAACAGACACTGAGAAACTTTAGAAAGTGAATATTGGGCTTAAATTCATTCAGTCATGTCTGAATGAATTTAAGTCCAATATTCACTTTCTTTTTAGTTGTCTTGGACTCTAATTCCTAAGACAAAAAAAATTAAAATTCTCTTTTCAGTGCCCTTACATTCACCTGCTAGTCACTAATTGTATTTATCTGCTTTTTGGAAATTCATCCTAAAATGTACAGAACAATTTCTGCTTGACTATCTCTGATTTGCCCAAAATGTTTCTAGCATACAATCTGGGTATAATCATATCTAAGATTATTTTTTTTAAAGATGCCTACTTTCAGCATGATTTTTTGCACATTGACTTTTGAGGTTATATTTGGATCATAATATCTCAGGAACTATTAAAGATAAAAGCTGAAATTTTCACCAAAAAAAACAAACAAAAAAAAACCAGTGGTATGTACGGTAATGTAGGCTCTCTACTCACTCTGTTCCTGTAGCTGTGCAGCAGCTTCTCCGTCTCCACAGCGTCTCTGGGTTCATTCAACAGCGGGACTGTCCTGTCCAGTCTGAACACAGTGTTCTCCACCTGCTTCCAGCACTCTTCTATCTCCTCCTCCACTCTCTGCTGTGATTTCGGACTCAGTGCTCGGACACCGCCGTCCACCATCTTGTCTCCGCCCTCCTCCCACCCCAGAGAGATGCCCAGCATGCTCTCGTACCTCCTCCTCCTCTCCTCCCGCCGTTTCCTCCTCTCCAGGTCGCTCAGCTCCAGAGAACAGGGAGATTTAGGATCCGCGTCCACCGCCGGTCTGCCATGAGGCCGAAACTCAGCCCAGTCGAAGGTTTTGTAGCGGCCTTCCCGCCGTCGCTCCATCACGCTCCTGGGTTTGGGGTGAGGGTCTTTGTCTGTTTCAGAGGAGGGAGAGTCCTGAGTCACGTCTGGTTTAGGGAGGACTTCAGGTTGGTGTCCAGGTAAACTGAGGAAAGGAAAACATCAAAATCAGGGCTGAAACATGAGTAAAACGAATCACAACTTTTTCTAAAGAGAAATAAAAATGAAAAATCTGAGGATTTGCTGTCTTTTATTACTGACCATGTGATTAAGCCTTAGCATGCAGTGGTGGGAAGTAATGTTTTTAAGTCATGTTATGAGGTACTTTTTGCTCATTTCTATGTTTACTTCACAACATTTCAGGACAAGGTTTTTTCTTCACTATATTTTGTTTACATTAGTTACCAAGTTTCTACATATTTTTCAGATTTTATTTTAAGTCATGAATTCCCAGCGACCTTTCTGTTTGGTTATGTTTTGAAAAGCAGCATTTTGAGGAGCTCTTTGTCATATTTCAGATGTTCAAAAGACATTTCTTCTTTAAACTTCCCACACTGCTTGACTTAACCCAGAGAACTCAAAGAACGCCCGTTGCACCTTAATTCTCAGTTGAATTGCTCTCAAAGTATTTACTGCAACGAAAGCAGAGCAGAATTTCAAATCAAACCACACAACTTGCCGATTCCAATAATGTTAGTTGCTGTTTTTTTTAAATTTACATTAGTTTAACTATAGTTACAACTTGTATAAAGCTGGTTGGATTATTCATGAACTCGTCATTGCACAGATATTATACATATACAAGCGTTTGCTGCTTTATCATCCCTTCTGTCTGCTAACACTGCAGTGAATAAAATAGCGATATTTATCTCCATGAGCCACTAAGTACATATTTTTCCACAGTTTCTCAGTCACACTGTTTCCCACCATCATGGTTCTGATGTTTTCAGATTCCAGACAATCTTGCCTCCATGTAATGTTTTATAGTGAGATACATCCAAAAACACGACACTTTCATAACACTAAATATTTTCCCTTTGATATAAATGCTGATATAAAACATTTGCAAGTATTATCATATTAAATAATGGAAGATCTGGACAGACTAAACAAGATACAGAATGTATGGCTAGCCCTTATAATGACCAAGATAAGAGCTCAAAAGTAAATTACCCGAAAAATAGCTTTGGACTGAATTACTGTTTGAGGCACCAAGAAGCATAATTTAAAAAAAGCAAAAGCTTAGAACCAATATCAAAAACAGATCTTTGTTTTTCTTCTTTGCTCTCCCATTAATCATCTTTTAACCCCTCAGATCTATCTTGTGACTCTTTGGTGGGGCCTTTTCTTTTCTTTTCTTTTTTTAAATTCACTTTGTGTCTCGAGTCATTTTGTCAGCAGCCTGTGTTAAAGCTGCTACACAAATAAAGTGTGACTGATCACCTGGCTACATCAGGAGCGTTGGCCGGATGGACGTTCCTCATCAGCGCCTGGATCCAGTTCCTGCGTATCCCTGCAGTCATGGCCGACAGAGTGCAGACACCCTTTGGGGTCTGCAGTATACAAACATTTAATTAAACTGGTGGTTTAACACAGCAGATACAATTTAGACTGTTTTGTGTCTGGTGTGAAGTCTTACATGGATCTGAAAGCCGTAGTTTCTTTGCACCTGGTACTCAGACACATTATAACACTTTGTTAAGTCGATTTCTCCTTCAAGATCTGAAGCCTGAGAAGAGAATGCAGAAGACAGTGAGACGAGCTGAATAACACACAAATACTATTTTTTAACATTTATATTTGACTAATTTCCAAATACCTCCTCAGCTATTGAGTCCTTGTAGTATCTTAGACTGTCAGTGGACAGCACAAACCAATATTTCTTCCACTAGAGGGAAGCAAAGGACATTCGACAAAGGTGATTAACAAACAATTTAATGTGTTAAAATCCATTAAATCACCAGCTGAATCTTAATGAATCACTCCTCTGGTTATTGTATGACGAGCCTAGTGTAGGAAATGTTTACCTGATCATTTTCATCCAGTTTGACCATCCAGCCTTTCTTGAAGTTCAATAAATCTGGCTGTAAAGAAGATAAAAAATGCACAACATTGCTGTTAATATAATGCTTTTTAGAAATGTACAGAAGAAAAATAGACTCAAGCATTTTGGAGGGTGATTGGGGGTGCTTTTTGGTGAGCTCAACTTGCCTTTGAGTAATAAATATGATCTACAGGTGAATAATATAGTAGAATATAAACCCTCAGTGACATCACCAGTATGGGGAAATTTAAGAAGTACTCAGCCTCACCCAGAAACAAGGGGCTCAACTCCCACTCTGGGGCATAACTGTATACTATAAAGCCTTATATCACTCTCCAAAAAAACTCAAATGTTTTAAGCAAAGAAAAAAGGAGAGGAAAGCTTTGAGCTGGCTGCTTCTGCTCCAATACAATGTGTCTGTCCACACAGCATCAGGTGGCTTTGAACTGTTGCTTCATGAACCTTATTCACCCGACCTGACACTGTCAGACTTCTAGCTGTTCCCCAAACGGAAACCCCACTTTCTTGGTTGCCATTTTCAGAGTGATGATGAGGTCATGCATGCTGTTGAGGAGAAAGCTCATGATGTGACCGTCTTCCGCAAAGGAGTAGTGAAGATTGACCATTGGTGAATAAGTGCCTTAAAGTTAAAGAAGACTATGTTAAAATAATGGAAGAACAATCTTTCTCAGGTAATGTTGAGGCTGAGAACTTTCTGTAGTACCCTTGCAGGTTTTAACTAGCCTACATACCACAAAAGCATTATAGAAATTCTGAAATTCAGCTATGTCTTTTGACTTTCATGCGCCACCCCACGATTTTCAGGGACCCCATCTTGCCACCCAGCTAAATATTTTCTGGAGGCACTCCATGATGATAAATAAAATTCACCCCATTCAGGTTAATGAAGGGGGAAATTTGCTATAGACACCAAAACCGTTTTTTGCACCAGGCTTGTTTATTTCTGCTTTAAAGTTGGGCGTTGTAACATAGAAGTCTATGGAGATTGACTCGCTTTTTGAAACAGCCTCAACTGGACATTCAAGGAAATGCAATTTTCTACACTGGCGTAATACTGGACAGGTGGCTGCTTGGTTGGTATCGAGAGCAGGGCAGTACAATATTTCCATCCCTGTTGAAATCAGTGAAAGATGACACCTTCTGTTTGTTTTCCTTCTTAGGGGCTGTCATGTCGACCATCTTTACATACAGTTTGTGGCTGAGGCTGTTTGGCGACTTACCGTCATGACCGTGTCTGACGTCCTGCGGTCCAGAGACCTGGCTCTTCTCTGGGGAGGAGGAGCACTGAGCTGGGCTATGTCTCCACAGGACTGGAGTTTCTGCAGAGGGCCAAAAAAAAGAAGAAAACATTCAAAATTAACCAGTAAAATTACACCAACTTCTCTCAGAGGGAGGCTATAACTGATGAGAAGACGTGACGTGTTTTCTGAATCAGGACGGTGCAGCCTGCATTCCATCAACCAGAGTAACCGATAGTCTGGACGCTTGGCAGAGATGTCAGCTGTAAGGATTAGGCCTGCTGTAGAGCACCACGGGGAGTCCAACAGGCTTTTCTCCACCGCCTGCTAAACTCTTACTCACATCACAAGTGAAGTGCACACGGATGACTGGATTTGGCTGTGGAATGCATGAAAAGGTTTTAGGGGCTACATAATCCCTGATACTCTGCGGTTTTTTGTCTTACATTTCAAAATGATGCTCCAAAACTGAGAGTGAGACCCCGGCATGCTTCTTATGATCAGGTTTCATGCTGGCGCTAACAGCACGTATCAGAGTCTGCTTCGAGTCTGGATTACACAGCATTAAATGAAACACGGGTACGTTTTTTTGTTTACTTGAGCCTCTGCAATTCAAAAGATTCATTCTTCCCTCTTATATAACCACTTCAATGGGAAAAAATGACCACTTTAATCGCTACAGAACATTCTTTGTGTTTTTTTTGTTCTGGCATTTACACTGAAAACTATCCAAGGACACAACACACGGAGGAACACAGCGCTCTGACTTCACTGTGAACCGATCTTTTTTTTTTTTTTTCCTGTTGCTGACCGCTGCAGACAGAGCCTGTCCTCTGTTCGGTGAAGAAGCCTCCCAAAGCTGAGGGGGAGGAAGAGAAGAAGAAGAGGCCGTCTTGGGAATCTCAGCTCTGAGGCCTGAATGAACTCCGGACGGGCTCTTTTGACCCTCTCCTGGCTACCAAAACAAACGCACCCAGAGACACATAAATCATCACATGGGCTCAAATGTGCTGCTGGCGTATTTAAAAGGTAAATCCTCTGAAATGAGTGAGTGCGTTTAATCAAAGATTAACAGCTGCCACTGTGACGACCATCTGTGTTGCACGACTGTGATTTTACAATGTTTTCTGCATCAGTGTTGGCTGCTGAGGGCTGTTCCATCAGGGAGGCTATGAAAAGCAGGGTTTACTATGAATGGAGCTGGCAAACTGTTTGATAAAGCCAACTCAGAGCTTAAGTCAGTTTAAGTCAGTCTAATTCTAGAAGTGAAGCCGGTCCTGGGACTGGAGTCACAAAAGAAGTTCAGCTTAGTCAGACTCTGTTTGGGTAACCTGAGCGGTTTACTACGAAGCAAGATTAATGGGTTACTGAGGTATGTTGAGCCTAAAGGGAAAACTTTCAATGTCATGAAGGTGGCTGTCTTTTTAACCTGGTTACTGATGCTGCACTGCTAACCTGCTGTGGAGGATATTCTGTTCAAAGTTTGGGATATGAACCAGCTCTAAGAAGCAAAACCCTTTCAACAATTCCTCTCTTGACCGTAATCTCTATGATACAGATTCTTAAATTAGGGAATTGTGTTGAGCTGGTACACTGTATCTGCCACGTTGCCACGGGAGCATACACACTTTAAGTACAAGCTGTGGTACCCAGTTGTGCCACCAGTCCCTTGGCAGTCCCTTGTCTGCAAGCAGAGAGCATTGTGGGGGTTTAGCTGTAAAGGGGCACCAAGACAAAGTCCTCTAAGATGCTTAATGGCCTCCAGCCAGGGCACACGTTTGAAATCAAGCTGGAATCAAATCAAGCTGGAATCAGAACAGATCCCAGTGACACATGTAACAACCTTTGCATCAATATTGATTGATGAACAGGCTGCATTTAGTACAAAATTGTTCAGATATACAACACCTGTGTGATAGCAGACATAAACAAAGAATCTGGCTTATTGTTCAGGCTGATACTGATTAGTTAGAATTCCTGGATCAGCCCTGTTCTCAATGTTAAAATGAGGATTGGTAGAGATTAAAACATTTCTGTCAGTTTCATGCTGCTGTTTTTATGCTGATGAATGAAACAATTCTAATGATTATGCAAAAAACATAATAATCAGCTCAATTAATCTTGTAGTTATGTAATAATTCTGAAACACCAAAACACAGCGAACTGAGGAGATCAGCAGGACTGAGGTCATCTCTACTGTCCAACATGAGGACCAAAGGTGTCTTGTGCTTTGTTTGTTGTTAGCTCTTGTTTTTCTGAGTCACTTCCCCGGAATTGTCTGGAGGGATGTGTTTCTATGTCATCTCCAGTCTGACTTGATTCGACCTCTTTCAGGAATCAGAATTTCCAGAAAATAAACCTGATTTCGTGACGTAAGTCCAGGTTAACTTGTTGCTTTATATAACATACCCGTGGCCTGTTTATGGTTCGTGTTTGGATTGTTTTGTTGATACTGTGACACACGGACAGACACTTGTTAGGGTTTACTCACCTCCTTAATCACCAGGGTCTAGCCTAACAACACACGGTGACTATCATTCACAAACAGGTGTGCACTTGGAAACTGCAAAGGGAGGCCCAGCTTTTCTGAGCTTCCTCGGAGTTTATCAGCACTTACAGGCCATCGTGTGATTCTGCTGCTCGTGAAGTCTCGTGAAGCGTCCTAGAGAGCTCCTGATAATGACACTGTATCTTGTCTAAATTGTGAGGAATCCCTGGAAAAAACTGTGTAAGAGGAATGCTGGCTCGCAGATTACAGCAGGCGGACTGAACGGCTTCAGGGCATCAAAACCAGTTCTGTTCCCAAACAAAACGCAGCGCTGAATGATTCACTGCTTCTGTCCCACCTGCCGACACATGCACCCACCGACACTGGAGGGAACACATGCCTCGACACGGCAGGACTGACTCGTCCACGCGTTTCATGCCAAACTGTCATCACCTGCTTTTCGACAGCACGAAAATGAATGGAGGCTACGAAGATGCAAAAGACTTGAATGAATCAGGACCCGTCTCTTGTTTACACGCACTGACCGACTGATGCAAACAGCCTCAGTGTGGAATTCGGTTGATTTGCTCCGTCTAACTCTGCAGTGTTTGATCAGGTCAGAGCTGCAGCCTAAAAGTGACGTCTCTCATGCACAACACCTGGATTCGTGAGTCATGTACAAACCAGTCCAGCCCACAGCCCGGCCCAGTACAGGCTGAGTACAGCTGGATACAGTGACTGGTCTTAATCATGGCAAGCCCACGTGAGGATTAACCAGCATTACCTATTCATGGTTATTACTGTCATATGGTGGCAAAAAACCACAGTCAGGAAATGGGTTTTTAATTGTTAGATGCTGACATTAAAGGACTCGAAATCCTGTTTTTATACTATAAGCCACAGCGTCCTGAAGGAAATTCACAATGAATATTTCCGTTTTTGTTGAGTTTGCTTTGTGCTTTTCTCACCGGTTTAAAAGTGATGAGCTTTTTATTTTATTTTAAATAGAATGATGTCAAATATTTCCACAAAACAAGCCAGAACTGGGGACAATGTAATATTATGTTCCCCTTTACTGCCGACAATCCCTGACAAAAGTCTCTGAGCTGAGCTGTAAGCAAGACTGCTGCCTACATTTTACACCTTAATATAACCCGAATGTCAGTTACCTCTTAATTATCCTATTTCACAAGGTTTCCCCTTTTCTTTCTCCACTTTTACCTAATTTTGTAAAATAATAAAATATTCTAAAAATAAAATCAATACAATTCTGAACAAAAATATCAATATACATAAAATTATATGTGATTCACCTGTCTGGGGTCAGTCTGGAGAATAAAGAATTGAAGCTGATCACCCTGAGAATATACAAAAATCCTGTAAGAGCTGCAGACTAAAGGTTCTGTCTTAACTCTCAAAAGAGCCGTTTCACAACAGGGAAACAAAATCGGACTTTTTCTGAATTTTTACCACAACTAGTTTCTCTTTAAGGTGCAAAACAGTGTTTAAATCAAGGTACACAAACACATGTTAAAAAATATTTTTAAAAAATAAATAAATGTAATAGAATGTCATCCTATAGACATCCACTGCAGTGTTCTCTAATTAGTAAACTATGTCTATAAACACTAAATCCGTTTTATCTGAAGTGGATGATGATGACTCATTAATAACTAATTTTCAATAATAGTGGCTCAACAAACTCCATACACAATGCATATCTTTTAAGTAATAGTTGAACAATTATTTGTTATCTCAGCACGAATCCTGGAAACGGAAGGCAAACAGTTCATCTTGTTGTGTCCAAAAGCAACATAACCAAGCTCCCAACACCTCTGAAGCTCACTGATCAACATGTTATATCTGGTCTGTCTAATCAGAGTTATGTCTTGAGCTATTTCTTGGCTGGGTACAATTCATTCCTGCTGATGATAACACCACTATGACAACAACGCTGGCATTTTGACATTTCGACAGAGTGCTGCTGTATCCACCTATTTCCAGTCTTTATTTTAAGCTAAGTTAAGCAGCTGCTGGCTTTGAGCTTTAAATAAAGTGGAAAGACATAAATGGTATCGATCCTCTCCTTTAAGATAATTTCACAATGTGTTACATAACATGTGGTTGAAATATGATATCATGAGGTGTTCCATAAATGCAGGAACACGCAGTCACTTGTAGAAATTAAACAACACACCTTTTAATGACTAACTATGAAGGGCGCATCAATCTGGCAGAAGAGAACTTGTTGGAAGAATAACGTCACTGTCCAATAAAAACTATTTTTTATGTCTTTTGTGTTTACCGGACTTTGACAATATGTTCCACGGCCTCAGAAAGCTTTAGGAAGCTCTGGGACGAACTCCGGTACTCCCAGTGATACAGTGAGGGTTGAGTTATGCTCCAACAGAATTAGTTTCATGACACCAAGACTTCAAATGTGTCTATAGTTGATCTGAACTTTCGCACTGGAGGGTGGAGTGAGAAGCTGTGGGTAGTGGCTCACATTTTCAGAAAGTTTCTCCAGGAAAACTTTCACAGTGTTGTACTTGTTTATTTACATTAAAAGTGCAATGATTCTGAAGGTATCTGACCTTCTGGCAAGTTGATGAAGCATACTGGCAGCTGAAGCATCAGAAAATGGATGGACTGACTGTATAAAGATAGCATTTAGCATGTTCGTGGTGTGGTTACCTCTCGCTTGCTGGTACGAGCTTCACTCCTGCCTTTTCTGGAGGCAGCTGTCCCCCATTCATGCTCTTTCTTGGTGGCCTCCGATCCCAGCAGCCTTTCTGCTGACCTGTCACGGCTGCAAAACATAACCAACTGATTAAAGTGTGTTTCCACTGCAGGATTTTTCCAAGAACCTTTAGAAGAACCCTGTTCTCTGACCTACGTTTCCACTGGCAGAACCAGGGTCTAAAGTTAGATCAAAATGCCCCTGCTCAGGGGCAGGTGCAAGAGTGGAGTGAAAGTTTGCAGCAGTGGTCCTGTAAATCTGTTTTTTAGCCTTTGTATTTCTTTGTATGGTGTAGAATCTGACAGCTCTGTGCAAGGCATTAACTCCAACTAACTACAAATGGTAGCTTTTGGATGTAACTCCAGTTGTATGTGTGTATAGAAAATAGAAAAATGGAGGTTTGTTATGTTAATCTATGCAGTGAATTCTATGTTGTTGATGGCGATGTTTGAGATCAGAAGAAGCTACTTAATGAAGACATCAAGAGAGCAGAAAAAAAGTGTTTGTTGGGACCCACACAACCGTTTTTAAGGGCTGCTCAGATGCACCTATCACAAAACAATAAGACAGTTTGTTTTTTCGCAGCAAAAACATTCCTGAAAATAGTTGCAGTCAGGACACTCAAAAAGGTTTGAGCTGCCCGAAAATAGCCTGAGAGTTCCTGCAGTGTCAGAATTCTTAGGAAATTCAAATTCCTGGAACACAAAAATGTAACCTGGGAGAAACAGCTAGTTAATGCATGTATGTCTTCTCACTACCACACAGGTGGGCTATGACATCATTTCCACCAGCACCACTGAGCATGACAGCTGGACAATGGACTCCAAACAGCACCTGTGCAACAGAAAAGAGCCCAGAGGTCTCTTAGTGCAGTCCAGATCTTTCTCTGAGACTCACCATGGCTGCTGCTGCTGCTGCTGCTGTTGAGAGACTGAATAAAAGCTGCTGTTTTGTGTCGAGGGAAAGCAGGCTTTACAGAGACTGAATACCTCAAAGCAACCTGATCTAATGTTAGAGGAGGAAAAACAACGACATGTGTGTGTGACCGTAAAGGTAGTGGTAACACGTTGCATTCATTTGATTTTACAAAATGAAGTTCAGAAAACTCATTAATTCAAGTGAACTTGTTTGACTGCAGTGTTTTGTTATGTTTTACAAACGCAATAGTTTTCTGTATATTTGGGCCATTTTTCACTCCATAAGCCTGAATTGACAACTAAAAAAAGTACTACATTAATTCACTAAGGCTGACCATATAAATATATACCTAATTGTCTTTCAAAAACAAAAAACCCAACAAAAACAAAACAACATTGGGGGGGTCAGGAGAGACCAACTGAGCAGGTGAATCTGATAGTTCAACTTGCCATAGCATCGACACTTATTTAATTATGTTAGCATTCGAGAAGGATTACTTGTGATATGACCGATTCAACATGATCAGATCAGTAAATATTCTAAGACAATTGCTCAAAGACAATTTTTTCATCAAAAAAGCAGCAAAAATTTTAGATATTTTTTACTATTTCATTCACATGAAGATGAGCCCTCTATGTGTCACTTTCTTTGGTTTGCATTTTCCTGCGTGGGTAGTGTCTCTGCTTAGAATTTACGTCTATGTAACAGTATTACTTTCAGGAAAAATGTAAACGTTAAACATGTCAAACTAATCGTTTTCTGCAGTACATTAAGTATAAGCAGACGTTTAACGAGAACGTTTTAGTAATAAATCGCGTCTGTAAATTCTTTGCGAATGTGATGTTTTGCTGCCCTCCCTGCCGCTGGTGGGTGCAGAAAGCTCTGCGCCCTCAAACTGAGCTTTAACTCAAAGTCTATTTCTCTGACAGGCAGGCAGACTGTCAGTGTTGAGGTCCTGAGAAACAATGCTGCAGATATCTAATTACACCAGCCTTTTGGAATTTCAGGCCTTATTTGGGGGGGTGGATAAGCATTTTGTGTTTTTGTTTCCCAATAAGGCAACAAGAGTGAAGAGCCGACATGTATTCTCCTCACGTGACCAGTTTACATGCTGCTGGGGCACAAACTGGGAGGGTTTTCTTTAAGCTAAATTTAAAAATGCAGCAGTCAGATCTCTAATGGAGGGGTAGAGCGTGCGCCTTTGATCTGGTGTTTAGCGGTGTGTGATGGCTGTTCGGCTTTATACTGGGGGGAAGCAGAGAGGCATTGGATGTCCTTTGTGCTAATTGCTTGCACATTTACCCATTTTCCTTTGCCAATGTACTTTACATGGCTGGAAGTGTACCCACAGACTACATGCAAACATACATAAGAAAATAAAAACCAGATTGCTCCCAAACACAGTGGACGGAAGAGCTATTTACACATATTGTCTTTAAAATTGGATGGAAATGGTGAAAACCCCCTCGATTTATTTCTAACCTTCTGTCTGGTCTGAGCTTCTTGTTGTTTCCTGATGTTTGGATGTCGCTGCCAGCGCCGATGCTTCCAGCAACCGCCAAGTCCAAGGAGCCGACTGGGCTGCCCAAACCGCCGGCGGCATCCAAGGTCGGAGAGTCTCTGGAGACCGGGCACAGGTAGGGGGACGTGTTGCCTGGAGATAGTAGGCAACACAAAGAGGTTTCAGACGAGAGCAGGAAAATTAAACCGCAGCTGGTTTACCGAATTGTGTTAGCTGTGTCTTTGCCACAGAACCCTAAAGAGTCTCTGTAAACATCCAGCAGCCAACAAGCTGGATGAGATCATTATTTTTTAATCACACAAGACTGTGCATTCCAGACAAAACTGTTCATGTCATTCACCCCCACCTCCATTAGATTTTTAAATAGCACCGAGACACAGATACGTCTATTTTTAGAGATTGTGTCTTGCATTTTATTGCACTACTTACTCGCTTTGTGTGAGGACTTATTGCCTGACACGTGTGTAATATCTCTCTGCTGACAAGTCTTTTGCTGCAGAGCTTGTACTTTGCTGTCTTTTAATGACTTGTCATTTTGCACTGTGTGTCTGTTGTGGAGATGCATAGTTGTTTGTTACAACTGAAACAAGCAGTGACTTTCCCTTCAAGGACCATTAATGTCATCTTAAAATCTAGCTAGGTTTGTCTTTGAACATCTTACATAATGACATATATTTTCTCACCTTTTTAAAATAACTAAGCAAGAAGCAGGGCTGTCGCTGAACATTCTGGGTGTGTTTTCTGTGATTTCGAGGTAAGAAAGTGGAACTTGCAGGCAGTCAAGGTGCTTTTGCCTCCATTGTGAAACGGATAATCCCACATAGAGGGTTACGTTGCTATGGTAGCATCAACAAACTACAACACACTCTATGTGAAGCTGTGTGACAGCCAATTAATCATTTTGTTTAGGCCACACTCCCAAACCAAAACAGAGACTTATAACACTGACATCACTGAGAATCTACAAAAAAGAAAGGCTGAAGGAGAAAAGATGACTTTAAACAATAAATATTTGAGAAAGAAGCACATGATTCAACGTAAATCTGACCTAAACATAACTTCTGTGATACGTCAGATGTTTGTGCGACAGACAAACAAGCTAATATATTTACGAACGGATCTTCAAGAGAATATGTGGAGAGATTTTATTGCAGCTCTCACGTTTCTAAGAAAGTTTTAAAGAACAATTCTGTTTTTTTTCTGTTTTTTTTTTAATACTGGTCTGTTGTGTCTTTATGGGTCATGCTGACTTTGCGCTCTTCTCCTCCGTCATAGAGAATTGGGGAAATGAGGCACAAAACAGCACATATCTGGGAAAATTATCGGACCGGCTCCCAGCAGGTTTACAAAAAACCAGATGAATCATTTTAAAAGATCTGAGTAAAAGTAAACACATCTTATTAACTGTAATAGGGCCCAATAACCAGCTGACTGAATCACTGGCTTATTCATCCACGCACGTCGGTTTGTTTACATGTGTGAGACTGACTTTCTGGAAATCCAGCTGCTCCATGTGGACCATTAAGGCAAGTCATTACAGTTTGATGGTCACACACTCACATTCAGCATGATCCATAAAGACACAATAGCCCCATTAACGGGTAATACAGCAGGCTGAAATACATACTACAATTATCCTTTAAGAACATCCCTCTGAGACCGACAACACATGATTAAAAACAGATCGATGCAGCCGAGCCACCATTACCATTCCATTCATTCATCTTCCTTGTCAAAACCTGGTGCTTAAGTTACCCACAAAGCAACTCAGCCACTGACAGTGTGATCACAGATTCAGCTAGTGGCATAAGGTAATTGCTTAGGAGCAGCTGCGAAGATCCTCTAAGATCACGCAAGTCTGATTACAGGTGAATAAACTGGTGGCGTTTCCCTTAAAGAATGGATCCTCAGGAGAGCACATGCGGCTCAAGAAATGAAAAACATTAAAGCAGCAATCATATGTTTTTTGACTCAGAGAAACGGTAACATAACATTGTAATATTGCTCGATGAAGCTGACACGGGAAACGTGCTCAACAGAATATTAATGTCGTACTTTTTAACAGAATTTCTTTGCTTGTCTGTAACTGTGATCCACAACCAGCAAAGGTGTCGACCAGAAAACCAAAACAAGAAGCTGAAAGACGCTAAAGTGGTCAGCTGCAGCTAGAGTTTGGTGATAACTCAGTGTCTTTCTGTTAGGGTGAGAGACACATTACACATTACACCATTATTTAATCTGCTTTTAACAAAAACAGATTGTTTTCTGATAGATACCCAAGAACAGCATATAAAAATTAGTAGATCTAATCGCATTAGATCTGCACCCAAATTGTTGTTATATTACTTTCTGCAAATTATCTTTCCATTTAAATGATGATTTCTCTGGCCTATGAAACATCAGAAAATAAGTGTGAAGCAAATCTAAAATAGTTTTGTTTGTTTTTTTAAACATAATTTTCCAAGAAAAGACCATCAAAGACTGTTCAGCAGAGGAATCCTGAGAGAGCATCGTTCATTAGACAGAGAGACCTTTCTGTTTAACCTCCATCTCTCTAATGAAGCAGCCTGTGGTCTCAGTCAGCAGGACTTAATCCACGCCTTTATTACAGGACCTTTCCAGACCCTGCAATAAGTCTGATGTCTGGTGTCCACTTTGTCACAGCACAAAGCTCCAGTAAGGGAGGAATACCTGTCCTGTGCTAATCATCGAGCCTATTAGGACTTGTTTAAGAGCTCTTTTATGGACCATGTCTGCAGTTTGGCTTTTATGATGCCTGAAGGTCAGAGACACGATTTCCTGCACATCTCTCAGTGTGTTTACGTAACTCGACTTCCTGTTAAAGCAGAACCTCCTCCAGCCGGTTCCCACGACTACGAGTCAGCACTCGGTCAAAATGCTTGGTTAGACAAGGGTTAAATAAAATGTACAAATAAAAAGCTGTAAGTGTGTGAACATCTGCAGGACGTTAGGACAGTAAGAGAGGACAGGAAACGGCTGTGATTGGCTGATGGACATGAAAGCTCGGGTATGTATGTGTGTGTGTGTTGTTTTGCCTCTGCTGCACCTGCAGGGGGCCGCTCAGGGCCGGGGGCATCTGTGTCGCTGACAGTCCAGACGGGGGTCACATCTGGTCCGCCGCCCCGCTGGTCTTCCTGCCACCGGCCGGACTCTGCAGAGTTTCCCTCCGAGGATGGAAAACTGGAATCAGTTGCTGCCATCTTTGCTGGACTGGGTTCCTGATGTTTGTCAGAGAAACAAAAACTCAGTGGAAAAACACGTTTCTATTCATTTTTTACTTGAATGTGTCCATGTGTAGCATTTTTAATATTAAACTATTTGTAACATCTCAACATGTAGTAAGCAGATACAAGGGTTTACTGGTGTATTTATCGACAACTCTTTGTCCTCTTACGAAGCGCTGAGCAGGTAATGACAAATTCTACTAATTTTTAACCACTTCAAATGCCCTTATATCTACTTATCATAACATATTGTGTTATAAATGCTGTACTAAGTGCTTATATGTTGATAATAGGTGATAAAATGCGACTACACAGAGCTTCAGCTAATATGATTTTCTCACTATCACAAGTGCAGGATGATAAACACAATGTGTGCCACAACAGACACTAAAACACTGAGTGTGTTTACGTGGATTTGAGTATCTCAGTTATCCTGCTTTGGAGCATACAGGGGTTTTAATGTTTACATGAAGCCTCTGGAATACTGATAAAGGCTAGTATCCTAGTTACTGCATGCTGTCTGTACAGGCGCCTTTTGAAATAGATAATCCGACACTCCTGTATCGGTTCGCCTTAAAGGAAAATGATGGTTTATTTCAACCTGGTCTGTTTTCAAATATTTGTCTTTTGCGGCTCTATGGGTCGTGCTAACGTTGCACACTCCACCTCTGTTGTATAGATTCAGAGGAACAAGTATAAATACGGGCAACCATCAAACTGAAATGACTTGCGACCATCCTTGTGATGGTAATTGGGTTAATCCACCACTGCATTTAGCTGCTGCATTTCCAGAAAGACAAACTCACACATGTAAACAAACTGGCATGCGTGGAAGAACGCTTTCAGTCAGACTCAAAAACTAAAGTTTAAAACAATTCATGTGGCAACAAAGACAACTCTGTGTACACACAAACAGCATATACTGCAGGCGACTAACCTGAGATCCGAGATGGATCTTCATCTGATGATACTTGCAGGCATCATCTGTGCATGCCAGTGCAGTGACCTAATGCTCTTAGTAAAGTGATTGTTCCAAATGGCTAATTTACGTGATAACTTTCAGTCTGACTGAAACCAAACATTCAAAAGGTTTCATGTTAAAATCTGCTGTGTTGGAAAGCTACCAGGAGCTCACATTTTTTATCTTGATATGTGCTGTTTTCTACAACGGAAGTGGAGTGAGCAAAGTTAGCTTGACTTATTGAGACACAATAGACAGATTAATGGGTAACACACCAGGGTGAAATAAACTGGAAATGTTCCTTAAAGTTACCCTGTAACCTGTCTACTACTGACTGAATAGGTCAGGTCATTTCCAGGATTTGTCCAATCTATACTACCAAGGATATTTAAGTATTTTACAGTATTGGCCACAAAGTTACTACAAGTCACAACATCATTAGTTTAACTACATTTCTCAGTCGTGTGGTAACGCTGCTGTTCTCTGAATCAAATAGCTTTTTTGCTGCTAAGCTCTTCTATTGATCAAGTAGTGTCGTAGCCTCCTTACAAGCTACATTTCAAGATCATTTTCAAAACAACAATCACAGCAGAGCTTTCAATGCGGTCTGAAATAAAACTAAAGATCAGATCAGTGACACTTCATTTAATGCAGAGTAACTGCTAGCTTCGCTCACTACACTTTTCAAGCAGTTTGCCCAAGGACTAAACTGTGTTTCTTCATCACTGCAGATGTTTGTTCTGTTGCCGTCGTGATGTTTTCTGTCACACCACTTAGAAGTCAGCAGTCAGAAACCTGGATATATTATACAGATACAGCAACTTTCTTTCACGCTGCTCCAGCTAGCATCTCAGATTTCTCAGAACTGATATAAGAGCTTAATCAGGATAAGCTGCTTACATACATCATACGCTAACTCAGCGGACATTTGCTTTTCTACCTGATTGGCCACAGGTTCAACTTTGCGTTTCTTCTTCTGGTTCTGCTTGTTAGTTCGCAGAAATCCCGCGAGCTGTTCGCTCCACCTGATGAAGACACCCAAAGATAAACATTACACATATGACAGGCTGGAATCCTCATTTCTTAAAGCTTCTGTTGTTTGTCCACAGTTTTGTACTGACCCATTAATGATCTCTTTATTTTCACCACGGATGAATATTTCCTGCTCTGGGGTGATGATGCAGAGAGCGTTTTTCTGGCCTGTCCTGGGCTCAGCGTCGGCGATGTCGGTACACAGATTCATGTTCAGCGTCCCCTGAGGCAAAGTGCTCGGCTGGAAGAAAATCAGAGCGTCTAAATTACTCTGCCAGAGGTGAAGAACTAGTTAAGACGTCGTGTTTACTGAAAGTTCGTTGCTAGGACTGATTGCCAGAATCAGATGAATGGCGGTTAAACAGAAAGCAGTTTGCGGTGTTAAGTGTGGAATGAAAGGGATGAGGGAATGAGATTTGAGGGGATCACAGAGAGAGAGAGGGGGGATGTGTGCATTAAAGGACAGGCTAAGCCCAAATCATCTGCTGTGGTTCTGCACACGGCATCTGGCCTAAAGATGCCTGCCTGATCCCAACATACAGTAGATGCAGATGCATATACAGAGCACAGCTTACTGTATGCTGCATCTGTTTGTGTTACAATTCAGCGATATAATTCGACATCCGAGCCATTTCTTACCAGTTCATCCAGTGCGAAGCTCAGGCTGCCGTCTTCATACAGGATAAAGAAGCGCCGCTGCCATTTCTGATAATAAAAGAGTAGAAATTAAGTCACTACAGCTCCATATTTTTTAACGAACACTCATAATGGAGACATGGGAGATGTCTTTATGTCCTACCCTGGACCTCTGCATCGGGTTGTCAAAATCTGTTCCCTCAGGAGCCAAACACAGCCAGCCTCCGTAGATGGGCTTCGCCTGGAAGGAAAGTGGACAGTTAGTTCATTTAAAGAGGGTATACAGACAATTAGACAAATAATCAGGTAGTTAACTGAATTTGTAATCTTTAAATATATCTTTTTGTTTACATCCAGCAATAACACACTGGTTCAGCTCTGCTTCATAAATATGACAATTTGTTGAATTTGTGATAATTATTTAAACTTATTTGGGTTCTGAACTGCTTGTTTAGACCAATTGTAGCAAGACCCATAAATCATCATCAGTCTAGCAGCAATATTGGTATTTGTGCACATATCACCTAGAGCAGACCGATTGGGGGGAAATCATACTTGGAGAAAACATTTAATCTCAATTTTTCACGTGTTTTTTTTAAAGTCAGGTTCAGTTCAACATTACTTATGTAACAGATCTGAAACGTATGACGGATCGTTGCCACACCAAAGTGTAACTGTCACACAAGGAGGCGGCGTGAATTTGTAAAACCATTGCCACAACAGCTTAAAACGATGTGTCAGAGATGCAGCAATACATAAGAGGGGTGTGGCTATTAAATAATAAAACTGGGCTTATGTTATCAAGCCACAGTGTCCACGATGAACCACATCATCTACACACATCAATGGTAGGCAACATTTGGCAACATAAACAACCCCTGCAAGTTTCAATCTGTAAATTAAATTCCAGCATTAGTCTCATTCTTTAACAGCCACACCTTGAACACCCTAAACTGCAGCCTTTGTGATTTGCCAGTTGTATTGTTTCACATAGTGAGTTTGATCTGAAATTGTTCAGCCCCACATCTATAAACTTACAGAAATGGTAAACTATATCCAAAGTAATATGGAAAGTGACATTCACATAGTTTTCCCACCAGAGACCACATCCAACAAGCTAATTTGTCATCTCTATACTGTCCCAGTGTCTATCTTGGCCAGGATTCTCCAAAAATAAACAAGAAAGAAAGCAATTAAAGAAATAAATGTAACAGATTCATACCAAGACTTGTGCTATGTGTTTTAAAAATACTATTATTATGACAGGATTTTTTAAATCCCTCAAATACTGATGTCAGCATCAACCTCAGAAATCCAGCATCAGCTATAAAAACATTCCAGCTACAAAAACAGCACGTATGAAGACGGCAGCTTAAGGAGGTTGTTTCTGGCATCGCTCACTACTTTATGGCATTTCATAGACCTTCAGATAGTTCATCCGTAATGAAAATAACAATGAAAATAACTGTTAGCTGCAGCCTTACTGACCCTTTCTGACTTGGATTAGACACAGATAAAAGGATTTAGATTGTAAATGTGAAAAAAAACTAGATTATGCAGCTTTGCTATTAATACTGTCGTGTGTATTTGTTGTGGTCAACAGTATTGTGCAGTGTTGAAGCAACAGAGGAGATGATTTTTTTTTTCTTGAAGCCACGGACTGCTTTAGTAACTAGTCGGATGGTAAAAGAGGAACTGGTGGTGAAAACCAAATCTCGGCATGCAAGCAACTAGAGAAATCAGTTACAACCAGTGGTTATGGAGGTAGACATGTCAATTACTTGGCTTCCTGAATGAGTATCCAACTCGTAGAGTATGTGACTCATGTCATCAAGTGATAAGAAGGAGAGCCTGCCAGCCAATCCGTATCTAAATCAATGACTGGTTATACAATGTGCAACTATTCTTGACACTTTTCCTGCATCAATAAATCATCGATATTCAACTTCATTCTGTATCTAAGCACCAACTTCTGATAAGGGGAATTGTTTTTCTTATTTTCTATGTATTTACGAAAGCAGTATTGTTGCACACTTCTCAGTCAATCCACATTTTTAATTCCTTACCCCTCAAACATTTCTCGTCTCTTTGCGTAGATGCTACAATCAGGCTAAACAAAGTATCTTGGAGGTGATCTGGGAGCAGATTAGGGCTGCAAATAAGGATTATTGGGTCTATTTTTTGCCACACAAGCCCAAACAGATGTTTAAAAATGGCTTGTTTTGTGCATCCAAGAGTCCAAACCCCAACAATATTTACTTTATTTTTTTATTTACACATAAAACAAAAAAGATATCCAATTAGCATCATAGTTCATGTAATTATTGGTTATTTTCTTGAAGAGCAGGTAATAAATTACACTTGTGCTGAAATCCTAAAACAGGCCAAGATGTTTTCATGCCAGCAGTGATTTTAAACAGAAGTATGTACGATCTGTTTAAAATAACCACAATATGCAATCCTGCACATGTAAAACCACTGAAATATGCACCACTTTTACAGCAAATAAACAGCTCATCTCTGAACCCAGTCAACAGCTTCGCAGTAATACCATGTGTAGTGTTTGCATGTTGAGCAACAGCGCTGAAATTACAGGGCACAGTGAATCCAGGCAGGGGGACCGAGAGTGATAACATATTTTAACAATGCGAGGCATGTAGGAAGCCGTCATCCTTGCATCACCGCGACATGACAGACCTGCAGCAACAATGTTTTCAGAAGCTGAGGACCGGCAGTGCAGAGCAAGTGTAGAGGGGACTCCTTTCAGTGAGCACCAAACAAATAAAAGAGCTGATTTATCAATAAGTGCATCAGGACTCCTATCTAAACACTCCTGACTCCACTGTCTCTAAGCTGCTTTTTTCAGCTTCATATCTATAACTTCATTAAGAAAAGGGATTTTTGGAAAGAAACTGCTGCTTTGGGCTTCGGGGATTTGTGGAAGACATTCGTCTATATTTTTGACATGTCATACACAAATGATTCATTATTGGATGAACTGGTCATGGAAACAACTAAGACTTCCCACACTCTGCACCAGAGGGCTCACTCATCAAATGCTGCGTTTAACTACAACTTAGAGATACTTGAGTATTACCATTTTAACCGCTTTGTACTTGTGCTTCTTCACATTTAATTGGTGAACTGTACTTTTTGCTTCACATTTATTTTTACAGCTGCAGGTACTAAAATTTGCTTTCGAAACGCAAAGTAAAGATTAAAATTTTACTGTATATCTGAGGTTAGTACACACTAATTAATTAGTACCAGGGTTTTTACCGGCTAAGAGCGGGCCTTTAGGGGAGTATGGTCAGTCTGCATACAGTAAGGACAATGAATAATTGTGTTGCTTTATCTCACAGAAATGTGTGTATTTTCCTGTTATTTTTGACCATAATATAAAACAAAAATGTCTATTAAGCTCAAGCAATTTAAAGGCAAATTAACAAGATTGGTTCAAAATACATACGCATTTTTAAAAATTCTCAATTTTTATAATTTTGGGACTGGTGATTTTGCTTTGGCTCTGGCTAAAACCTTTTAGGTGAGACTCAATAATTTCTCTCAGCAAGAATAAAATATGTAAGTAATGACTGACAGGGGTTAGGGCTACTGTTACTTGAGTGGGCTGTTGAAATAACAACTTTCGACTCTAATCAGCACTCGTAGCAGAGTTTAAATCACACCTGAGCAGTCGGTGGTGCAGAGCCAAGTGGTGTCTTCATGGTAAGTTGTGGACTTGTTTGTGAAATACATTGCTGCAAAGTTAGTAAAATATGTGCCCATCATGTTCTCTTTTCAGTATAACTCTAACACACTGTGTAATCATAAATATCAGTCGAGCATCCACCCCAAAAATGCAGTACTTGTTGGCTCTAGTTAAGGGACTGTATGAAAGGTAGTGCAGAGGGGAGGAGGGTTGTTTCAGAAGAGGTAAAAGCAACATTATCCCCTTAATAAATGAGGACATTGTACAAGGTGGGTACAACTTTTCCCATCATTAACGGAGACTAAATAGTTGAAGAAAAAAAAAATCCGTAATATATTTCATGGAAGAAACATTTTCACAAAATAGTGCAAAATCAATCATGAATCTGGATTTTACCATTTGACTTACCCATTTCTGAATGGAAGTCAAAACTATCAAAAGGCTGAACAATTCAATTACAGTTTATCTCATTTAATATGACAAATCTCGTGTTTTTACACTCACACTGTTTTTATAAGGCAAGACACACACAGGCAAAAGTATATTGTTTTCATGCACTGGTCAGTTTTGAACTATTCAGATTAGTGGGAAGAAAACATCCACAATATACATTTGTATGTTTACTTTTACTAGACGGTGTGTGTTTATTTTTACTACACCTTCTCCATTTGCATCAGTACATTTCAAATGTAACACATATCTTTGGAAATCTGTCCAACTCTGAGCCAATAATCTCTTCAAACTTTAGGTTTCATCAAAATCGATATTATGAAGAGCTTCAGAGAGGGTTCAATCTTATATCACTGACATCCTGATTTAGAGAACATTATGTGTCTAAAAAAACATGGTTAAATTTAGTTTTTTATTTCCCTAGGATTACCGATACCTGGATGATAATCTACACAGACATTTTTTAGATATATGTATATATGTAATGCCTCATTTGCATATTTACAAAAAACTTGTAAACAAACAATCCTGCAATTGTAAGCAATCAGCTGAGTATGCTTCATATTGGCATGTATTGTTTAAAACTTGTCCCCTTTATTAAAAGTTAATTTGTGATGTGAAACAGTAAATCAGTGTTCTCTACACTGTTTCTCTAAACCTACATTATTCTTCTTTAAAGAACTAAAACAACAACCAGTCCTCCTACCTGCCCGATCACTTGTGCACTGTCCCTAATTTAAGATTGCTGATTTTGGGCAGCACTGCTAAATCAATGAATCATTGATCGATTATTTAGCGGCAGGCAGCCACAATTAAAGTTTAAATTGAATACTTGAAGATCCTTACATTGGCTCGTTTTTAACTTTAAAGTAATTCACACATAAAACAATACTTGTTTGCCAGCAAACAGCCGCTGAGTTAATCCTAAAGGATGCTAATGTTAAACTGAAGTGACAACAGCGTCAAAAATGAGTTCGCAAAATGAGTCTCCCTCATGTCAAACCCTGCCGGACACTCATTTATCCACATTTAACGGGAAACCTGTGGAAGTGTTTCCTGGGTGAACCCCAGCAGCCCGGTGGAGGTGCCTTACCTGCTCCATGTCGCGGTCGGTGAGCAGATGCAGCTCCCGGGACTTGAAGCAGTTCTGACATTTGCTCTTGTTGAAGATGTTCGCCTGGAACCGGCCGCAGGGACTCGAACTCTTCTCGCCGGACATGTTTCCTCCAGCGCGGCTCTACTCCCAGCTCTGGCTGCCGTCCTGCTCCGCTCCTCTACTCTGAATGAAGCGCTCCGACCCGATGAACGAACATCTGTCACTCACGGAGCCATCCGCCGCTGACGTCATGACGGCGCCCTTACGTCATAGCACCGCTGCACGCACGGACACAGCCTGAAACAATAAAAGCCTTCACTGACAGGTTGGACTTTTCTCTTGTTTTTAGAGAAAATAACAGGTCACGAAACGAATAAATGAAATATAATACTTAAAACTTGTAACCTGCTCCTGTTAAGGCAGTGTAGCACAATACAACATGTGGTCAAAACCTACAAAATAAAAGAAAAACTGTCTTTTATTTCGTAGGTTTTATTTCATAAAGTTGAATTAAACGTATAGCATGTATACATAAAATTTGAATCATTTCATAAAAGAACATACAACAACTCACTTAATGTAAAAATAAAAAAGAGTATTACACAGATGTCAAGTAAACTGATAAAAGTAAAAATACTGATGTATGATAATACACCACAGTACAACCTAGTCAGATATCAAAATAAAAGCAATATTAAAAGGTTTCTTTTTAATTTTTCAAAAATTAAGTTTCAGTTACACAAATAATACAAGTACATACTAAAATAACAAAAAATAACTTTAAAAAAAAGACTTCACTTGTTTGTTTTTTTGCCACAGTGCTCATCACAATAATGTCCCACAAAACAACATCCAGTCACATTCAACAAATAATTTTGAATATAAACAGATACAACAGTTAAAGAGATAATAATTACTCATGTCAAAATGTATAACTTGTCACGCTATTGTCACGAACATTTGTTTCCATTCAAAAACAAGCATTTTGACAGCTTTTCTTTTCTTTCTTTTAAAAATAACTGAAACGGTCAGACATAGAATGAACACACAGAAAGCAAATATATTTTTAAAAAATTGCAAAATTGTTAAAAAAAAATGCAATACCCACAGCAAAATGCATTTGAAATAAACATATATTGCAAGTAAATAGATAAACAAAAACAACTAAACAATGTGGAAAATGCTGCTCCTATGACAAAGTGCAACAGCACTACTTCATTAAAAAAAAAAAAAAGAGTATTTGAAATAAACAGATACAGCAAGCATCAATATAACAGATCAAAAAGTACATTTTATTAATAAAAAAAAAGTCTAAATGGCTTTTGTCATGATAATTTACCACATACAGCATCTGGCCAATGAAATTAAAGCATTTTTGACAGTTTTTCAATAACTACAATAAACGTGTTGGTGTTGTGTTGTTGTTTTTCTAGTACAACAATTTCCCTGAGGTTTGCACCAAAGGGATAAATAAAGTTCTATTCTATTCTATTCTATTCTATTCTATTCTAAACAAAGAAATAAAAATAAAGTTGTTCTTTTTGTTAACCAATCATTCTAACTGATATAAAAAGATTAAACAACAACTGTTGCTTGCTTTTTTTCTTCAAGAAAAACAGCTACATCGAGTACACAGCAGCTAACCAACTATATCAGAGACAAATCATTGTGTCCTCATGTATCTACAAAGACATGAAAAAAGCCTGTAAGGGTGTTTTCATACAAAGCAAAGCTTCAACAGCACCATCTGTGATGGCTTCATCCACTGCATGGATTATAGAAAAGGCCTATGAGCTGCTCTTTATCAAATGAACCACATTTTATTTGGCAAACATACATTTAAGGAGTTCTCTTCTAAAACCACAGTTAGAAAACACCTTTTGTAGCATAAAAAAAAAAATCGAAGCATAAATCTCACTTTTGTGGGATTTTTTCCAGTGCAGCATCTTCAGCATCTGTGCAAACCCGAAACGTGCAGATAAAGTAAGCACACAGCTAATAAAATAAAAAGACAAACAAAAACACAATGTGTGAAATGTTATTGTCAAGATGTTGCACACTAACTCAACCTCTAATACAATATTATACGTTTTAACAGTTAGTTGTTTTGTTTTTTTTTACATTCAGGTATAAAATGTTTACCAAATATGGTCCAAAACACAAACAAAATTTAGAAAACAGGACATGAATTCAATCCAAAAAATTCATTTCCAATGTTTTGCAATTTTATTGCAAAACTGTGATAATATAACAACAAAATGAATATACCTGATAATATTAAAATGAATGTTTTTGTTGTTTATTTATATTGTTAAAAAGGATGAAAAAATAAAGAAATAAAACAAAACTAAAACGCATAAGAAATCATTTTAGACCATTTACATGTTAGGTCTTGAAAAACTAATAAAATATATACATTAATGGAAAAAGGAAATGAGAAAAAAAGGAGAATTTTGAAATACACATTAGAAATTTGTTGGTTATCAAGTATCAAAAAGACAAAATCTACACCTTTCAGAGTGGATTATAAATAAAATGACCAGTGTCTCGCTAAAACAGTAATAGGTTCTTCTATTTGGAGGTGATGTACTGCAGAAAAAGACATATTCTCCGTTGTATAGTTCCATTCAAAGAATGCTACCACACCCTGTAGAAAACTCTTCCTTACGCATACATCTCAGTAATGAAGAGCATCAATTATGCTGTAGCATTTTGAGTAAAGTAAAAGCTGGAAGTGAAAGCACCAGATGTCTGTTTTGACATCTATGTTGATGGATGTTGATCGAAACAGGAGAAAGTGTCATTTCTAACAGATGTCATTGTTACCAGTACATATCATACTGAACATTTCACATGAGTAAATCCTACAATTAATAATAAAAACTATACTGAACTCCCCCTAATGTCTCAGATAACACATAAATAACAAATCTCACAAAAACAGCCAGGCAGTGATGCAAGCATTTATTCAAGGCAATGGCAGTGGCAGGGATTATACAAACTAAAAATGTTTTGAAATTTTTGGCCATCCAAAAATGTATAAAATACAGTAGTTGTTTGTCACAGGGTGATATGTTCTGCTTATTACACCAAAATACAATTTGCTTCCTTTGAAACAGAACAGATAGTTCACTATATGTGCAAACTAGGCTTTCATTCCAATTCCAGATATATTAGTTCAAATACCATATTTGTGCCTGCACTTTCTAAGCAGATTCAAGATATTTTGTAATAAATTAATGCTTCAACATCAGACATTTTCTTCAACAGACGCAAAATGGCACACAAAGAATAAAGCTTTAAAAATGAATTCATCCATATGCTATCTACAAAACTTAAAGGTGCTTCTCTCAACATGTGCATATCCGCATTATTGTTTAGGTGAGACCCTGAAGACAGGTTTGGTTTCGTTATTCAGACTTTGATCACAGGTTACAGAGCACTGCTAGTTAGATGGACACAACTGACCAGTTATTAAGCCCCAACCACTGAGGTAACTTTGCTATTATGGCTGCAGATTCAGGATTCAAAGTACTTTGTGAAGTAAAGTTGATTAAAGACAGCAAGGGACAAAAGTACCTTCTGATTTCTGGTTGGTGAGTTCACCAGCTGAAGAAACAGTTGTGTTAGATTTGTCAGCTAATGCTACGTGTGCTGTTTTTTTTTTTTTTTAAATGCATCAGAATGACTATTTTAATAAACCTCTAATTGCAATTTTTTGGACAGATAGGCAATATGATTTGCGATACCGTTTTTAAAAGTCAAGCTTCAGTTTAATAATCAGTCGATAATAGTTGTAAAACACGATGGAGCATTATCACATGAAACACCATCAGAAATGTGACGACCACATTAGAAAACTATTGACACAACAGTTGGGTCTGAAATATAGGCTAACACACATCCTAACTTGCAGAGACTGCAATTTACGAGTTGCACAGTGTCCTAAACAGCCATTATTACCCTCTGAAGGGAGTAATATTTGTTGTAAAAAAACTGCTTTTGTATCCGAGTTGAACACAAAACTGGCTGGAAGATCTCTAAAGCCACTGGCCCAGACCTCTGACTGAATGTAAAGTCCATATTGCACAGTTTTTAACACATTTGTCATTGATTTTTTTGCTACTCATCCAGGTCCAGGGTACTGGTAATGATTAATTATTGATATTTCTTGGATTTACTGTTGAATCCAATGGGGAAATACTGACAAAATGAGATAACAATAAATTCAAGACAGGAAGTGTAAACATCCCCAAAATCCAATAGCAGCACGGCTAACATTAGCTTAAACTTCGATAGCATCCATGGCCAGCTTCTGTACGGTAAATTAATACTACACAGCCAGGAGTGACTAAAGAGTTTTCATTGCCTGTAACCGCACAAGCTAATGAAGTTAGCACCAATTAAGTACTTCTTAGCCTCGGAAATAGCGCTTGGTCACTACTGTAGGTACTAAGCTAGTTAGCCGGACATGCTAACACAAGCAGCTTACGAGAATACCGATACGTTCTACCCGCGCCTTGTCATGGCCGCCAAGCTACGATTGGTTAATCACACCGGAGTGACTGCTATTGGTTAAAGGCTGTTAGGAAAATGGTTGCTAACCAATGATTGGTCAAACACTGCTTAGGAGAGGGGCTTAATAAACGGTCAAAGGTCCTATTGTTTGATTGATCAAATATTTTCAACCCAGACATTTCAGTTTTTATTCACATTCGTATTTTTTAATTCAAACAGCTTCTAGCGCATCTTTCCAATCACATAGATCTCTTTTCTTTAGACACTGATATTTTATATTTACAAAATCACCTTTGAGGCTATACTGACAAATGTTTCCTCTCATTTTGAAAAAAACAAGTCAACATTTAGTCCGTGTAAGCAGTATAGGTAAATAGCATTGTATATGTTTAAAGAACATTATTATGTGACGCGTATAGCAGGAAATATTACTTTGGAAAAATAAATAAATAAATACAACCTTTTTTTTTTCTCTCTCCTCTCATAGCCACACAATAAACATACAGATGGCTTTTCAAATCTAAAACAGAAATAAATGTTTGTGCTCAGGAAGAAAATCTAAACATTTGACTGTAGTTTTTTCTCATATAGTGCATTCTCGATAGACAGCTACTCTGGCATTGTCAGGCAGTATTAGTTTAGGTAAGATACATGTCACATTCATTCTACTGCAAATGTAATGTATACTACAGTATTTGTTTTTTTCTTTTTTGTTCAGTTCACTGTTTGTATATTAGGCGAAAGCTGGGAGTTATTCAGCACTGAAGAGACACACACTGCAGTCCAGTTTTGTGAAAAGGATGATGGAATAAAACTTTTTCCAGGTCTAGTCTCTAAAGGACACGTTCACAACATTCAGAGGAGGAAAGAAACAGAGCGAAACCCCAGCTGACAAACAGAAAGGAGGAGGGACTCGTCTGTGCTTCTCAAAACTCGTGTCTGTGATACATGTCTGGATCGTAGTATTTGGTGACCACCACTCTGTTGGCAAACTTGCGGCCGGTGAGGGCTTGCATGGCTTTCTGACAGTCTGCAGCAGAAACATACTCCACGAAGATCTAAAAAGAAACAAGAGTCATTCAGGTGCTGAGCGATGTGAAGATTAGACCTCAGATCTATAAAAAGAAGGAATTAATACATATTTAGAGCTTCCTTGTGTGTCCAATTATACTTTTAAAAAGCCTGGGAGAGTGTTTTCATGTCAAGTGCAGCTTCAATAGCTCTGTTCTGGATGCTCTCCTCCACTGCATATCATATCAGAAAGTTGCTGTGAGTTGCTCTTTATCACTGAAGGAAAGTTAACAACACACTTATTTGACAAACCAGAATTTTTTTATCTTTATTCCACTATACAACTACGTACATGTCAACCCTTTCAAATGCCCACCTGAATCACCGAATGAAAAATCTGTAAAATACCTTTAAAAAAAAGTGATCTGTAGGATCTTTAAATGGCAGCCAAATGTGAACGATATTATCCCTTTATTTAAAAAAAATCAACAAAGACCACAGTCTACACGTGAGCCATCAAGCTGTCTGGTGTGTATGATGCAAAGCAGCATTTTAAATGGAAACTGCACCAGATGAATAAACATCAGGAGGAGAATCAGCCCCAGATGATGTCTGTGCGTCACAAATCAGACGCCCTGACAAATGTGGTAAGCCCAAAGTTTGCATCTTTATACTACAACACAATCTGTTAGTGGCTGCAGCAACCACTGGACTGAACTTTGACAACACATATGTTAATTGAGATGTATTTTTCTATATTCCATATGATTTTCTGCATATGTCTTTATGTAATTTAGTTGGGAAAATTCACATGATTGGTGGATGTTTTATAAAAGTTGACATGTGTGCAGGAAGTTTCTCAGGAGGATCAGACACTAAACCGCATCTCAACTGAAGGAACCAAGGACTAAAGTTAGTTCCTGCAGGGTAAAAGAATCCCTATTGCAGTGGGATGGACGAGCACGTAATAACTGACATATACATTTGTGTACTACTTCGTTCACAAAACCATCAGTACTCAGTAGAATTTTAAACTTCTTCTTGTTTATTTAAAAGTTAGGCTTTTCTGTTGTTTTCCCGGCTCAACTTAAACCATCTGAGAGAGAGAGAGCCACAGCGAGGCATTGATTTTTCTATGTTTCACACCAGTTATGTCAGAAACTGAATAAAATAACCACGCATCAGTCTGCAGTGAGGAGGAACGGTGGTCTAATGTTTAGGACACACAGCACATAACAGCACAGTTCTGTTACTGGTTGCAGGGAGATTTATTGCACCTCATATCTGCCTCTTCTCACATACCTCCTAACTGTATCTGCACTGAAGGCATAAATGTCAAAAAACACTTGTCACTGCAGAGACAAGAGCTTGAGAGTTTCCATCTCCTCTTCATTCAGTCATTTCATCAAACTCAGACATCACTAAATACACATGTCAACAGATGATTGTGTTCGGAATGTCAATTTTTTTTTTTACCACAGTGAGAAAGTTATTTGCCTCATCTCTGTCATGTTTTTTTGAAATGTGGTGGAAACACAAACAGAAATGCTCGTGCATACTTCAGTTTCTCAGATTAGCTGTTTTGGTTCTACATTTTCTGGAACTGTTTGGTCATCAGTCGTGCTTTAGCCAGTAAGAGCTGCTTTAGTTGGTGTTTTTACCACAGTTAACCACAAGGGGAAACAATGAGCACACTCCATCCATCCATCCATTATCTATACACTCACATTCACACCTACGGACAATTTAGAATCACCAATTAACCTCAACATGTTTTTGGACTGTGTGGGAGGAAGCCGGAGAGAACACAAAGAGCATATTCCACATCCAAAATCAAACTTGAACAAGCCATACACAGGGAAAATGTATGTTTATCTGAACTAGTTCTTCAGTTTTGCAAAATAAAAATTAAGACTGGGGCACCGGGATCTTTCTGCGTGGAGTTTGCATGTTCTCCCTGTGCAGCGTGGGTTCTCTCCAGGTTCTCCGGTTTCCTCCCACACAGTCCAAAAACATGTTGAGGTTAATTGCTGATTCTAAATTGTCCGTAGGTGTGAATGTGAGTGTGCTTGATTGTCTCTCTAAGTGTGGCCCTGTGATAGACTGGTGACCTGTCCAGGGTGTCCCCTGCCTTCACCCTGAGTCAGCTGGGATAGACTCCAGCCCCCCTGGGACCCTAATGAGGATTAAGCGGTGTATAGATAATGGATGGATGTATGGATGGATGGATGGAAATTAAGACTGTCTCATTGGTTTTACAAATGTACATCTAGTTAAGCTCCCAACTGATAAAAAGCAGTGTTCAAGCACTTCCGCCTGCCTTTCTATTAGACATACAGATCCAGACATTCTGTAGCATGTAATGCTCTGACTCCACCTTACTATCATTCTGCTATCGGGCTAAAATGCCATGGCTTGTTTATGTGTCGTCAAACCAGTCACAAACTAGCAGGTCTGCCTTACTGCATGATCCAAATTATCAGCAAAAACTTGAAACTTTCAGTGTGGTCGGCTGCTGCTTTGAGGTTGTCGTTAAAGTGATGTGGATTTTAAAAACAAGAACATGTAGATAGAGGAGGGCGAGGACAACGTGGCCTGAAAAGACTGCATCAAATGACTCAGACTAGTTCAGGACCGTCTCCCACATTATGAATGAGAGACTCCCAAACAAAGCTACACATTCAAAAGTTTTGAAGGCTGCCAGTTTAGAAAAGGCTCACAGTGCAGAAATGCTGTACTTTGAGAACAGCTCTGGAGCGTCAGGTGACAGATGACATTAAAAGCTAACCTGCAGTGTTTTTATTAGACTTCAGACTTGACCTGTAGCCATAGTTTTCAGATTCTGAAACCTTTTGGTGTCACTTTGACAGCTTGTTCACCAGTAACAATCTAGCTGAGTGATGAGTTATACCTGTGTATTCAAACACAAACTGTGTGAAGACAATTCATTTCAACATTGCATAATGATCTAACCCTTCGCAGACGCACCTTTCCGCAGCCGGGGACTTCCACGCCATCGACGGGCCGGGGGATCTCGATGGAGCGGACGCTGCCATACTTGCAGCACTCCTCGCGGATGTCCTCCAGAATTTCCTCATAGTCCTCGTCGTCCACCAGCTCCTCCGGCATCACCATGTTGAGAAGGCACAGCACCTCCGTGGGCATGCCAGAGTTCTGCAGCCTCTGCAGCCCAGGCACCTGTAGCGTCACCGGGGTCTCTATGATGGAGGTCTGCGGGCAGAGGAACATAAAATATCACCTTCTACATCAATGTCAAAATGCATTTAATTCTTCAGTTCAGTACAGATAATGATTGGCCACATGAATATACCCATAAGCCCTTGTGCTTCCTGCCTCTGAATCTCCTGCATCACTGGAGTGAATTAACATGTTGGAAGTAATTCTTCCGCTGACCTTTCACTCCCACCATCTGCCACTGTGACAAAACGGAGCTGTTTTGGTGCCAGAAGAACACAGTCTTGTTGAATGCACTGATACAGGGAGGCTCTTGTTTGTTTACAGGTTCTTACAAAGTCTTTAATGTTACCAAACACAGAAACCACAAGGAACTATTTCAAAATGTGTTTCTGGAAAACACGTTTTGTTTTTTTTTTTCCTTCATGGCAGACATGTTGAAAAACTACAACACCCACGAGTCTTAGGTGCTGTTTTAAAAAGTGACACAGATTTAAAAATTGTCTTTCCTTAATAGCTTAAGCTTAAACTGCTGCCACCAATTAGCAGCTTGTTGATTGGATCGTTCTTGCTGAAATGCACCTTGGAAGCCGTAGTTGCTTTTTCCCTGATACTTACATGAGCGTAAGTTTTTTGTTTTTTTTTCTTTTCAAGTGAAGAGCCACATATTTTGTGGCACAATCCCATGTCGCTTCAAGCCATTGATCAGCTCCAACTATCAACTATGGGAAAAATGAAACAGATCCTAATTTGCAAATCCTGATGCCTTAAAATTAAAATAGTAAAATTTTGAATAAAACTACACAATGTCTTTATCGTCAGTAATGTGAAAAACTTTCAAGTGAAATAGAAAAAAGGATAAAACACTTTATTTTCACCTGTTGTATTTTTTTTTTGAGATTCCAGGAAATACGGAGTAGCATGAAACAGCGTATATCTGGTCAATACACATGAGCTTCCTGCAGCTTTCCAAAATAACTGATTTTACATGAATCCTTTTGAACATTTCCTTTCGGTGTTGCTGAAAGGAAAACAGAAATTAGCCACCTGGAACCGACATTTGGCTAACTGCATTAGGGATCTCCATCTGGGGATATTTGCCGGAGGAGGAAAACTGCAAGTCGCCCTAATACACGCTGTATTAGGGCAACACAATTACTCCCGAGTCTGCACAACAGAGGATGAGAGTACAAAGTTACAGAGACATAACAGACATATTAACTGGAAGTACAGCAGGCTGAGGAATCATGCTGTTTGCTCAGGAGGATAAGTTGGGCGAAACAAATAAATTAGAGCTCGACCACATTCAAGAATTTCTTTTAGGGTTAATAAGGTTTTATCTTATCCTGTCCTATTATCGGGAAACGTAAACGAACACACCCTTCTGACTCCTAATGCCCTGTTATTAAGTGATGCGCAGGGTTGAGTAGTTGCTCAAAAACCCATTGAATGAATATATTTATGTACCTGCAGCTGAAGATAACTGGAGCCCAGGCACTTTCTGAATATTTTTCGCTCCTATCACATTTTTTGAATCACTGTCATTCTTACTGCAACAGAAAGTCCTCCACACATCAATGAGAACAGCACAACCATGGCTAGAAGGAGACAGAAGTCTAAATGTCTTCTGTGCAGTATGAAACAATTAGAATGCCATATATCATAAAAAGGAGAAAGCAAATGTTGAATTTCTTTAATTATCTATTTTACAAAAAATGAAAGTTAAAAACTCTGGGAAAATGTTGTTTCTACAGAGATATTTTACTGTTTTATTTATTTCCACACTTTTCCTCTATCTGCTCTGTGTTTCTGGATACTTGCCACATGACTGCTGGTTGTGAGTCACTTACAGCACTTTGGTTGCACAGAGCACCACAGAATGTTTTGTTTTGGGTCTGTTGCAAATGGTTAATTTGGGGTAATTTTTAACAAAGACATGTAGAATAAAGTGATTTGAATGAAACATCACAACTTCTTTAACCTTAGATTTGGCTAATTTGTCATTTTAGAACTAGAAATCCTCCTGATTAGTTCGAGAAGCACAGGGAAGTTGGAAATCTGACAATTCTTTCTCTTTATACAGTTTCTGGCTCTGATAACAAACAAACAAAACAACCTGTCCAACCTGTTATCAGGTTTTGGGGCTCACAGAATTAAGTCATCAAAAATATTTTAACTCTCTTCAGGAGGAGAAATCAGAGAGTTTTTCATATTGGTGTCACAGACCAAGAGATAGGATTCTGTATGTTTTTCTTTTCTTTGTCTTTAAGGAAGCTACAGGCAAAAAGGACTGGCACTCACAGGATTGGCATTTTTGGCTCCCACACTTGCCCTCTGAACGATCAGCTTTTTGTCGCCCAGTTGCATCCCATTGAGCCCAGCTACTGCCTGATGGAGAACAAACACAGACCTCTGAACAACAGACCTCTGAACAACACAGCTGACGATCCGACTGCAGCAGGTCGTCACTGTTACCTGATCAGTGGCGCTGACGTCCACGTATTCACAAAAGGCGTAACCTTTCGACAGTGACGTGGCACTGTCCTTCACTAGATTGAACGCTTTGAGCGGCCCGAACGACGTCAGGAGCTCCTTAACCTGCGAACAAGAGCCACACAACAAGGTCTGAGACTGAGAATTCACTGTAAACATGAATGTGTTTCCCTACTGACTGAATTCTAAATGTCCATTTGATACTCACAATCAGTTTAACAGGATTAATGAGAACAAAATGTGATTAAACATAATGTCAAAAGGGTCATTTGTACATACTGCAGTTTATAGATTTTGCATTGCTACGATGGTTTCTGAAAAGAAAAAGAGTTGACAGCAGTGTATAAAATTGTCTTTTGAGCCATTAAATAACAGTCTCATTGGAATGGTTCATGATCAATAGCCCTGCAGATTATTTTACTTTCTTGACTATTCGAATAACATTGGAGCGTATAAAATGTGAGAAAAAAGGGAAAACGAACATAACAATGACTGAACTTCAAGCTGATGTTATGCGAAAATACTGAGTTTACCATAATTGTAAAAGAAAAACAGGGGCAACTGTTTAAGGAACGTTAATCAGCTCTACTTAGTATTGTAAAGGAGACATAGTTAAACAAACAGTTGAAAACAAAAGTTTACATACACTTGCAAAGACCATGTATGTCATGGTAGTGTTGAGTTTCCAATGATTCCTAGAACTCTGCCTTTTCTACGATGGAATCATTGAAACACGTACATCTTAGTCACGAAAAGCAATCGTGCATTTTGGTTCTTTCATAGATTTATTATAGGTCCTCTGGAAACATGACAAAATCAGCTGGGTCAAAATATACATAGAGCAACTTGAATTATCAGTTCTGGTACTGTAGAAAGCTGCGTTAATTAAATTTTCCTAGAGGCATGGCCTCTTAACTTTTTGTAAGCGACTATAATTAACTACAGCTGCTAACGACTCTGAGCCAATTTAAATAGGGCCCCTCCTCTAAACGCATCACCTTAAAGTGTGACTGATGTTTTCTGCTGATCAAATGGACAAATAAAGGCTTTCTGGAGGAAAGTTATGCGGTCCAATGGAACAAAAATTGAGCTACTTGGCCAAATGACCAGCAATATGTTTGAAAGAGGGAAGATGAGGCCTTTAACCCCAAGAACACCAAACCTACCACCAAGCATGGTGGTGGCAGTATCATGCTCTGGGGCTGTTCTGCTGCCAGTGGAACTGGTGCTTTACACAAAGTAAACAGAATAATTAAGGAGGATTATCTCCACACTTTTTTTAGGAATACTCAATATCATCAGCCAGAAGGTTGGGTCTTGGACAAAGTTGGGCGTTCTAACAAGACAATGACATCGGACACACAGAAATTGTTCATTCAGGCTAGAATTGAGGTTTTGCACTGGTTTCCCTACAGCCCTGACTTTAATTTCATCAAGAACCTGTGAACTGAGAACCCATGAATACAAGTCTGTCAGAAAGCCAACAAATTTGGTTGAACTGAAATCTAACAAGAGGAGCAGTCAAAGATGCAACTAGAAATTCGCCAGAAGCTTGTGGATGGCTACCAAAAGCACCAAGTTGGTGTAAAAAGGACATTTCATCAAATATTTCTACTGCTGTATGTATGTTTTAGACCCAGAATATTTTATCATATTTGCAGAAGGCCTAAAATAAATCTATGAAAAAAACAAAACGCATGATTGCTTTTTTTTGTGTGTGACGTGATGCAACAAGATGCATGGATTTGAATGATTCCATCATAGAAAATTAAGAGTTATAGGAGTCATTGGAAACTCGAGGCTGCTGTGATATACATCGTCTTCACACGTGTAAGTAAACTTTTGTTCACAGCTGTACTGAAATATGTATGTAAAAATATTAATAATATAATAGAACTGATCTTATTAAAGTGGTTTAAAGATGACTTGCCATCTACAGGCACCACAACAGTCAGACATTACGTTCTTACCTTTATATTAAAAGTTGAATAAACTCCCCAAAAAACCACCACCTCCCCGAAAACCATCCCCAAATCTTAATGATCAGTCCTTCACCCCAAATGCCCGGGTCCTAAACGCGCTCCAAAAGCATGATGGGAGAAAGAAAGTAGCCAGTAAGGGAGCCTGCTGGCTCGCAGTGTATCCGTGTGAGGACCAGAATGTCTTACTTGCCTTGTGTTACATGTTGGCATGGCAGCAGTAGATGAGTACTACTGAACAAATTATGAGCGCAGACTTAACGATCTTACAGGCCCCTAGCTGGGGACAAAGTGGGGGAACAAAAATGAAAGAGCTGTGAGTATCAACGCAGTGGCAGAGACTGCAAGTATTAAAAAAATAAAAAGAAATCAGTGAATTATAGACATCAGGCTAAATGTGATCTGCAATCTAATTAAGAGTTAATGAGACAGAATGGACAGTTAGAATTAAATTCACTGTGCGAAAAATTACACCACCTGCCCACCTGAGAGCAAACTGCAGCATATCAGCAAATATTTACTCGTTGTCAAAGGACAAGTCCACCCTTCATTTGCACTGCTGAAGCATTTCTGGAGTTGTTTAGTGGATTTTTGGTTCCCTGAAACCTTTAAACAACGTCTCTCAATCACCGCCACAGAATGTGACCTGAACTTGTCGACCCTTTAGGTTCACATGACAGGCTGAAGTGGCCAAAATCCAAATTTCTTTCCGTCATGTGTCCCAGATCTGCTTCATATGTGGTTATACATCTGCTTTATATCTCATATGTGGCTCTGTGGCTGCTGTCAGATCATGTGTTTTTTTTTTTTTTTACTTCACTTCTCACTTGTCTTCAGATAGAAAATAAACATGCACCGACACCAGAGAGACGATGAGGTTTTTAAAGGAGTAATTTGTTTATGAAGACGCCTCTAGTCAAACCAAACTGGAAGGAACTTAATTGCTATTACAGCTACGTCATCTGTGTTTATGGTTTGACTGTCATGCATAGATACAAACATGTACTTCATATTATAGTGATCTCTTGGGAAATATACATCAAAGCAGGTTGTACATATGGTACAGAGCATACCTACTGTATTTATTCAATAACATACAACCACACCTATTGAATATTACCATACTTGTTCAGAACAGTGAAATGTTTACATTCTTTTGTCTTTGTGCATCTTTGTTGTCCTTGTTTTTGCTGTATGTGCTTAAACACTGACATTATTACTACATATAAGTATGTGCAAACATTCTTGGCCAATGAAGGCGACTCTGATTTCAGAAATATGCCTCCAACCAAACGTCTTTGTCTTGATTTTTGGTTTGTCTGACTGACAGCCCGACTTGATGCCACTTGTCTAACAGCACAACAGATCGAAGCGTCAAATTTTCTTTAAATTGCGGAAGAAATGTCATATTTTTAACCCGCTCCTCCCCTTTGTGACTGTATTTCCCTAAACAGGCAGCTAAAAGGGACATCTTTTAGTAAAAACACAACCAAAACATGTACATTTAAGTTTTCTAATTTGGGCTTGTATTAGAAAAAACTGCAAAAGGCATCATTTTGAGCTCCCAATTTTCTTTCTTTGTTTTGCTTTTTATTTTTTTTGCTTTTCATCCAGATGGTTAGAGGATTCTGCAGATACCCTCAGAATATGTTTTGATAAAGTACCATCTGGGTTTTTTTTTTTTCCTGCCAAAAAATAATAATACATAGTGAAGTACAAAGTGGAGCTACTGCCCCCTGAAATATTCCCTCAGGATTACTAGAAATCAGAAAAAACAAACAAACAAACATTGGATCAGTGCCTCATTAAATCAATTATTGTACAGATAATGTAGAAGTGGTAGCTGGCTACATTTTGCCCAATGATTAGTTTTAGATTTTGTGAAACTTGATTTTTCTACAGTAAACATAAAGAAATGGCTGCAAGTTATTGAAACAAAACCAAGCAACCACCAAACAACATGAAAATCCAGAAAGGCAAAGTACTGTTGTCATTTTTTTCAGTGTCTTAAGGTGGACTTTTTCTTTGGCAATATTGACTCAAATAAATAAAAAACCCACAGAAATGACTACATGTCACTTCATCTGCCTTTGTGTAAATATACTGGACTTTGCTTACCTTTCTTAATTCAGTATGCTTAACATGAGAAAGGTATGAGCAGTTTACTCATAATAACGACATACTGTTTGTTTAATATCACAGATTCAGCAGATTAAAACCTGTGCAAATATTTTGAAATATATGAAAATATCAGATACACTAGCACAAATATCAGACATTAAATATCACTCGTGTTGTGGTTTTTTTTTTTTTTCCCTGTTTGTTATTTTTCATCTTTGTGCATTTACACCATGGGGTTAGGTCCCGTTTCTGCCTACGACTATTACTCACAATTTCTGATTCTTCATGTCATAAAGAAATGAAAAACATATTTTGTGCATGTTTGTGTATGTGACAAACAAAAAGCCTCAGCATGTGAGAGCAAAGTGAGGAGTGCAGCTGTTCAGCCTGCTTTCAGTTAAATACCTGGTCGTCATTAAGGTAGTTGGGCAGGCCTCCTATAAACAGTTTATGGGGGGAATCGGGAACGACGGTGGAGACGACACCTACACAAAGAAAAAGAGCTGTCAAACCACCACAGCAGATAACAGAATGGGTCGTTTTCGGGGATGAACAAAGCGTCCGAAACAGACCTGGGACGTGGAAAGCAGGCTGCTCTGAGATGCCGGGTAAAGGCCGATAGTCGTGAGGTCGTCTGATCTTCAGCGACTGACCCTGGAAAATGATTCCATCGAAGGCCATGGCCTGCGTCGTCTCATCTACAGATCGAAACTGAAGAATGTATAAGAACGACACGTGAGTGGGCATTGAGGAGGACACTGACAGTGCAGCTTCAACACATCTCTGATAAATCTCACAGTGAGCAGTTACTGATGGAAATAAACTGCCAAACCTTCATACTGAAGATCAATCTCCGAGCTAACCACAAAGCTAACCCTACAGACGCTGTTTAGCCTTAAAGATCACAGAACATGGTCCTGTTCGCCTTTTGCTGTTTTCTCTGGCTCATTTATCATATTTGTTATTTAGAAGAATTGCTGCAGAGGCCAAAGCTCTGTCTGGGCAGTGGAGAGAAATGGACTGTGACGATTTTCTGCACTCAGCTGTAATTTATGCAGCAGGACTGAGAGCTCGCAGCCATGCTGGCAGCTCTGTGAGGCTCACAGCAGTGCTTCGTGCTAAATGCTAGCGTGCTGATATAATATTTACCACGCTAACGTTCGATAATTACTACTAAACACCAGCTGAGGCTGCTGGGAATGTCATTAGTCTCACAGGTCATTAACTGAAGCATTGGACAAGTGGACAGAGTGGAGGCACCAAAGTGATTTGAGTCATCCTGAGGGAAACATGGATGTTTGGAGCAAATCCAACTCAAAGCCATAAATGTGAACCACATGATGGCGCTGGAGGAAAAGTCAGGCGATGTCACAACCAGTAGCATCATCTCTGAGTATTTGAATGAATGAATATTTGTTTCATGTCAAAAGCTGTTCAGATATTTTAATTTGGATCTAACATTTGGCCCTTTTTTGGGTATTTTTTGCCTTGCTTAGATAGTGGCAGCATAGACAGACAGGTAACATCGCTGTTGAAGACAAAGAGGGGAACAACATGCAGCAAAGGTCCAGTTGACGGGACTCAGCCGCTGAGGGCATTTTATTCACCAATTGCTGCCCCAGACGGCAGCATTTTTACATTTGAAATTTTAGGAGTCAGGGTGTAGTGGTGTATATAGATATCTGTCCTTAACTCTTCAGAGCCTGGCATTCGGTTCGGGACACATTGTGATCAAACCAATGACAGATATCTATTTATATCTACATTCAATCCAGAAAGACAAAGTCTGGGGTGCGAGCTCCACGTAGAACATTGTGGCAGCACACCAGTTGTTGTCTAACAGCTAAAGCATGCTAACAGAGTTAGCCTTTAAAGCTGCAGACACTGTGTGATTGTGTGTTAACTCACAGTACACGCTTTCATTCCTACAACCACAATCTGCAGCTTCTCTGCCTACACTGAAAGACCAGCAACACATATGGAACCAGATTTGTGTTCTTAAATATCAAAGAAATATAAGAATTTGATGGACAGTAAAACTTTGTGACGCAAAAACATAATCATCTCAAAAGTAAAACCTTAAACCTGCAACCAAATCATTTGTGTAATTCAGTAAACTATTGGTCTTTTACTTTTTTGATTTTTGCTCTAGTGAGTTTTTTCTTGTTCTCAAATATTTATTTTTGTTTGATATTTGAGATGTTTTGGTTGAATATAGTGAAGCAGGAATCTTTATTTCACCTTTAATGTAAACATTTTGGACCAGGTGAACTGTGTTCTTTAAACTCAACACAATTTCAGACATGTCAGAAATACAAAACACTCACCTCTAGGAAAGCAAAGTTCTTATCCTGATTAATCTGCACAGCGAGGACGGGGTTGCTCGGGGCTTGCGAGAGGCCCGCGAGACGCATCTGAGCGTTGAAGAACTCCGCCATGGACTCCTGAGGGGGAAACAAATCAAACAGCTAGAAATGACTGGAAATGCAGCGGCGCCGACAGATCAGCGTTTGGTTCACGTGTGAGATTTGACCTCAGTTACTCCAAAGGGGATGTTTCCAACGTAGAGGCGCCTTGCTTGTCTTGTCATCTGACTGCCGACGATGGGCACTTGTGTCGGTGCTGCAGCCACTCCGGTGGTGGTGGACGTTGCCAGCAGAGCTATTGTTGGTATCTGACCGGCCGCTGAAGGAACATGAAGGAAACACTGCGCCGTCACAAGCTGCAAACCAAATGACCGTCTAACCACTGCTCTACTTTGAGGGAAACTATCACACATTCAGACTGGAGGGAGCAGAGTTATTAAGAATCACAGTCAGCGCTCTGGAGTCTGAGTCGCGTCTCGCAGCACAATCGCAGGTTAATAATAAAACCTCAAAGTTTAGAAAAGGTTGTGAGCAGAGAAACTGGTGAAAATCAATGGTCGATCTAAGGTCAGAGATTGTAAAACAACAGGAGTGTCAGGGGCTTTTAGATTTACTGAACAGACAAAGCTGCAACAAATAATTATCCATATTAAATCATTTACTATTATAATTTTATACTGAATTCTTTAATTAACTATGTTGATAATTTACTGTTATATCACAGATTTTTCTTGTCTTGGTAAATTGCAGATAATATGTAGATGTTCATATGAGATTTAGATGTTAACGGTTTCAAAAAAAAATAAAGGCGAAAACTTTCAATAATGTCCACTTCAAAAATCTGCATTTTAACATAAAGTGATTCATTTGTTTACAACATGTTGTGAATTGCATTGTTTGTACTGTATTTAAATATGCAAATATATTGTTGTTTTGCAGATATTGGTGTTGTTTGAAAAAAAAAAAACACAAGACTGAAATGCTAAATAATACTTACAACTGATATTTTACAGATTTTCCATTTTTTCTTAAATCACAGAAAATATCTGGTAAAAGTCACATGATAAAAGTACGAATTTAGAATTTACACTTTTACAACTTGTGACGAATTACACAGATTCACTGTGTTTAAATCACCTAAAAATATCACTACTTGCAGTAATTTTCAGTTTTTGACGTGTTTTTTCTGGCACTTTGCTGCCAGATTTTAAACATTTTTTTTACTTTTTCATATATTATATATCATATATTCAGCAATTTCCCTGAGGTTTCCACCAAAGGGATCAATAAAGTTCCATTCTTCTATTCTATTTTATATATTTAAGTGTTTAATCTTGGTAATTCTCTGCTGTAAACAATACCTGTGTTTAAATGTTCTGACAGTTCATCATCAATTACAGTCTCTAGATCAGGGATCTCCAGCTCCTCGTGAGCTACTGTCCTGCAGGTTTTAGATGTTTCCGTACTGCAACACACCTGACTCACATTAATGGATCTCCAACAGCTTGTTGTCAAGTTCTACACAAGTCTGTTAATGATCCATTAATGTGAGTCAGGTGTGTTGCAGTACGCAAACGTCTAAAACCTGCAGGGCAGTAGCTCACGAGGAGTTGGAGATCTCTGTTCTGGATAATTATATTCCATTATCACTTCAACACAGTAATCATTAACAGCTACTTGGTGATGTGTCTTCCTGCTTGCCTGGAAATCAAAGATCATTTCCATAGTTTTCTTGGTATTTAACTGAATAAAACTAGTACCCGTTATAGTCTGTCTAAACTGCATGTCAGATGGTCCCCTGGCATCAGAAACCTCCTCCTCCCCGACACCTTTCCAAAACCAGATAGCAGGCGTCCAGCATTCACACCTACTTCACGCCGTCATTGACCATCTGTGCAGAGGTGAGAGTGGAGCCAAGCATTGTCGTGTTCTGGACTAGATCATAATGTAAATGTGTTTAGAGTCGCTCTGAGAGACCAGAACCGGGCCGTGCTTTAAGACTAGCTCAAACAAAACACACTGCTGAGAGAGAAGTACAGGTCGGTGTAGCTGTGATGTGGTCTGACTCAGAGGTTAAGCAAGCAGCAGACACATAGCAGGTACCTTGCATAGCTTTGTATTGCATTGGTGTGATGTGTTCAAAGCCAGGAGGAGGCACATCCCAGTACTTGCAGGTCCTTTTCTTTCTTGTTCGCCTCGGAGAGTGGCTATAAGCATATTAAAGACAAAATAAAGGTTTAGGTAAACATGCTGTATGTGCTGGTTTCAATGCTGCTCTGACTGCATAACCACATAAAAACAATTCATTATTTTTTTGGTGATGAAACTTTAGGACCACTAAGCTGCACACAAGCACCCACCACTAAAAGCCCTTTGAGTTTACCTCACTCTGTTGCAGTTTACAAAGTTGCTCAATTTTCAGGAGAAAACATTTGCCGGCTGCAGCTTCTGAAATGTGAAGATTTGCTGCTTTTCTTTGTCTCATGTGACGGTAATTAGAATGTCTCAGACAAAACAAAATGTTTGAGGATATCAGCCCAGGAAACTTTTTACTATTTTCTGAATCAAAAGATTAATCTGCATTAAAAACAATCAGGTATTACTGATGGAAGACAGTTTTTCCATGAATCTACACCCAATTACCCGTAACAGCAAGGTGAAAACAGATTTGGTTTTTGCAAATTTATTAAAAATCGAAAACTAAACTTCACATTTTGAGGGTAGTTACAGCTTCCTGTCTTCTTGTTTAAGTTTCTGCACGCCTGGATTTGGACATTTTATTTCATTCTCCTCATATCATTGTTTTGGGAGACTCCAAAAGATATCCACGTTTCTATCAAAGTGAAAAAGTTTAGTCTGTATATTCAACAAAGTGCAACATGGCCACCGTGTACATTTTACAGCACAGACTATTTAACTCCTTTTCTTCCTCATAGTGAAATTGCTTTCTGACTTTAGAAGTAGCTTAAACGTCTGAGTAAACAGAGCTGAATTCACACCACAGCTGCTGTCTTAAACTCATGAGATGAGTCTGTCAAATGACGTTGCAGATACTAAATTTCAGCAGCAGTTTGGAAGTGACAGCTGGTTAACATGTAGTCTAAATAAACCATGTGTCAGTAACTAATTCATTCTCCGTTTTCTGACAACAGGAACAGAAAAATACAGAAATGGGATCATCTCTATGGAGAATTCAGCCGTATTAAAATGCAGCATATGTGAGCTCAGCGAGCAGGAGAGAAGCAAAAGATGTGTAGAACAGAAGTGCCTTTCCAATGAACACAACCTCTGCATTGCTCTGTGCTGCTGGGATCTGACACCAAAACTGTGCACAGTTTGCAAACCACCTTTGTGTTCTGTGACAGTCTGAAGTACGCCCATATTTCTGTGTGCTGACTACCGTTGACCAATAAATGAAACCAAAACCAGCTGATGTCATGACGCAACTATTATTCAAGATAGATAGATAGATAGATAGATAGATAGATAGATAGATAGATCAGTTAAAAATATTGATGTTGATGTATTTTTAGCATCAACGGTATTGATTACAGTGTCTACTACTCTGGACCTCTACCACTCCTTGTCCCTGAAACCCTCTCACAGCCAGCATGATGCTGCCACTCCCATGCTGCCCTATAGGGAGACTGCTGTTCAACCGATACAGTGCTTGAAGTTCAAGTTTTGACTCATCAGGTCAGAGACTCCTTAAATGCTGTTTGACAAACACCAACCAGGCTGTCGTGTGGCTTTTACTCAGAGTGGCTTCTGTCAAGCTGCTCTGTCGTGAAGGCCTGATTGATGGAGCTGTCTTCCTAAAGTCTGTCTCGTCCATCCACTTTGCCACATGTGGACTCTCAAGGTCAGTTAAAGTAAACAAGATGCCACAGCAAAGAGTCTCAATACTTTTTGTAAATAGGAGATTTCTTTTTTGGGGGATTTTCAACACACTTTGTCATTATGAATCATTTAGAGCAGATTGCTGTGTGTAGATTTTGTTTATTTAAAAGCAAACACTCAGCAATAAAGTGTGCAAAGGCTGAAGCAGTCTGAATACTTTCTATTCAGATCCGCTGTGTACTCCATGCTACGATGGGTGTGTTTTCACAATAAAAACCCTGCAGCTGTGATGTCTGCAGCTGACCTGTGCTTCTTGTGGTCCCGCGAGGAGCTCCGGCGGTCTCGGCTCTTTCTGTCTCGACTCCGGCTTCTCTTCTCTCGGCTGCGACTCCCTCGGTCTTTGCTCCAGCTGCGATGCTTGTCGCCTCGGCCAGGAGATCCGCTGCGACTCCTCTTTTTGTGCCTCTCTCTTTCTCTCTCTGTGCAGTCAGAAAAAAAAGAAAAAAAAAAGACAGCAGCAAAAAATATTGACTGTGCCAGTAATACTGTTCATACATCCAAACAGGGCTGCAGCAAACAGTTATTTACAATTCATCTGTATAATGTGAGAAATGGATGATGGTGTTTGCACATCAGTCTGATGGCAAAATGCTCAATAGAAAGGTGTTGTTTTTATTTTTAAACAACAAACAAAAACAGACAGATTTTTTAATTACAGATAATTAAACTAATTGCAGGAAATTATTGCACATTAGCTCGTAAATTATTTATTATCCTTTAGAAGTACCTCTGCTATAACTGCTGTACCTACACTGACAGCATTTCTTATTATCACACAACAGCTCCAAACGTACAAATGGCTCCTTTCTGGATTAATTACAGGCTCCGATACCCTCCAGTCTCCTCTGTCATATTTCTTTGAGGAACCTGACAGTTCAATGAGGCCTTTCTTCTCGGCAGAACATGAGTTAAGACCTTTTAACAAATCGATGAGAAGTACTCCTCATTTCAGGATAGATCTGATCCACCTGGTACTGGAGCTCTGGTTTGATTAAATGTCAGGTTTTGAATTTTGAATGTAATACGTTTGGGTGGTTGGTTGTTTTCTTTCTGTGTGTCTGCAAATCCTCTATATCTCTTTAGATTCAGGATTATTATTTATGTCCATTAGTGCTGAACAATTATTTGAAATACAATCAAAATTGCATTACGTCCAAATACAATATCCAGACTGCAGAAGCTGCATTTTGTCGATAAAGCTAAAACATCTCGCAAAAATCACATTAAAATTGAAGTATTGTGGTGCGACAGAGATTCTCCAGCCTACAAATCATATTCTCCAGACAGAAGGGAACATGTTAGTTTGGTCCAGATATTTTTTAAAGCAGAAATAACAGAAAGACAAATATCTTTCCTACTAAAATTGTCACTCATATCACAATGTTTTGAAAAATAATCGCAATAGGATTTTTTTTTTGGCAGCTTTAATTTCCATTATTACAGGTATTTTTTTTTTTGTATAAATAGATTAAATGTGTGAGCCTTACACTATCTAAGAGCTAAACATATTCAGTATATTAAACAAAATAGCAAACCTTTACTGGAAAATCTGAAAACCAATTCAGAATAGTTGATTGATCCCCTAAGGAAAGCTGTTGTGTTGTGTAGGTTATATGTCATTAAATACACATAAAAACGCTATTTTAAAATATATAGGAGATTTTAAAAAAAAATTGACTAACAATAAAAAAAAAGCAATAATTAGGGTCATAAATATAATAATTCAGAATTATATCAAATAGATTAAAATGTAGGCAATATTTTTTTTTAATGTGAAAATTACAATTGAAGGTGAAAAATAAATCCTCTAATAGAAAAAAATAAGAATTTTTTCTTTTTAAAAAAGGTAAAATAATTACATTTTGAATTATTCTAAAATGGTGGCTTAAAGGAGTAGTTATTATTACACCTTATTAACATAACGCTGCTGCATAATTCAAAGTTTCACTGACTATCGATGGCGACGATGCTGATCTGTCAATCAATTAGTGCTGAGATTTTGCCTTAATTTTATTAACACTCGGTTGCAACACTTAATTATGTACGCCGAATTGAAAAACACATCCTAAAGATTCAGCGAATGTCATATTAACTCATTTCTACCCGCATTTTCGCAAGAGACGAAAACATTATTACAAAAAGAGGGCGATGTTTTAATGGAGTTTCGCCTCTTGCCGTTTCGCGCAGGTGAATCCACCGTGTGCTTCACACCGGCACCCGGGCTGCGTTCAGTGCTGCATGAAAGATTTAGCGACGGCCGTGTGGAGGCTAAAGGATGAAGGTGAATGTTAATTGTACGACCACAAACAAGGTAAACAAGCTGAGTCATAGCGGAGAAAAGTGCTAAAGTTGCTGTCAGGTCGCGTTATTCATTCATAAAAGCAGCTAGCGGTCCTGGCGCTGCTAGCTTACTGGACGAACTGGGACACGGACAGACAGACAACGCTCACCTTGTCGATTCTCGCTCAGCTGCTTCTCAAACTCCTCGAAATCCGACATTATATCGTCGCTGAGTGAAAACAGCGGCTCGGATTCGTCTGCTGGGGAAAGATGAGGAGACTGTCCGCTGTGTCAGTGCCGCAAAAAGCTGCGAAACGTCCGCAGAGTCGATGAACGCAGTGCATCCAGTCAGCCCTTCAAAATAAAAGAACAATCAGAAAAAAGGTTCATTAAATGAAATTAGTTGAAAACGCCACAAGATTAACAAGCCTGTTATAACAAAGGAGAATACGGTATAACTAGATGATGTAATATATAATATAGAAGAGGAGCCTGATAAATAATCTCAACAAAATAATAAAAATGCTGCAAGCAATGGTTATTTTCATTATTAATAATATGACACATATCCTCACCTAATCACTTCATTATTTTGTCTATGAAATATTTTTTCAAAACGGCAGAAAATATCATGGTAATGGCTTTGATTTTATTTGACAAACATAAAAAAACAAAAACAAAGTTCCATTTTTTCAGAAAAACAACAAATGTTTTGCAATTTTCTTTAAAAAAATCACTAAAGCTATTAACTCAAAGTCAGATTTGATAAAACAGTCTATTAATTAACTAATCGTTGGAGCTCTGCAAATCATAAACATGTCAGCCTGGATATTGTGTGAAAAGATGTGAGGGTTGAAGCCCACTGCTTGACTCACAGACTTTTAATGTCTAAACAAACCAGTGCTTTAAGAATCCATTCAGTTCATTTCAGTCGTATTCATATAGTGCAAATTCATAACAGGGGTCATCTCAGGACACTCCAAACAGTGAAGTAAGGGCCTTACAAAATTATGCAAAGAAGACCAACAAATCAAACGTTTTCCTTTAGAGCATCAGCGGGAAGAAAAAAACAGAAACCACACAAACAACAGACAAAATATCAATAAACACTGGTGAGGCCAATAACTGCAGATCAGAAATATGGAGCTGGAGATACCTCCAGAGATGGCAAAACACAAGCCATGGTAGAGAGAAGACACAAAGTGAATGGTCCACTATGGTGGCATTTTAGTGTTTTCATGCAGAATGAAGTACTTTGCATACAAACACACACCAACTATTTGTCATCACTGCAGTTTGTAGTAGTTTTTACACAAGTTGCAAAATATGAAATAACAGCCAACATAGTAGGCTTTATTCTGCACAGGACCTGCAGCCAGTGACGTGTGCTTTTTATGCTTTTACTTTGATGAGGCCGAAATCAGGCTTTTAACTTTTAACAACTTCTTGACAGGTTTTTCAAGCATTTAATGTATTCACTCTCACTCTCTCTCTCTCTCTCTCTCTCTCTCTCTCTCTCTCTCTCTCTCTCTCTCTCTCTCTCTCACACACACACACACAGGAACACACACACACACACACACACACAAGCAGCAGCATCAGTCTAATAAACTTTGCCAATTTACATCCAGAGGCTGGGACACTGCAGTTCATAAATGCAAAAATCAGATATAATGTTCTGCACATAAAAACAATACACAGGGGCTACATTACACCAGACTTGATGATATAGTGTGTCCTGTGTGTGCTGTGTGAACAGGTCTGCAGCATTTTAAGATGTCATGTATTCTTCGCATGCACATCAAACCATCTCCTGTAGTTTGTTTACTTGGTTCAAAAATGGACAAAAACTGAACACCAGATTATCACATCAGCATGGCTGTCACACAGAAGTATAATATTGATAAGATGCAACTCTACTGGAAAATGAGATAGATAAATAAACTTTAGATATGTCTGCTACACTGTAAAAAGAAAAAAGTTTTAAAAACCATTTTAACTGTAATAATTTTTTAACAGTGTTCTGGTAGTTTACAGATTTTCCCTGTTTTTGTAAATGATTGATAATATCTAGTAAAATTACAGGAAAAAAAAGTGTCAATTTACATGTTAACCTAAAAAATAAGGCCAATAAAATCAGTATTTTTTACAAACGTTAATCCCAACTTTTACGATATTGGTGGTAAAATTATGCATTTTATAGATATTTGCCAATATTTAAAAGAAATTCAATATTATGATTGAAAAGTTAAATACATTTTAAAACGTGATTTTACAGATTTTCCGAGTTTTGGTAAATTACAGAGATTATCCAGCAAAATCATGGGAAAAAGGATTAATTTACATGTTAGCAGTGAACAAATAGGCCAACACTGTGAATAATCTCCTCATCAACAAATGTTAAGTTGTTGTTTTATAACATTTGACAGTAAGGTTACATGATTTTCACTGTATTAAAAGCTATAGAAAAATATTTTATATTACAGATATTTACTCTTATTTGAAGTAGAATATATATACATATATTATTATTAGGAATGAAAAATATGTAAAGTGTTTAAATGTTATTTTATAGATTTTTACAGTTTTGTTAAGTTATTGATAATATCTAGTAAAAAATCCTAGATACATATGTTTATTTACAATATTATATCATCTTTTAACATATTTTTTCTGGCACCGTGCCAGAATTTCACTTTTGTTGTTGTTGTTGTTTTGCAGTGCGCTGTATGTGTTGATGTCGAGCTCTTCTCTGTATCGGATCATTTTGCCTAAAGCGAGGCCTCCTGCAGCCAACAGAAGCCCCTCTCCTTCTGCCTGTCATTCTAAACATACCACACAGACAACATACATGGAAAACAACTGACTCAGCTGTGCTGCTATTAAAAGAGCTCAAATCCCAAAGTATTGCTGTGGCAGAGCGTCATGTCGGAGGAGCTCTGCTGAGGCGTGCAGCTCCAGCTTCCTCAGCACAGGAATTAAAGCTCATTACCTGCAGAGGCCAGAGAAGCAGTAAGTGGTGGCTGCTAATTCATTTCTTGTAATGTCGAGGTCAGATGTTCAGCCAGGCAGAAGTAAACTGCTGTGTTTAATGTAGCAGCGACTTGAGCAAAGTACAACCAGTGTGGCGTTAACGTTGGATTTTTATTTTAGACATAGAAGAGCAGAGAGGAATATGAAGTGATCTGTTGTTTCCTGACTTAGTTGTGGAATAATGTGGCGAGATATCTGTGACATTGAGCCTCTGTGGGAGCCACAGGGTCTATTTTTAGGTCAGGTTATATTTAGGAGCCTCTTCTTGGACAAACAGCCGGTGCCTGGCGTAGTAAACCTAAACCGAAAGGTTATCTTCAAATTCCCAGCAGGACACGATGTGTGAGTGTCGCTCTTTACAATCAGATGACAGAAAACTGGCTCTGTGAGGAGAAAAATCGCCGTGGGGAGGTGGGAGGGTCACGAGACGACAGGACCCTGGACACTGACATGAAAATGGCCCCAAACACCTCCAGGAGCACTGACCCACAAGCTTTGTAGTCGTTTTACACTGTTCATGTCGCTTTGCAGTCGTGTGGTGTCTCTTTGTAGTCGTGTCGTGTCTCTTTGTAGTCGTGTCGTGTCTTTTTGAGTCCATCTGTGGTTTCTGATGGTTTGTGTCTGTTTGTTCTCTTGCTGTCTGAACATTTTGTATTCTTCTTCATGTGTTGTGTCTCTTTCTGTGATTTGTGTGACTCTCATGTTGTGTGTCTTTGGTGCCATGTTGCATCTTTTTAGGCATTTTGTGTCTTTCCATATGTTGTGTCTCTTTGTAGGCTTTTTGTGAATCTTTGTTGTCTTGATGTGTCTCTTTCAAGGCTTTTTGTGTTCCTAGTCTTTGTGTGTCTTTCTAAGCATTTTGTGTCTCATTGGAGATGTTTTGTGTCTCATTTGTTGTGTCTCTTCATTGGTGCTTTCTGTCTCTAGATGTTTTGTGTCTTTTTGTAGTTATCGGGCATCTCTTTCTAGGACGTTTGTGTTTTCTGGTAGTGCTGTTGCATCTCTTTCTTAGTGTTTGGTGTTTCTTTCTAGGGGGTTGTGTGTCTTTGTGGTTGTTTTGCGTTCCTTTGTCGTCCTGTTGGGTCTCCTTCTTTTACCCTATATGTCTGTGTAGTTGTCTTGTGTGTCTTTTTAGGCATTTTGTGTCTCTTTGTAGACTTTTGTGTCCCTTTTCCGTCCTGTTGCATCTCTCTGTGTGTTTCATGTCTCTTTGTAGTTGTCTTACATCTCTTTCTAGGCATTTTGTGTCTCCTTGTTGACATTTTGTGTCTCTTGTAGTTCTGTTGCCTCACTTTGTAGCCATGTTTTGTCTCTTTTTAGTTGTGTTGCGTCTCTTTCAAGGTTTTGTGTCTCTTTGTAGTTGCTTTGTGTCCATCTATAGTCCTGCTGTGTCTCTTTGTAGGCGTTTCGTGTGTTTTTGTAGTGGGTTGTGTCTCTTTCTAGGTATTTTGTGCTCCTTTGTGTCCCTTTCGAGGAGTTTTGTGTTACTTTGGAAACATTTTTATGATGTTACTTTTTAATTTTTAATTTTTTTAAAATGAATTTTGTGGTCATTTTGCATCCCTGTTGTTAATGCGCGTCTTGTTGATCATGACTTTGTGGTAGTGTTTTGTATTTTGTCGGTATTGTGTTTAAGTTTAAAGGATGGATTGAAACATAAAAACGTCAGAATTCAGGAGAATCTGAAGACCCCAAAACTACACAAAGATGAGCATCAGCCTATTAAGTGGCATAATTCCAAATAAAAATGTTTTTGTCCAATAAAATCTTACGATAAGTTTTATGATTTGGGAATGAGATTTTACATAATGAAGAACTCATTGTTAATAAATTTCAATATATCTGAGGAACTATATCAGGCAGTAAATATAGAGATATTAAAGATGTGGTCTTAATCGTTTTGTTTTTGATTACTGTTGTGAGAACATCGTTAAAAATGTCTTCTCTGTCTTTGTTTTCAGACTCATAAGAACACATAGTTACTAATTAAAAACGGTTGTAGGTGGTGAGATGGAGTCCAATGTAACAGGGCCGGAGAGCTTCTGGGTATGAAACGCTCATTCATTAGATCATTAGACAGTTTCACATCCCATCTCATCTGAAGAATCATTTCCATCTAAAAAGTATGTTTACATCCTGAAACATGCTTTAACATAAGAACCTGTTAGCTAACCACAGCTTTCATGATGATAACGTCAACACTGATGGTTGACGGGGGGTTTGTTTTTCATTTCATTTCACTTTTTGTGAAGGAATAGTTCAACATCTTTGCCCTCTTTCTTCTCCTTCTGCCACTTTTACCCTTCAGCATAGTTTAACAGAAAGACTGGAAACAGTGAAGTACATCTACAGCCCACTAATTGAAACCTTGATTGTTCAAAATGTCACAAATTAATGAGTAAAAATGACAACTTTATATATTATTGAGGGCTGCAAACCATGCTATTTCTGGAATCTGTGACAAAATGAAAAAATGCCATTTGTACACTTTCTGAGATGAAACCTAAAAGTTACTAAGCTTTAGACATGCTCCTAAACTGTTTTTGTTGAAGCCATGCTAGCTGTTTCCCTCTGTTTCCAGTCTTTATGCTAAGCTAAGCTAACAGCTGTTTATTAGAGGCTTGTACCAGTGTGTTTTCCCAAACCATGTTAAACTTTTTGAAATAATTTCTGCACTTTAACTTCAGTTTTGGATACCGAAAATAAAATGAAAGCCTTTTTCAGGATTACCTCCAGGACATGGACCCAGTATGGACCACCACCGTCCTCCTGGTGCCACTTGTGGTCGTGCTGACGGCAGGATTTTTCTACCTCTACGGTGTGATTGTCGGGCTGTTGTCCAAAACATCTGTACGCAACAAAGTGGTGGTGATAACTGATGCTTTATCTGGGCTTGGAAAAGGTAACGCAGACATACAGTACTTGGTCTTTTTAAAATTCTTACTGCATCTTTGACTTGAGTCTCAGTTGTTGTGTTTGTTGACTGAAGAATGTGCAGGCGTGTTTCACAAAGGAGGAGCGAGGCTGATCCTCTGTGGGAAAAGTTGGGAGAAACTGGAGGAACTTCTGGATGATTTGGCAAATGCATCTGATCCCACAGCGGTACGTATACAAGCACTGAAACAACATAAAAGACAACTCAAGGAGCAAACTGGTTTCATGAAGAAGTACTCAGTGAAGCAACCAGATCAATCTGAAGGATCACCTCATGATTATGTAACGTTTCTGGGCTTTTCTCTGCCCTCTGCTGTTTTTGGTGAATAATTGATGCATTTTTAAGTGAAAGTGATGCCCTGAGAACATCTACAAAATGCACTTAACGTATCTCTTAATTTAACCACCTGCCAAGACACTATTACACCCCTGGTGAGAGGTAATTCCCAACCTTTCTCTGAAATGTAGGCAGATTCACACAAACCAGCATCAAACGAAAAAAAAAAAAAAAAAAGTAAAGTACACACACCTGAAAGCTGCCTCTCCTCTTCAGACGTTTCCTCCAAAGCTGGTGCTGCTGGATTTTGGAGACATGGACAGCATGCCTGAGGCCATCGCAGAGATCCTCGAGTGTTACGGCTGCCTGGATATTCTCATCTTCAACAGCAGCATGAAGGTCAAAGCTCCTGCACAGAGTCTGTCTCTGGAGATGGACAAGTTACTCATGGACAACAACTACTTTGGGCCCGTCACACTGGCTAAAGGTAGAAGATGAGAAAACGTCAAACCTGATTGAAACATTTAAAGGTGTGACGGTCCTGACTGCATTTCTGTTCCAGGTGTGCTGCCCTCCATGATCTCCAGGAGAGGTGGTCACCTGCTGCTGGTTAACAGCATCCAAGGGAAAATAGCCGTGCCTTTTCGAACTGCATGTGAGTTCAAAGGTTCATGAAGGAAAATAAAAAATTGTAATTCTTCTGGTAGGCAAGGGTAACTCTATATTACTTTGGTTGACATGTTGACAAGAAAAGCTAAGCTTAATAAATACATTAAAAAAAAAAAAAAAAACAAAAAAAAAAAAAACACAAAAAAGAGAGTGAAAAAAAAACAAAAAAAAAAGAGTCTCCCCGCAAAAAAAATCCACAAAAAAAAAAAAAAAAAATGTAGTGAGCATTAAAAAACATTACTTTGTAAAGTTTGCATTAAAAGACTAATGTTAACAGCAATCACTAAAGTTATCAATACAAAAAACAGCATGTAAAAAATACCATAGAGAGCTGCAGCAAGATCACCAAGAAAGTCAAAACGACTAAAGTGAGAAACAAAACTACCTTTGCTAAGATTTAGCACAAAAAACTAAACTATAACTACAGTAAAACTGTAACTCAACTAAAACGAGTGTGAAACGTTTGGAAAAAAAACAAAGTTAGGCTTAAAAAGACTGATGCTAGCATTAAAAAAATAGTCTGTAAGAAATAAGGTCGGCATAAAAAGACTAATGTTAGCATAAAAACAAACAAACAAAAACCGTACTGTAGTACTGTAAAACATTTTCAAGTTAGCTTTCAAAAACTTCAAGTTAGCATAAAAACCTAAAGGTATTTAGCCTAAAAAGCTAAAGTTAGCATAAAACATCAAAGTTAGCCGAAAAAACTAAAGTTAGCATGAAACATTAAAGTTAGTGTAAAAGATGAAAATAAGCTTTAAAAAATCAACTGAAATTAGTGGAAAACATTAAATTAAAACATTAATACAAAACCCTGACCAAAAAAGTAAGAAATTGAAATGAAAAGATGACAAAAATAGATATAAAACTATCCTAAAATGGACTCAAAACTACCACAAAGAGATGCAGAAGACACTCAAAAACTCCAAAAAGAGAAACAAAACGACCCCAACAACATTGTAATTGACTACAGAGACTCAAAATGGCTACAAAGTGGTGCGAAATAACAGTAGGAAGTCAAAAATGATCAGAAAGTGATAGAACAACCACAGATGCAGACAGTAGATCCCCTCAATGAGAAGTGACCATAAAGAAAAACAAAGCAGCCAATGAACACTTCAAGTGACCACAAAACCAGAGCTGGTGAACATGTTGATGTTTGTTCGTGCCTCACAGAATCACTGCAAAGATACGTAAATGTTATATTAGAATATAGTGTAATATTCATGTGGGTGAACTCTGATTTCCAGATGCAGCCTCTAAACATGCAGTTCAGGCCTTCTTTGACTGCTTGAGAGCTGAAGTGGAGGAATACGGCATCTCCGTCAGCACCATCAACCACACCTTCATCAGCCGCTCAGCGTCTGAAGCTGCAGAGTCCTCCAGGTCCATCTGGTCACGTGAGTACAATCACAGGAAAACAGGCAGAATTCAAACACTTGTAGTTATTTTTCACTGCTGTAGCTGTTGTTCCATCTATTGCTCGTTGCAGTGCTGTACACCAAGAAGCCCCTTGGTGTTTCTCCAGACGAGGCCGCCGCTGAGATCGTGAAGACTTTGAACAACAAGAGGAAAGAAGTGGTAATTGCTCCGTCGCTCCCCAAGGCGGCCATTTACGCCAGATCCTTCTTCCCCAACGTGTTCTTCGCCGTGATGGCTGCAGGAGTGAACAACGCCGCCGCTGCTGAGAAGATGTAGAGATGCTGCCTCACGCTGTGATGATGTTTATATCTGAGGTCTAATCAGTTCATTGGTTATCTGTTGGTTTTGCAAAAGGCTGGATTAAGTGCAGGGTAAAGGTAGACTAATTCATTGCTCATTTGTTGTCAGTTGGTGGCAAATCCAGCTCAGTTTTCTTTTCTGGTTCTAAAACCTGAATTATTTCTGTTGCAAAGTCATGTTTTATCATTTTTATTCCAATCCACCAATTAGTAGCACACACATTCACAATATTCCATCAAGCACTGGAAGGAACCAGCAATGATGTCGCTAATAATCTATGGATTCTTCAGTGTAGAAAATATCAGATAGCTGTCCAAAATAAATTTGTTTTTATTGAGCTAATCAGAAGAAAAACAACTGATTTTTACTTAAAAAAAACTACTCTTTAATTATCAGGTCATTTAAAGAAGACATGTTGATGTCTGTAGTCGTGTGGTTTTGTCTCATTGACTCATTGTCTTCAACTGAAACTTAGTAAACAGGTTTGTGTTAAAAGAAAAACAGAATCCTGAGATTCAAAGACTCATCATCTATCGTTCTTCTGCAGCTTCCCCATCAGAGAGATTTTATAGTTACATATATTTTACAGTTTAACATGTAACGATGGCGCAGTATTTTCATAAAAAGGTGAATTATAAAGCAAATGTTGCATCTGTTCTTGTATTTGTGGTTTTGATTACGTTGAGGATACAAATAAAAGTAGTGTTGTGAATCTCAAAAATCTTTGTCTGGGTTTCTTCTTTGATTTCTCTGCATTAAAATCCAATTTTCTCAACAGTTTACTGCAGGCAACAAGAACACATAACGGACAACAGTATATTTTAAGAATGTGCCATTTATAAAGAACAATAAAGGGAAAAAATTGTAATATTTTTTTGGAAGAGCAATGTTTAAATGTTTTTTGGTTTGTTTTTTTCTGTGACGAATAGCAAATATATCTAAACCTTTATATGGAAATTATTCTGAAATGATCGATTTGTTGAGTAAACATGCTTAGATGTTGCACAGGAATGGTGGAAACTAACTACATTCATTTACTCAAGTATGAGGGAAATATTCTACGTTTTATTCCACTGCATTTATTTGATAACTTCAATTAATTTGCAGATTAAAATTCATACAACATATAAAACAATACAGTCACAAAGTACTGACCAAAAGGTTTTTATTCTACAGACTTCTATTCCAGATTTTTTTTAATCCATATATTCAGAAGTTTCTTTAAAGATTCTAGAAATATATGTCTAGAAAAACTGTTTAAATAACTCCAATAATCATCTTTTACTTTTAAAGAAACAGTAAATCAAATACTATTGAGTTTTAATTGAAATAAAACAAAAATCTACAGAGATCTGAAAAATTATTAATGATTATCATTATTTAAACAAACCATGAATGTCCACTGTATCAGTGTTTCTTGATATTTAAATAAATCAGATCAAGCTGCTGGTTTTGGATCATGAATAATTAATAACCGCCATGTGTCGCCCTCTAGCGGACGTGTCTGGGAACAGCTGCTCGTCTCCACGCTGAGCTCTTGTGTTTGTTTTACAACAAATGGCTTTGAACTTAACTTCTAGACTATTGACTCACCGACTGAAGTCATGTCAGGTCGCCTTCAGTTCGGTAAGCAGCAGCGGCAGATTGTCGGTGCAACACGACCGAGACAACCGGCGCTTCACCGTCACTCCAGGCAGCGGCGCCGGTAAGCACACACCGTCCGGCAGAGAGGCTCCGGAGGCCAGGGACAATCTGTAACAGAGCCCGGCGTCCAATAGCGGCCCGGTGACTTTTTTTTTTTTTTTTAAATAAACGATTAATTATTTAATGTCTACACCGAATATTTAGATACGTTTCTGTTTCAGTTGTTTATTTGGATTCTACTCGCAAATTGAGAGCAATTTTACGGCTTGCGAGGAAAAAACTCTCAGCGGACTCCGGTTAAAAAACAGTGATTTTAATGTGGCTTTGGCGAAGGTCAACCGCTTCTTAACCGATGTCAGTGAAATGTCCTTCAAAGGATTGGCTTCAACCCCACGAACAGTTCGGCAAACATGTTCCCAGCAGAACCAACATATTTTAGCACGTTTTTGGCCAACTGGCTACAGCTGCACTGTAGGAGAAGAGAAGTGCATGGGACCTAAATAAAGCTGTTTTTGAAGGGAGTTTGGTATTGTGCGTTTATTGCTAGCGCCAAGATCACATATGCTAAGAAAAAAAAACTTTGTTTAAACAATTTGTAATTCATAAAGAGTATACGCAAAAAGTTTAGCTTTTATGTGTAACCTGGTAAATTATTATTTTTAGTCCAATTTTTTTGTAAGCAAACTTGAAAGTGAAAGTTGCAATTAAATGGAATTTGTATTTATTTTTTTCAGTTTAGCTTGTAATTAACACTAAATTATTCTGGAGCACTTCTTTGTAAATTATTCTGAAATTACAGAAATTGCAATATACTGTACTAAATATACTACTAAATATACTGTACTATACTAAAAATAATATACTGTATATATGTAACTATGTGGTCTCAAGTAAATGGGAAATAATTTACTTTTTACAATATTTTTTTGGTAACTTTAGTTACTTTGCAGATTGAAATTAATACAAAAGAGAAAAAAAATATATGACAAACTACTCTGCTTTTTATAAAGTATAATTTAGCTTCAACTCCATTAGCTGAAAAAAATATGATAATCCAATTTAATAGTTTTTTTTTTTTTGCTCATTAATTTTTCTGAGATGTTTTGTGGTTGGTACTGAATACTGTGATTGTAAGTAAATTTACTGCAATGTACTGTATCTAAATAGAAGTATTTTTGAAGGGAGTTTGGTATTGTATGTTCATAGTTTTTATCAAACCATATACCACTCACCCCACAGAAATTAAACAGAAAATTCCACGTAAATAACAGCTTTAACATTTTTGGATAATGACTCAGCACATCACCAGTCATGTTAATGTGGTGTAAAGCCCTCAGTGTCTTTGTGTTTTCAGAGGCCCATGAATGTGCGGTGCTGCACTACAGGTTCACCGGGACCAAAGAGGTGGATCTGATGTCCACCTTCGTACCCGAGACGTTCAGAGGTCAAGGTGTGGCGGCGCTGCTGTCACAGGTAAACAGTTTCAGGCCTCAGTTGGCGTGTGTGAAGTTTGGCGTTATTCTAAAATATATATTTTTGCTTCTTTTACAGGCTGCCATGGACTTTGTGATTGAAGAAAACTTGAAGGCTCACATTTCCTGTTGGTACATAAAGAAATACATCGAAGAAAACCCACAGCAGCAGTATAAAGACCTCGTTATCACTTGATTGTTTTTCCACTATAGGCTGGACTACTACCTCTTGTACAGGCCAAATGTTGGACCTCAGACAGGATTTCAATTATTCCGTGTGATAAAATTGCATATTTCAAGAATCCTAAATATAATTTGAAGTATATTTGAGTAAAATAACTCAAACTCATGTTAATTTTGCTATTAAACTGCCAAATGATGCTTATTTTTATATCAGATTGTACTTTTTCAATGTTGTGTCAATGTGGATGTTGCCAACGTTGCTTCTTTTTTTTTGTATTTAATTAAATCTAATTTATTAAAGCACAATCTCATTCTTCCTGGGATCTTCTGGAGATCTAAAGAGGGTCTGTAGAGCTCCTCGGGGTTATTACTAACCGGTCATTTGATTCAGCAGGATGTCTAACATGCAGCTCCTCCCGGTGAACAAACCATCACTTTGTATTCACTGATCATCCACCTGCAGGCTTCTCCCTCAGCAGGAGCGTCTCATTAGTGCTTCCTGACCTCTGCAGCTGCCAGTAAACCTTGCAGAGGAGGTAAATGACAGCTTCGTCCATGTGTGCGAGGGCCTGGTATGTAAATTGGAGGTGTCTGCTGAGTCCTTCGCTGAGGGTCTGAAGTGCAGCGCGATGAGCAGCTTCTCAAAGGGCTTCATTATACCTGAACTAGAGGCTCTGCAGTCACACCTGGAGTCGCTCGCGCTGTTTTTCTACACTCTTAAAGTTGGAAATGTAACCTGAGTGAGACAGACCTGCAGGTGCTGAAGCCATCTGCTAACGTGATAAAATGTCTTCAGATATTAAAAAGTGGGTCTTCAGATGTAATATGTCACTCTGCTGTACGCTCAGAGGGTCAAATCCATGAGAGTTTCTCTTTAGAAGTGTTTTAAGTAACTTGTAATATAGAAAGAGGCTGCATGTTCTGCACTACAGTACATTCCTACAATACATAGACCACTTTTGCTTTACTACTTCAGTATAAATGGAAGACTTTACTAGAATGTTTTAGCCCTGATAGTAGTAAAACTCAGCCACTGTGATCCTGAGTTATAGACTGAAGACATTTGTTTGTTCAGAGGATGAATCCTAATGACTTTGGTAATCCCCTGATTAGCAAATCCATGGAGAAAGTTGCCCAATTTTAAAATTTTAATTCAGTATTTGGTTACCTTTAAAACAGCACAAGTGTTTCTGCTGCTGAGTGGACATAGCAGTGTTCATTTCTTCAATGAAAGCTACTTTTTCCAACACCATAGATGAAAACACTTGCAACCATGATAACAATACACAAAGATGGAGGCAGCTGTAAGCTAAGATGACTTAAAAATAGATAGACTCAAATGTTTTTAGTTTTTGTTGATTAAAACTAGACTGAAACAAATAAAATAATCAACCGCTTGTTTTTCCTTGATTCTGGTTGTTTGGTCCTGACCTATGCACACTGGGAACTCCCTCCAAGACCTGCTGTTTTACAGTTGCAGCTAATCAGCCTGTCTACATGTATTTACTACTTATTTCTATATTTTGCACTTCCTCATGTGTTCATCTATTTCTTATTTACTAATTATAAGCTGGAGGTCCTACCCTGTGGTTGACAGAAGGCAACCTTGTAATGTAGATTTGGTAGGAATCGTTTGCTTCTGTCTGGTTCGCTCAGGTGACAAATCCTGCTTTCAGCTTAACTGCCCACCTATAAGTAACATATAGACACAGATATACAGAAATAAATACACGTGGATTTAAGGAAATGAAGAAACTAATTCAACACTTTAATTAAGTCCATTTTCATGACCGAAAAGCATTTCTTCCTTGAAGGGCAAACCAAAACTCGCCCTGAGGCAAACATGCATGTGTGAAGCACATTTTTATTGCAATCCAGCCAGAAACATTCCAGTTAAAACCACAAACGTGAGCCTCTGGGTGTCAGTTGAGTTCATCCTCTGAGCACCATGAATATTTGAGACAAATTCAAGAACAGCTGAGCCACAGCAGGACTGTCGACCCTCCAGCTGACCTGCTGATGCTTTCAGCTGCAGCTTGTAACACAGACTTAAGGAGTGACCCACATGAACGGAGACAAACACAAGTAAACCGTGGCAGAGCTCCACTCAACCTGTGTGCAGGTAACATCATAACTGTAAGGAGTGTTGGCGAAAAAAAAAAAAAGAAACTGGAATTTTCCTGCCCTCACCATGAGCCCTGAATCGAAGATGAAAGCCATATCTTGGATTCTCGCCACCTAAATGAGATTATTTCTGGCACCACAGCAGCAAAACACAGCACTGGTTCGTCTGCAGGCGGGAACGAGAGCTGAGTGGTGCCTTCAGGAGGAACCGGCCGATAAGAGATCCGCCACTATTGTGTTGTATCACCAGTGACAGATAATGGTATAAGAGATTCTGCTCGCTGCTTTTATTCCAACAGATGTCAGTCCTGCTCCATTAAAGACATTTTCCGTCACTCCTGTCCTGGTCTGGTGCTGTCTGTGATTTATATCTGATATTAGAAGATTTCAAAGCACCAGATAATTCATAATCAAATACTGTTTGAGGGGAGGTGAGTCAACATGCAAAAGCAAATTCCTGATTTCAAATTGGGCATAATTTATTTATTTTTAAATGCAATCATGTTGCATAATTGTTCACTTTATTTCTTGAGCATATTTGCAAACTTTCCTGCACACTAACCTGCTATCAACATATGAGCTGCACGTGGAACCAACAGCAGCTGTAGGTTCAGTTTCATTCCACAGCAGGATACAGGTCGAGCCCTCAAACCTTTAAGAAAGACACTGAGGCTGAAACAGACACTAAAAAGATTTTTGTGCCGTTTCGTGTCATTTTTATGTGTCTTAGTGGCTGGTTGTGTTCCTTTGAGGTCATTTGTGTCTTTGTGGTTGTTGTGTGTGTCTTTGTGGTTGTTTTGCATCGCTTTGTGGTCATTTTTATTTATTTTTTTTATCCATTCTGTGTCTTGGCGGTTGTTTCTCCTCACTGTTTGGTCTTTTTGTGTCTCAGTGGTTGTTTCAGGTCATTGTGTGATAACTTTCTTGTGTCTTTGTGGTCATTTAGTGTCACTCTGTGGTTCTTCTCTTCATGGTTGTTTCAGGTTAAGTATTTTTTCGTGTCTGTAAGGTCCTTTTGTGTCTTTGCAGTCGTCAGTGTGCCTTTGTCTTTATTTGGCATCCCCTTGTCGTCATTTTTTGTCTCTCTGTGGTTATTTTGTGTTTCCTTTAAGTGGTTTGTGTGTCTTCATGGTTGTTTCAGGTCACTGTCTGTATGCCTTTGTGTTGCATCCGCCTGTGGTCATTTTATGTGTATTTGCAGTTGTTTTAGGTCTCTGTGGTCATTTGGTGTCTCTTTGTGGTTGTTTTGTGTTTCTCTGCAGTCATTGGAGTGCATTTGTATTTGTATTTGCATCACTTTGTAGTCACGATATGTCTCTCAGTGGTGATTTTGTATGTTTGCGGTTGTTTGTGTGGCTTTATGGTGGTTTCAGGACACTTTGTGGTTGGTTGTGTCTCTTTCTGGTAATTTTGTACATCTTTGCATTCCTTTGTGCACCTATGCTGTTGTCATTTTTTGTATCTTCGAGGTCATTTTGAGTCTTTTTGTAGTTGTTTTCTGTCTTTGTAATTGTTTATGTGTCTTCATTTTCATTTCACATCACTTTGTGTTAATTTTGTGTCTGTAGTGTCCTTTGTGTGCCTTTGTGGTTGCTTCTTGTCAATTACTGTCTTTGTGTGTCTTTTTAGATCTTTTTTGTGCCTTCGCAGTCATTTGTAGCAATTTCTTGTCACTTTGTGTTCATTTTTGTGTCTTTGTGCTTTTGTGCGTTGTTGTGGTCCCTTTAAAGCGCGTCAGACCCGGGGGCCTGTTCAGTGACACATCTGTGATGGTGCAGTGCATTTTCTGCTCCATTGTTCTTCTCACTGAGTCGGCCAGCAACCCTCGTCAGCCAGAGGACACATTTGACGCAACATTAATGAAAAAAGGCCGATTCAGCTGAAGTTGAAGCAGGTATGAATGATGTGCACATCCTGCAGCTTTTCCCACAACTTAGTGTGCAGATGCTGAAATTGCGGCCTTTTCCCTTCTTCCTTCAAATACTATGACATGGAAAGATCTGATTAAATCCAGGTTGTATCAAAGCTGACCATCTTACGTTATCTCTGGAAATACAACCTGCGCTCTGGCTTTCTGCACACACACATCTGATGTGTGGTGAGGAACGAAACATACAAATATTTTACTGTGTTAGCTATTTAAATCCAGGAACCAATCTTGGTCCATGAAATCAGCCCCGAAAACTGCTCCAGTGGACCCCAAAACAACAGGGAAGCTGGCTCCGTGTTCAACAGTATGCTTCTCCTTGTTGTTCTGGTGCATTATCCATTTCGACCACGTACTCTGTTCCTGTGGATGGCTTGTGGCCGTTGATTGGCAGTTCTGGCGGTGCCTCAGCATCAGCCGGCACAGCAGTCAGGTACATGTCCCACATCTGCTCTGGGAGGTCCATCTCCATCATCTTCTGCTTGATCATCAGGCTCTTTTCAATGTTCCGCCGCTTGTATTTAAACTCTATGATGGTCTTTGTGTACCTGTTCAGCGCTGTCACTGCGGAGCCCATGCAGGTACCAAAAGAGCCCCACGCCAAGCTGAGGAAAGAGGTGAAAACAGTGGTAGACTGAAGCTGCAGAAGTAAAACTTTAACACTGAACAGAGATACATCATTCTGCACTGAATGACACAAACTGAAATGTGACTTCTCCACACGACAACAATAATGCAGCTATAGTCAAAAGTTTTCTGTTGCCACAGAGAATCTCTGCACTTCATTTGCAAAATAATTGTTCTTATTTTATGTTATATTGACTATATTGACTTATATTAAATTTTCATTTAAGTGCTGAATTCTGAGTGTGTAGATTTAACCGATATATTGTGCCCTCAACATTTTCCACAGTGGACTGAAAATAGTCCTTATTGCAGGTACATGATTAGAAACGACGTCGCCTTTCATGCATGTGATCCACACTAGTCAATGATGCAAACTAGAGATTACATTTTGAATGTCTATTATTCAGAGCAGTGAGTGAACGAGGGAGTCATTTTAGACACAACTAGTCTTAAATTTAATAGAGATTACAGCAGAAACCCAAGGGCCTTCGTTTAGAGGTGTTTAGTGTGTAATGAACAAGTTGTCAAACTGATCTGTACACATTCACCGCTGTCCCTGACTGAATCAGTAGCTTCTGTCTGTGGTGCTCCTCGCACTATGTTTACAACCTTGTTAAAATCTCACTAAAAGACAGCAAACGTCAAAGAAATAACCTGCTGCTGAGTTTGCATTGTTTTTTTTATGTACTTAATCTAAGCTAACAGAAAAACCTACCAAAAAAAATAAAAAATAAAAAACAAAAGTGAAGTCAGTGAATGCCAATCTTTAAAACGAAAGACAGGGAAAAAAGCTGGTATTCTGTGTGGTCTGGTCTTCATTTTACACGTCTTCTTTTGTTGCAATACCACAAGTGGCCACTGGGAAAACAAAGCAGCGTGCCTGAGTGACAGCAGCACATCCAGCCCTTTTAATACATCATAAGTAGCCCTGGAGTCCACAGGAACATTGACAGATGATGGGTTTGACCCTTTATCAAGTCAACACAGGTTATGTTCATTTAATGATATCCAGTCACTGTCGATGCTTCACTTAAAAAGTCACTTGTAAACTTGCTAGCTCCTATTTTTAGTCCACGTCATTTCAACCTACAGAGGATGTCTAACGTTAGCCAGCATCAGTGGTGTCTTTCCTCACCAAATAATGTCTGTTTGGTTTTAACTAACCAGCTGAGATGACAGATTTTTCAGTAGGCGTAGAAAATACTCACGCATAAGACCAGCTGTAGTCCCAGGTCTTCGGCCTCCAGTCCTCTGGTCCCATAGCGACGGCCAGCTGGAATATGGTGGTAAACATCATGTGGGCCACCATCCCACAAAGGCCTAAGAACAAGAGGAAATCTGTGATGTACTGTCATGTAAAATGCTTTTTTTTTTTTCTCACAAAACATGTATTACTTAATATATGGATTGAACAGGGATGTAATCTTCAAAATGAGAACATTGTGCTTAACTCAGCTTAGACACATGAAATGCAAAATAAAAAGACAACAAGAACAACTTCCTGTTGCTTCATTTAAACCAGTATACAAATAGAAAATGTAAGCACATACATTCTGTTATGAACCCTGGATGCAGATCACAGATTGTTTATGAATGGGAATCCCCTCTATTGAGACATTAACGTTTCAAAAGAGTCAGCTTAAAGGACTGTGTTGCACTCTGGTGAGATTTTATAATGTCAAAACCTGAAAGTTTATCTCCAGTGGCTGAGAAAACCCTGTGATATTCACACAGATTCTGGGTGAGGTGAACTGGCCTGCCTGATCTTTGCCCTCCTTCATCCAGCAGTCTGCCTCTCCACAGCTGCTTTTCTTGGGATTAACTCGTAACAACGGGGGGGATGGGAGTCAGGGGATGGGGTAGTAGAAGGGGCGGGAGGGAGCTCCTCTGGGCAGGTCTTGGCACGGCCCAAAACTGCAGCTCCAATCCGATTAATCCACAAACCAGCAAATCCTCCGAGGCAGCGAGCGGACACAGTGCAGTTAGCTGCTCTGAACGCTCCCTGACTGTCAGCCTCACCTCGTTCAGCCACCATGACCTGCTGCCCTGCTCCTTTTCTAACTCATTTACTGCCACATTGGCTTCGTGTACCATTCACCTACTGCTGATTTTAAAGGCACTTTACGTTAGCTGCCTCTCTTTAGCGTTTTATAAACAATACATAAAGACTTAATTTACAATTTGTAATGTAGGATAATGTAGATATAAGGGTTTGTTCATGTATTTGTCGACAACCAAACCCTTCCTGTTGGCAACCGCAGTTGTATCATGAGAAATTTCAATGGTTGACAATAAAACAGACTTAAAATGTCCTCATTTACAACTAGGACATGTTTCACACACAAACCAACTAACACATAGCATTAAAACTGCATGAAAAGAATGAAACACAGCTTAAAAACAAAAACACAGAACAGAAGGGTGTTAAACCTGCATTTTACCTGACAGGGCAGTGCACAAGGCAGCGAAGGCACTGAGCTTCAGCTTGTTCATGACGCTAAAGCAGGGGCACTGCTCCAGGGTCATCAGAGCCCCGCCCGCGAAGAGCAGGCTGAGGTACAGGCTCTCAGCGACGATGCACAACCACAGCACCCCTGGGAACACAGCAAACAGAGGGGAGGGAGGCAGGCAGAAATTATTTGTGTTGTCCTCATAATACCCTCATGAATAATCCCACTTGTCTAAAGACAGACATGCATGTGGGTACAACAGGTCTGCGGTTATTGCTCCTTTTAGGTCTGGAGATCTGGACCAGATCGTCTGGACAGCATGGATTTATAAAATCAGGACAGCGGCTGCTAAAGCTGTTCTTTATATGCAGGGCAAGCAAAGGTGGTGCTTACATAAGCCTTTATGTTTCCATTGTGGTTTAGGATCTGATGCGCTTGACTGCAACATTAACTCTGAGTCCAGCTAAACACTGACAAACTGAAGTTACAGGATGTAACTCCAGTTCTATGAGCACAAAGGTAATGGAAAAATAGAGGTTTATTTGTTAGCCTTTATGGTGAATTTTATGTTGAAGATGACAACGTTAGAGGGGAGAGGATTGCTACCTGACAAGGACATCAAGAGGAGAGAAAACTGATATATTGTCCTCACTATAATCAACTTGTCTTTATTAAGTTCAGCCAATCAGAGTTGAGACCTCTGCCAGCACATCTTAGGGAAAGGTCCACAGTTACTTGAGACATAAAATGTTAATTCACATTTGATCAAAATCACCATCAATCCTAAATTAAAGTTGTTGCTTATTAGTCCATATTTAGTTTTTTGGGTTTTCCTTTCTTGAGTGTGCTGTACAGCTGCTTTTTTAATGCAAAGTCAATGCCAAAGGGAGTCACTCTCTTCCACAGAAAACACTGCTTCTTACATGCCTGAAACACCATATTTGAAGTCCAAGCTTCCTTATCTATGTCATTGTGTAACACGTTTGTGTTACTGCTGCCCAGCAGCGAACCTGGCACGTTCTCAAACAAAGAATCTCGACGCAGATCTGAGGTTACAGCACACAACCAGTGTTCAGGTCAGCTGAGAAATAAGAGCTGACTCTAGTTTCAGGAAGGGTATCTTACAGAGACGTAGTGTTTCAGATAGAGTGTGAAAGAAGGTGCATTGTACAGTATAAACATCATAATGTGTTTTTTTAAATCATTTATGCATGTTGTAGTAGACCTCCCCCCCCCCAAAAAAAATAAACCTGTAAATCTGCATTATATATGCTCTTCAACTAAGACAGCTAATTATTCATGTTTAGATTCCAGGGGGTATTTTCTTTAAGCAGAACTACAACACAATAGCAAATTTAAAACACTTTGTTTCATTCATTGAAAAACTGAGAGGATTAAATACACTCATGTTGACTGGACGTTACGTGCTGAAATGCACCATGGAAGTTGTAGTTTAGTAATCTTTTGTTTTGAGGATTAAACTGTGAACGTTTTGTGGCAATTCATGCTGTGGAACATCCTTTCTGTAACAAGGATGCCTGAAATAACTTCTCCTACTTTGTCGTCCATTTTAACACTGTCATAAAAACCCAATCAAAACTAGCAGAAAGTGAAAAACATGTCAGATATGTTTGACACTCTTTGGTGGTGGAACTAAAATTTCCTCACTCACAGTCGGAGTCAAGGTTAAAGTTTATATTTTTGTAGTTGTGTCTTTCTTTAAAATGTCATTTGAATTGGTTTTGATGTCTCTTACATGAAAACGCAAACATAATGCAATTTTAAAAAGTCATAATTTTACCAACCTCTTTCATGTTCAGGTGCAATCTCTGAGAAATCTCGACAGTCAAAGCCTGTAAAAAAAAATACAGAAACATGCAGTTTAAGTTTCGAAAACAAAACAATCTGGAATAAGTTATAGAGAAAACAAAAGTTTCCTTAGAAGTTGTGATCCATTCAGACCCAAGTAAATATGAATACAATATTCATTTCCATTTGGATTAATAAGTTCAGAAAAAAAGTCAAAATGGAGTCACAAAATTTTGAAAAAAAAATCTTTAATGTTTTCAGAAAAAGTCCCCCTTTTAGGGAAAAAGTCAATGTTTTGGGGGAAAAGTCATTTCAATCAAAAAAGCATTAACGCTGTATGGAAAAATATTTTGAGGAAAAGATCTTTCTACTTTCAGGGGGAAAAAAAATATAATACTACAAGAAGAAAGTGGTTGTATATTGAGAAAAATGTATGTATTGCTAGAAATGTCACGACATTTTGAGAAAAAGTCCGAATGTTGAGAGAAAAAGTCCACAAGCAGAAACGGCCTTGCGCTCCAGCGGGAGACGTGAGCTGATTGCAGCCTCAGACGAGACGTTTTGTAGCTGGACTTCCGGAGGAACTGTCTCACATACACTGACCATATTGGTGGAAGTCAATAGATTAGATAGACAATTTGTCTGCATGCAAATCCTCATACAAACTTATTTTACTCAGTCTTATTACCAGGGCTTATGAAACCAACTGGGGCGGCTTGCATGCAACGCTAAGAGAAATGCTTTTAATCTGCTAGCTTTTCTAGTTAAAAAACAAAAACACACACTGTGATGATTGTGATTTCTGCATTCCGACAGTAATCACTTTTTCTGAAGCTGTGCCCATGTTCTCCTGTGTGTTGCTCTAAATTACATCATGTTTAAATATATTTTGATGCTAATACGTTTGTGCTTTTACTTAAGTAATAGATCTGTATACATCCTGCCAAACTGCTGCTTATCTGCAAATATGAGTTCCTGGGAAAAGAAATATAAATTTGTAATCAGGTTTTATGTTCTGTTTGATGAGATTTAGCTTTGACTTTAAGTGGACAACTCCAGGATGTGATGTAACATGTAGGATATTTTTGTAGTTACCTGCTGCAGCATCTCGCAGCATTAATCCTCTGCTCATTTTTACTGTCCATTCATCTGTTTTCTTTGATTGGTACTTCTAAAACAGTCCTTCCCCCACATGCAGACAGTCCTTTTTGTAATATAAAGTCAGCTATGCTCTACATTTTGACAGTTTAGAAAAATACTAAACGGTACCCAAAATATATGACAAATACAGCCTTTATATAATAGAATCTTAAATCAGATTTTCAGCCTCACATCTTGTCAGTTTAACAAAGTGCAAAGCAACCAGAAACCTAAAAAACAGGACAAATATCGCAGTCACCTATACAAACATATACAGATATTTAATTATAATCACTCAAGATATAGTTTTAGAGCAGTTTTGCAAAGATAGAAATGTAGCTTTGCTCTATAAATCAACACAAAAACAGCTGAAAAAATGTAAGAATCAGAGCTATAATACATTGTTTTCATGTGAGGTGAATGTATCCCAACTAAATTATGTGCTTATGTTTGCCTATAAGTCATATTTTTCAACTTTCTTTCACCTTTTTCATCACAGGATACATAATTAAAGTTAAATGGCTGAACTGATGTTCACCACAGGGTTAAAAGTGATGCAACCACAGTAACTGGGTTGACATCGTCAGCTGTAGTTGGATTTTTTTTTTTTTTTTTTTTACTGCTTCCTTGTTCATCACTTCCTGGTTTTGAGCACCAGAAGCTGTCATCTTACCGTTCATGTCGGCGGCCTGCTCGCAGGAGAAAAATATTCCCGTGTGGAACTTCCTCAAAAGAAACTTCTCCTCTCCCGTCTCGAAGATGTACTGCACCAGGCGGCTGTCGTTGAGGTTGGAGCTGTTGAAGCGGATGCAGAACCACTGCTTCACCTTCAACGGCGGGCCTGTGCAGAAGGGCTTGGCCACCTTCCTGGTCCCCTCGCACCAGTAGCTGGTGGTCACCGCTGATAAGGCAAAAGCAAACGCCACAAAGTTGAGGGTGAGCGCCAGAGAAGCCCGCCGCCCGCGCTCTAGCCTCATGGTCGAGGCCAGGCCTGAGGAGATGAAATGAAAAGGCAACTAATCCTGGCTTTTGATATGTAGCCACCGTGTTTCGCCTCCCAGCAGATGTATCAAATCTTCATAATCTTGTTGCGTTTGGGGCTCTTTGGGTGAGAACTGTGTGCATCCCTCCGCCGGCTCTGCTGATGTGCTGCCACCTTGATTAAAGCACTCCTTCTCTGCACTCCCACAGAAACAATAGAAACCCATGGCAGTCTTTGTTTTCCTCTGCTTCATTTGAGCTCTTTCACTCTTCCCTCTGTGCTGCTCATCCAACCCCATCGCTCCTCCCCTTCTACAAATCTTTCCCTGCAATATTATCCATTACAAATGGTAAATTATAGTCCAGACTCCCTTTAAGCATCTCAGTGAAAAGAAAAAAAGATCAATCGGAGCTTAGATTGTAATCCAGAACATGGCTTGTCCTGTTTGCATTCCTCTGATTTTTTTTCTGCTTTTGCAAAGTAATTGCAGCCACAGCCACAACATATAAGATCGAGTGTCTGTTTGAGAGTCGGTGATCCGTGACATACTGTGTAAAGTCTAATATGAAAATCCATCCATAACGTGTGTGTGCATGCAGGCAAATCTCTCCATTTTTCCAGTAGCCTGCTGGAGTGCGACACAAAAATGAAGACAAATTACTTGCAGAAGTGTGTGAAGGAGATGACAGATGTTCAGAGGAAACATCTGCCGAATTTGTCTCCTCTCTATAATTTTCCATCATTAAATTTGTCGTCATGTCCTGCAGCTCAGACTTTCAGTGACAAACGTGTCGCCTTTGGTTGACGTTGTTGTCCTTCCAGAGCTGAACTACATAGGTGAGATGCATGAATCCCCAGGTCTCTCTAACAGCAGGTCGGTTTTGTGAGATTTTATGTGGAGCATTAGATCATAGCAGGTTGCAAAAAGTTGTTGCTTTTTGCTTCTTTCTGCACTTTGCAGCTCTTTACAGTTTACCCAGCTTAACTTAAAGGAAACAGCACACAACCTAACATCTGCACATGCAGAGAGGCAGAGGGACATTTTACAGTTTCCATAATGAGTAATTTTGACAAAAGGTAATTCAGGTTTATTTCAACTTGTTTGCATCTTCCATAATGTGTCTACAGTGGCTCAGTAGGTCATACTAACTTTGCACTCTCCACCTCTGTTGTGGAGCTTTAGGGAAACAAGGGGAGACAGACGAGTGTATACTGGGACAAAAACTCTAACTCTCTGCAGCTGTTCCAGAAACTTGACTTTCAAATGAATGTTTTTAAGTGTTTGTTTTTGAGTAACACTGAAAGGAGCAGTTTTACCAGCTGGAACAGACATGTTGATAATGGTATGACTGATCTCCATCCTTCACAGAAGTCTGTTGCTGAGGTTAAAACTGGGCAAAATATGTTTTTAAAAATATTTACATTTGATTTAGCAGTATTCAGATGACTGCAACATTAAAAGCACCTGCTTTATATCATGTAAGTTCCCTAAAACCAGCTCTGATCTTTTGAGGACCCGACTCCTCTAACATCTTGGTGCCGTGTGGCATCAGGTGGATGTGGTCTAGGTGGTACATATCAAAGCAGCATCTACATGAATGCAGGACCGACGGTTTCCCAGCAAAACATTGCACAGAACATCACATTTATTCCACTGGTTTGCCTTCTTTCCCACAGTCAATCCTGCTGCTATCTCTTCCCCAGTTGCATGATGCAAACACACCCAGCCGTCCACATGACGTAAAGCACAATGTGATTCATCAGATCAGGCCACCTTCTTTCATCGCTCCATGGTCCAGTTCTGGTGCTTACATGTCCACTGTAGGAGCTTTCAGTGGTAGACAACAGTCAGCATGGACACTGACTAATCTGCGATATATTGTGCGTTCCAACACCACAAGCAACACAGCAGCAGGTTTTCAGTGTTGGTAATCACTGCATATCGGGAACACACCACAAAACCTGTTCTGGAGATTATGAGACCCAGTGGACTAAATGTCACAATTTAGTCGTTCTAAACGCATTCAGATCCTCACGCTGCCCGTTTTTCCTGCTTCCAGCACATCAGCTTAAATAACTGACAGTTCACTTGCTTCCAAGTCTTCACAGGTGTGATTGTAATCAGACAATCAGTGTTATTCACTTCACCTGTCAGTGGACTTAATGTTGTGGCTGACTGGTGTGTTTTCAAAGTTGGGACCTGCAATCTTACTATAGTTAGAGCAGGTTACAGACAGATATATTTATTTTTTTTGAAAACAGAAATTGTTCAACATCAGAGAAAAACATGTTAGCATTTAGCTCAGTCCATCCTCAAAGCACCTGGCACGGCTCATTATTCCTAACAGGCAGTCTTGTCTTGGAGACAGAGCTCAAATATTCC